GAATTCAAACGGCGTTTTGCCGGAAATAAAACGAGCGTCTCATGCAGCATGTGGTATATTTTTTTTTTTATCTGGCCCGCTGAGCGTTGACTCGTGTACCTCAGGACAAAGTTTCTCATATCATCCATCTGACCACCGTCCCCAAACTCCATCTGATGCCACTGCGTGAAGTGATTGATACGATATAGGAAGGTAGTCTACATTATTTGTAAACAGTTACGCGTACAAAGGACAGCTGCCTTGTCCTCAATATTTGTGCGAGGACGCGTTCGCCTATACACCGCCGAGTTGTTATAAAATATACTCTCGCGGTGAATACCCGATGCTGAGGTGCCTCTGTTTGACTTAATTTGCGCTGAGGACAGGGTTCTTGTTACGAACAAAGCAGCGGACTACTCTAAGCTTAGCTTTCTGGAGTCGGCCGATGCGGTAGGCTTCTTTTAGGGGCGAAGCTTCTTATGGCGTGGCTTGGGCATCCCTCGTAGTACGTAACCACCAGTGGCACATACCCGAAATAGGTATAACGTTTGACCTCCAAGGTGGTGCAGGTGAGAGATTTCTTCTGTGCGTTGTTTAACAATAAAAAATAGTGCTCAATGTACATGCCAATGGTTGCTAATGGGGAATGAGAGACAGGAACACTCGGCTTTTAGTCAACGCGCACGCTGCGATCCCCATTAGCAGCCATTGGCATGTACATTGAGCACTATCGGACAAGAAAGGGTTGCTACATTATACTCGCTGGGTGTAACCTTCTTAGTTTTAGAAAGGTTTAGCGAGCGTTGAGCCGCAGGGCCATAAATACAATGAACTAGTGTATACAATGAATGAATTCGAGGTGGTTAAAGGGGGGAAGTAGATACGAAGCGCAAGCCGTAAGAAATTAAAAGCTGAATCCCCCTGTCTCTCATTTCCCATTTGCAGCCATTGGCATGTACATTGAGCATTATCTGACTGAAAAAGTTTGCTACGTCATACTCGCTGGGCGTAACCTCCTCGGTTTTAGAAAGGTTTAGCGAGCATTGGGCCGCAGTGCCATGAATACAGTGAACTAGTTTATACCATGAACTCAAGGTGGTTGAAGGTGGGAAGTAGACCCGAAGCGCAAGCCGTAAGAAAGTGTGCGTGTGCCACCTCTCGTTTAGTTCTTGGAATGTCCACTGAATGGCGGTGCTTCTATATGGGGAATATATGATAAAAAGATGCGAGATGGTGGGACTTGGAGTGTTGAATAGATATACGAACGGACACACAGACAGATGCATGGATGGACGCATGAACGGACGCAGGGGCGGATGCATGAACGAACGCAGCGACGGGCGCACGAACAGACGCATGGACGGTCACACAGACGGACGAATGCTTCACCCCACTCTCCATCATTCACTCCGTGGATATGCTGCCATTTTTTTTTTCAGTGGCACTGGCTGCCGTGGCTAACATCGCAATCGATGCCTTCCCAGAGAATCATCAAATGGCTTCAATTTTTATTCGCCGTTTTTTGGTTCGCCTAATGCACAGTTCCAGTTTTTCTTGCTGCCTGTGTCGGCTTGAAATAAAGCTGTCTGTTCAACATCGATAACTGCTAGGCTTTCGTATGACAAACAAGCTATCATTTTGAGGCACGCTGTAGTGCGAGTATCAGGATTAATTGTGACCGCTTGGGGTCCTCCAATGCGCACATATTATCTCGGTTCTCGGGTGTTCTTTGCATTTCGCCCCATCGAAGTGCGGCCGCCGTTGTCGGGAAACTATCCCGCACTCTCAGAATATTAGCGGGATGCCATAACACACGTGCTACGCTTGATCAACGTCCCCGTGCATACGCAACGCCGACAGGTCGTACATACGATGGCAGAGAAAAAGAAATGACGCAGCTGCCACTCTGTTTTTGTTTGTTTCGTTTCACTACAGATGTGGGCAGCGTGGTATCGTCGCAGCGCGGACTTATCAATGGGGACGTGTCAGCCTGCACTATCTTTAACACAAAACCCAGCACGCAACCGGAAAATCGGGACGAGGGAGTCGTCATCACGGCACAGCACTCTCCCTTCGATGTCATATGCATAGACGCAGTCCGCATTGCAGGGCTTCTCTCCGTTTTTTAGTGTTTTTAGGTAAGAGTAGCCTTCGGACAGAGTTATTTTTCTAAACCACAATGCAGTCTTACTGGCACAATGGATTTTCGTTCCAAAATAAAGCACAGCAGCGGCGCGTGCTCTTTTTCGGCGCGCCACCTCTCCAGCGCTGGTCTCCCATAGTATTTTACAAAACGGCGACTATATGAACGACGTACCGCACGCATGGATTTCGAGCGTATAGTGAAGAGGCGAACGCCGCAAGCAGCGGGATTAATTATCGGGTCGCAGCCTCGCCTCACTCCGATTTCAATCCAGCCTTTAAGTTTAAACAAATTACCAAACTCTTCCAGTGAGAGCATACAACTTTTCATAAACATTGCAAAGGACTCACAAAGGAGGTGGAACGTTTACTTTCCTAAAACGATACTGTGACCGACAGTTCAAAAACATTTCGACCTTGCGCGTTCAGGAAAGTGACCATACTGTGGGAACGGTCCTCGGGCATGCCCCGTATAGTGTGGGCATATCAATTAACATTGGACATCCTCCCCCTCCTTCTACCCTACCCAACCAGAGAGGTGGTCATGCTCAACGGCTCGGACCTGGCCAGCCTGAAGGTCCATGGTTACGCAGCATACCAGCGGCATATGCAAACGATTTTTTATGGAACCACCACCACCCAACTCCATTTGATGTCCACATGTGAAGTGAAGAATATGATAGGTAGGTAGTCTACATTATATGCTAACAGTTACGTAGAACGAAAGCTGCCTCGTCCACAAGATTTGTGCCATGGCACGTTCCCCTAGGCCGCTGAACTGTTACGAAAGATACACTCGCAATGAATACTCGATGCTGAGATGCCTCCGTTTAATTTACGCCTTGCCACAGAAGTATCATATGTCTTCGATTTTTATTGTCGTTTAGTTCGACTAACACACAGTTTTAGTTTTTCCGCTTGCCTACGTCTACTTGAAGTATAGCTACCTGTTCAACATCGATAACTGCTAGGTTTTCAAGAAGCACTAACCAAATGACAAGGCTCATTATAGAAGCAAGCAAAGTTCATTGCTAAGTTTGGGGACACATGTATAAGCACAAGCCATCGGTATCATTATCGTTGAAAGAATTGCATTATTTGGATGTCGCATGAGTAGCAGTAGATCACAATTTTCTAGTTCTAGCACGTTATTGTGACGCGCCATGTTTTGGTATAAGTATTGCTGTTTCTCGGATTAAACCGCATTGTTGAAAGTGAGCGCCGTGTATGTGTTTTGTGTCTTCTTCTCTGTCCCGTCTTGAATGCGCTATACCTTGAACAACATGAATAACCAACAAGCCCACCATGCAACCTTTGCGGATTCCCTTGCATATAGGAAGAGAATCCTGGCTTCACAGCTGAGTCACTACCTCGAAGAAACTGGCCCAATGCCACATACACTGAACGTCATTATTTTCATTCATCATAATTTTTCTGCTACTGCGCAACGCTTATTGCTAAACTCGGGCCGAGAGCATGAGGCGCAAGCTAGAAGAGAAGGGCTCATGATCCTTACCATACTGGACACTGTAGCCACAGCCGCTCCGCTTCGGCCATTCACATTTTGCATAAAGAGGCAAGAACAGCACAGCCATGTTGGCTACTGTCACTTTCATTGTACCGTTGAAGAGCACTGTAATAATGGTGCTATAGATGTGAAGAAAGTAAACTGGACAAAAAGGCAACTTACCGCTGGCAGAGACAGAACCTGGGACCTTCGGATGACATACAAGCAGGGAGGAGTGCTCTTGTTGAAGACGGACCTAGCCTTGAAAAAGGTGGCCGGCAGTCGCTCTGCCCGAGTGTTACCAAGTGTAGTAGTCTGAAGTGCGGACGAGAGGTTTTTCTGTTCTTTGAAGTCCCTTAAAGGAACACTAAAGAAAGAAACTATTTCTTCGTGCATTAGTGAATTACAAATTCACAACACCGAAGAAACCATTCTTACCGTGAGAAGACGCTTGGTAAGCAAGAAAACACACGATAAAAAATCGTGAGTGGCGACACCAAAATGACATTCCAGCGCCTTAAGTTGCGACTTCATAGATTTTGACAGCGTCTACCAAGTCATATGTAGCTGCTAATCGGTAAAATGAGATGCATCATACTGTGATGAGGCCATGGACATAACACACCAAATTTGACAAAATTTAATTGAACCAGTGTTGCCAGAATACGAATAATACCATCTGAAATTTGTTATGTCACGCCTAGAGATTTCAAAACGCCCCGCTGTCGTGGTCTAGTGGCTAAGGTACTCAGCTGCTGACGCGCAAATCGCGGGATCAAATCCCGGCTGCGGTGGCTGCATTTCCGAAGGAGGCGAAAATGTTGTAGGCCCGTGTGCTCAGATTTGGGAGCACATTAAAGAACCCCAGGTGGTCGAAATTTCCGGAGCCTTCCACTACGGGGTTTCTCATAATTATATGATGGTTTTGGGACGTTAAACCCCACATATCAATTACAGATCTCAAAACTTTAAAAATTAAACCTTGACAATGATTTTTCTGTTATTAATACTAAGCATATAATAGTGAAATTTATGACAGGGCTCTTAGAATACAATTTATCAATCTATGTTAATCTATTGTTTCACCTTGGTATCCATTTAATCATACCAAGTTACTACAATTGAGCCACACTAATGAAAGGTGGCAGGTTTTAACATGACATGTTTCATGTTTCATGTCAAAATGGGTTTCATGTCGCTTAGTACACAGAGCATGGTCAATATTAATTAAACACCGCAAGAATGTAAGCTGATTAATCAGAGGAATTCAAGTTATGATTGCAAAGAAAACAATACAATATAATCAGAACAAAAGGAGCTGACGCATCTTACTTCCTTCAAGGTGTAAAAATAAAGACCAGAAGAATAAATATGAACAAGTGATGACTTTATTGGTCATGTCAGTTGGTGGGCAAAAATACCATTACTTTATTAGGAGAGAAGGTTGCACAAAAATAATCGAATAAACATCAAAACATTAAGATCTCAATGACTCATCAATGTAACATGGAGTTCACTGATTTTGATTTATAAATGCTCCACGATTCTGCAAGAGAAAGGAAAACAAAAAATGTTAATATTCCCTCTGAAACATTGTTTATGCTACTTCACATCATGTGCGCATCTGCAATGCCACAAGTCACTGAAGTGTTCAGGTGGCATTGTAACACATTTTCCATTGTTGCAGCACACTGACGGCTGAAAGCTTGATCCTAAGCCTTGAAAACTAATTCTTCAGTTTTTTCAGTTTATTTTGATTCAATGATAGAAGAGGAATTCACTTTATCTTCTAGCACACAATCTGGAGGACAGCAGGCATAAGCTATCACAAACAGTTTGGCAGGACAGCGGGGCCTATAGACATCAACTGGACACTGCATTTAACGCAAAATTTAAACTATGCATCAGCATAAATACATGGTATAACTGTGGTTTTAGCGCATAAAGAAACAAAAAGAACACAGGACCAAGTGCTTGTCCTGTGTTCAGTGCAACTGACCCGTGCGCTAAAACCACAGTTATACCATGCCCAACCAACTAGTCCAAGTTTCAATTCTGTTCATAAATACAGACATTTTGAAAAAAAAAAAAAGCCAGCTCCACACCATAAAAGTCTTTAAAATAGTATAAAGCTGATGCCACTCCTATGTCACACCACTGCCTTTCTATTGCCTATTGGCCAACTTCTTGCTAGAGAGTACGAGCAGTTGTGGCCACTTCCACAGTTGTGGAAGAGTGAACTCTCAAAGAGCCGACAGACTCCTTTATGCTTCACCGAGGCCCTCACGAACCCACTTCTCCCAAACAACTGGGTTACGTCGCGCTTAGTGCGGAGCCGCACTTCCTACAGTGTTTCTCACTGATTTACGTCTTCCATTGAGCCTCATTCTTGCTCATCTTGGAGTGCCTCCAATCGGTTCTCCGTTTCCACGAAATTTGTCAGTCAATTTAAGAGAAAACTAGGCAGGGGCAAACATGCGTATTATGGTCATTTCAGGTGATGAATGACAGTACTAATGAAAAGAGAGTATGTTAAATGGTGCAAATACACTTTTTCTGTGTAGAAAAAAAATAGGGCAGAGTAGCGCTTTTTTTATTTTGTTAACGTGGAGTAAAATTGAACATCTTTACTGTTTGCAAGCCCATCCTGGGCTGAATAATGGCATGAGTAAACAGGAGGACACCTCGCCTAAGTCAGCCTAATAACAAGCGCTGTTTAGCTGTACTACTGCTGAACGTTGCCGGCACAGCAAGCTCGAAACGAGCGAGTTATTGAAAAGGTTTGTGCCTGTGTGCAGCTTGCTGCAATAGAAAAGCTTACTACACATGCCTGACGTACCACCTATAACCATGAACAATTACTATAACGTAAGGTTCACCCACCAAGTAACTAGCTAGGCGGGGGCTGAGAGCCCTCATGTTGGCGAGGAGGATCATCTTCGGATTCGGTCCTTGGCACTGCATCTTCATGTGAGACTTCTGATGCATCCTGGCAATGGGAGGGGGTACACAGAGAAGAGTACAATTCACTATACTTATCAACTGTTCAATGCCCCAAAGTGAAACATGGTTTAACAGAGGCAGGAAGAGGGGCTTCAGAGCCCTTGGTGACCTACAATATGCATATGAAAAGCATGGTAAACTACCATTCTTGAATTTAGCCTGAATTAAAATGCAGCCTTGGACGCTGGCAATCGAACTCTGGACATAATTCTTAACAGCAAGACACTGTAGCTACTGGGTGGAAATCGTAAGTATTTAATGTTTCTGAGAGCTGCTTGTATACTAATGTCAGTGCCTAGCAATGCTTGGAAGCTCCTTTTAAATAGGTATGTACCCACAATATAAATAGTCAACCAACTGAAGTGCAATGTCATACACCAGGCGCAAGCACTTAGCAATAGGGTGTAAAAAGTCTCGCACATTTTAGACTCTACCACAATAATTTCCTTCTGCACACTGCTTCTGTATTATATTATGAACAAGGTTGAACATCTGAATGAAGGCACAAAATTAAATGTTCTCTCCAAATGCATGTGCAGCAGAACAAAGTAACAAAACCAAATAGTGGATTAAGAGAGAGGCTCACAGAACAAAAGAAAAATGTAAGCCAAACTTGATGGCCCGGGAGAACACCCCGGCTGCAGCCGTTTGAACTGTGCCTATGTAATCAAGAACCACATTATGAGGCCGGGAGCCAGCCGGATGGATGAGACGAGCCTCGCCAGTGATGCAGTGTATATAAATTGCCGAAATTCGGGTCTGAATTCCTAAGGCACTCGTTCGTCGTACCTCCAAGGACTGCATGATTTCCAATGCCTGTGATGGCACTGAAGATGAGGTGCTTTGAGAGGACATCTCTGATGAGGAAGTTTCGGATTAAAGTGCATCAGACAATGATGAATAGGTCTGCGAATAAATGTTTTTGATTTCTATTTTGCTCAAGCTATATTAGTGTGAAAACGTTTTTCTTTTTTTTTTTTTTCTCCCATTTGCTCTCCCCGAAATTCTACCGGACTATACACAGCACTACAAGGTAAACTCTACTTACAGATGCTGGTTGCCTTGAGGCAGCATCATCCATAGGCTGTTCTGCCACACCACCTTCAGCTCCCCCTACAGCCTGCATTCATTAGAGTGAGAGAGGGAGAGAAAAAAGATCTCGCAAGACAGCTTTTTTCTCAACCAAGAAGAATATGCAAAGGCTGCAAATGTCCCGCCCAAAACAATGACCTAAGCAATATGTTGTAAATGACTAATTCTTGTGTAACGTTTGAATTTTCAACACACAGAATGCTACTTCACTATGTCTGAACTCCTTGTAATCAGGTCATGCTGTACCATCTACACAAGTTTTCTCCGCCAGTAATCCTAATGGCTGCTTCAGCAAGCAGAACTACTACGTACAGTGGCATAACTAACCCCCAACAACGCTGGTGCTGCCACGTCTTCAGGCTGCTGGTCGTCGGCATCTTGCTCTGCGGCAGGCGACTGATCGGCTTCGGCCAAATCTTGGGTTCCCTCAGCCTCGGGCTCAGTTTCCAGCTCACGATCTTCGTCATCTTCCGCTTCTTCACCCTGCTGCTCGCCGCCAGGTGCAAGGCCTCTGCAATAGATGAAATGCAAATTTCTGCAAGCAGGCTTCCTAGCCCGCCTCACTTGCCCTAACCGAAATGGTCGTTGAGTGGACTGTTGAAGATGCAAGGCACATCTTTAAGAATAAGACGGTGCGAGAGAGAGAAATGTGACAGGAATGGTGGCATCAGCCCATATGCTGACAAGATATTTGTAATTCTAATCTCACTCTGACATTTTGATTAGGCCAGAAAAGTATTATGGATTCCAGTTTGAAGTCTCACATAGTAGTTAAGTCAGAAAACAAATTCTAGAGAAGCATAATTGGAAATTTCGCATAGAGCAGCGACTCACTAAAATGAAGTCGCATAAAATGGGCTAACGCCCAAGCATGAGGCAGGATGAAGGGGCCCCAAGTAGTAATTTGCTATACCTCAAATATGATTCCGGTGTTTCGGCATGCACATGTGTATTATGGAATGTGTTCAAGACGTCTTTGCAGGCGTAATTACGTAGAACATCGTAACTTTAAAAAAGGCTTTGGTCCTTCACAGCAATGTTCAACAGAGGACCTTTAAGACACAGAGAAACACTTGAGTAGAGTGCATTTGAAGCAGGCTTCAGGGAAGTACTAAAATGACACAGTGTGACCAGGGCACTGAACACATTTGATAAGAGAATCAGAACAATACCCAGCACAGGTACGAAAATGTGTCCCATGATATAGCGTACCAGATTAGTCAGAATGAGAATGCCACAGTTCAACTAGTTAATCATGAGAACCCCTTCAACTTCCACAATGCTTAGTTATAAGTTATATTGTTTCCTTCTTTTTACCTGCTGTCTTTCAATGCTGAAGCTTGGGAAGGACTTAAAATCAGGCCACCCTTCCAGCATTTGTACTACAACAAACCCCTCTGTTTCATACATCTTTCTTATGCCTAATGCACTTAATTTTACTTAATGGGCCGGGATCAGCGTGCATCTACTACTTGAGAAACGTTGATGACTGTGCTACACAGACTGGGTGTGGTTTAGTTCAAGTGAGAAATTTTATGCATCATGAAAATGATTCCCGTTACTCTAATGTTGCTTGATGGAATAAAAATATTGAGTTGTGTACAATGATGTATGAATGATATACCACACTCACTGTTGCAGAAAAGCCAGTTCAATGTTGTACATAGCCTGCTGCACATCTTGATTCACACCACGCAAGGCATGGGCCTGCAAATGTGACAATTACAGCCTTCAATAACACAGTATTAGTAATCACTGTTTCATATTTAACAAAATGTTCCCTTTCCCAGAGACAGGGCACGAAGTTTTAGTGATGCCGATTTTTTTATGTAGAGTAATAATACACATATCTTGCACGGATACATAAAAGAATAATATCCAAAGTTTAGAAACATCTTAAGCGGCTGTTAATTTACCCAAAATATGACGAAATCTATCAAAGCTTTAGAGCGAAGTAACAACCTATTGAACTAGTTTTCGTTTTTTTGCAAGTTTCATATAAGCAGGTTTGACTGCAGTTTAATAAAAACAAAAAGCCAGTTAATCTGATGTGTCTAGCGACCCAACTCGTGTTAAACATAGGTTACGTGATAACTGCTGTCAGGTTACATTAACTACATGTAAGCTCGTTCTTTGGGAGTTGAGTCATTAGTTGCCTAGCAGATAAAGCAATGCACTGACCTCCGCCATCATGAGCATGTTGTTGTCCAATACTGGCAATTGCTCTGCCACAGGACCCTCACTACCAGGATGAGGCAGCTCTGCAGCTTGCTGAAAAATTGGCAGGCAAAGTGACATTTTCCTTAATTCGTGAGCCGCACTTACCAAAATACACAGTTCAATCCTTATAGAAAAGTTCTTGTAATGAATAAAGCTTTTTTTTTAGTTTGCCGAACATGCCACAGGAAAGGAGGCAATAAAAAAAAAAGCTTTTCAATGACAAATATGAGGTGGACTGTCAACTTGAATGAGAGAGAGGGAGAAATGAGGAAGGAAACTTTAGAGTTGAGGCTTGAGAAAGAGTACAGTTATATAGGAAAAAAGAAAATATATAAATGCCATACTGCAAATACTATTAAAGAGATATAGGTAGTTACAGTATTACGCAATTGCAATAATAGAACTCAGAGTTTTAAATCCCAAAACTATGGTATGATTATGATAAACGCTATAGTGGAGGTCTCCAGAAATTTTGAGCACCTGGAGTTCTTGAATGATCACCTGAATCTAAAAATAATCATTTTTGCTTGTACTTGAAATGTAGCCACAGTGGTTACACACTCGCAGGGTAATGTAATTTAACTGATAAGTCTAATGGCATGCACCCCTTGTTTCAGTACATCCTGCTCTACAGCACACAGCAAGCGATACACTGTTGACTTCTGTAGTCTGGTTAATCTTACTGATGGTTAATCTTACTGAGAGATGTGAAGGCTAATTTCATCAGGCATAGCTTCGAATGAATCAGATTTTGCAACCCTTGTTGTGAAGGACGAGTACTACGTTGCTGTAGTCGACAACAGCTCTTAGTTTAGATAAAAAGGGGCAAGGGATGTGTGTCCATACAACTGTTAAGGTGTGCTAGAAAGCTGGAATGAGCCGGGTCAGCTTTGTGAGCATGCACCATCGTATGCCAACATGTAGGTTGAAGCTACGAACAATGTGCCAGGCGGCAGTGGTGACAACAACAATGGGCCCACTTATACACCGGCTTAAGGATCCCTGAATATCTAAAGTTCTGACACATTTGCTCATGGTGGCACATGACTAGCTGGCTGAATAACATGACTCATTTTATGATGAACCCTGACACCGAAGATTTGTAAGTACTTTTGATATGCAAATAACAGCGGTGACACATTTGTGCTGCAAAGTTGTGCCCTTCTTTCACAGATGAATTTTTTTTGACTGATTTCAATTCAATAAGGTTTCACTCAGCATGTCAATTCTGTTTACTTCAAGCAGCATGGCTGTTTCCATTAGGCATTGTCTACATCATATAGCTGATCTTTTAAATGGACCATTCCTTCAGCAAGTCGGAATTCACACAAGAAAAGTACGTCTGAGTTCCACATATGCTGTGTTTACACGACTGTAGGTCGACGCATTTAGTTTTCATTTGAAAGCCAGGGTAAGGGTGTCGACAAATAATCGAAAACTAGTTTCATTTGTAAAGTCGTTCTAAAAATAATTCCAGCCTATTTCTGCAAAACTAGCTTTCCTGCACAGCTTTCAAGCACTGCCGTGAAGTCACCTTCAATTTCATGATTCGGTTTTTTTTTGGATATATCGTAAATAATTTTAACTTTTTTTTTGATGAAATGTGTTCATGCTTCCTTCCCCCCCCCCCCTTTTTTTGCTGTACAATTTCAGCCGAGTTGATCTACACTCCTATTGACTTAAAAGCGTGCAAATACGGTACCAGAGTTAAGTTGAATCTCTCAATAAATGAAATAATGTACTTTTGGGCTAGTTGTTTCATATACACAATAAAAAAAAGCATCAGCAAAAAAAACAGACCCAACGAGGAGGAAGACACGTACGCAAAACATTTTGTTTATGCGTCTTCCTCCTCATCTGGTCAGTTGTTTTAAGGGGAGACACGGGTCTAAAAGGCCGAAAAATTTCCGAAAAATCAGTTTTTTGAAGTATTTTGTTTATTAATATATAGGGCCTGAAGAAGATGTTCCTAAAATGTTATTGCCATGTAATGTGTATTCGTCAAGCAATTCGGTCTCAAAGTCAGTTTCGTGACCATTTTCCCTTGGGAAACCATCTCAAAAACGGTCATATTCGACGCCTGCGAACCACGCCAAGTAGCACGTCCATTTTGGTCTCAATTGAAAGCCATATTCTTTTTTTGTCTGTTCCTAGCGGAAAAACACTTTTCATCTAGCAACAACGCAGCTATAGCGAATAAATAAAAACGAAATACTTGCACATTATTGGTGCATTTCTATCATGTGGGGCAGTTCCCACTTCCCTATTGGATGTCAAGGGTATAGTGAAACAGAATATGATCTAGTGGCGCGATCAGCTGTGCTCCGGCGTCAACTTTCACATGGATTCCGCTAGATGGCGCCGCTGCTACTTTTCATGCTAGCCTCAGCTGCATTCTTGGGCCGTCGCAGACTCCTGCATAGCTGCGGATGTGGTTACTTCTAACGCGCATTTGCTTTCTGGTTCATGCAAACGCAAAATTAGGAAGTTAGTTACTGCATGGACAACCTGGCAAAAGCGTTGGCGATGGCATCAGGAACCAATGATAATTTTCCTCGGGGAATGCGCACTTAACTGCCGTTTATCACGTGCACATATTCGCACAGTATGTATCTTGGCCCGAAATGGTGTTCGTACACCGCTGAAGTTTAGGTCAGAGTCGGCCCTCTGGAGGTTCCGCACCTACTTTCTGCGGAGATCGCCATCCCTGGGAATTTCAAACAGCGACGCCTTCGGAGCGCCCCGGTTAACGGTGGGGCAACCCGGAGCAGAGCAATGAAAATCCGTTCTCCTCTTCGATATGCTGGGAGCTACATGTTTGTTGGTGCGGGATATCTCACAAAGTACAGACTCCACCCCGGTGCTGGCGAGAGAATGCAGCAGATTACAGCGGCACACGTGCAGTAAAGTAACTTGTTAGAAATTGAAATGCAATCATCCGGCCTGCATGAGACGCTCATCGGCTTCGCTCTCTTACACGGCCCGCGGCCCACAAGAGTGCGGTACGTGTATCACAAGAACACTTGTTGAGAAGCATGCACACGGACCGGAGAAATGAAAAGAGCGTCTCGTGTGCGCTAGGATTTCATTCTTCCTGTCGCTGGCCTCGCTTATATCACTTGGGCTAAAACGATTTCAAACATCTGCGAATTACAAAAAAGCGACAGCATGATGCGTACTTCGAAATGCGCACATGGAATAAAAGTGACACGGAATAACACGGTACTAAATGTAACACAATACACGAAACGAAAGAAAAGCAGCATATTTACTTTTTCATGTTTTGTTGGGCTGACACTATCCCTTAGGATAGCCCATAGATCTATGCTTTCCGTGTGCCTTGGTCAGTCGGAAATACAAATACATACACTCGAAGCCCAGATTCACAGTTTCCACAGAAATGTGAACCCAACACTTCCTTGGCACCGCAGCTGCTCGCAATCTGGTGAATCAACAACGAACACGAGCACAACCACAGGCGGCACATATCACAACTCCGAAGAGCCTGATGGCACACAGAGAAAGATGGAAAATTCGTCCTTTTTCGTCGAAGCGTAGTAATGCTGCAGAGACTGCAACGGCGCTGTTAACGCGCCACCGAATGACGGCATCAGTTGCATTGTGTGCCACCACAGCGCACAATGCAACCAGCGTCGTCAGCCTGTTGACATATGCGGTAGAGCTTCCAGGCCTTGATGAAGTTTCTTCAGGTGGCGGTGGCTCAACGTGCCAAACTCCCATACATTCTCATGCACACGCACTGATTGACTCCTGCGCTGCTTGCGCTATCCAGAGAAGACGCCGCCAGCGCGCGCTCCCCTCGCGAACATGACATGAAAAGGCGCAGTGGCACCATGAGAAATCCTAGCGGTCATCCGTGTCGTTTTGGATTGACAGCAGCCGCAGCCTGCCTGCCGTGCGACTAGATCATATTCTAGTTCACTATAGACAAAGGGTTCGTCTGCTAGACAGCGGTGTGCAATCCGCCATTTTGTGACGAGGCCTAAGCGACGGCTGTGGGATCGGTGTGATGGCAGGCAGTCATCGAAAGTTCAATACTTTTCATGCGTTCGAAAAAAAGCGGAACCCTCTGCCGCCGAGAACATGGAAAAAGCTGGCTGTGCCAACGCTATCATGAACGCGGTTCCCGCGATCACGGACACGATAGCTGGGGCCAACAATCACATGCAAGATCTGCGCATCGGCACTCCCGTGGTTTCTAACGCTGAAAAAGTAGCCCTTGCGTGTCGTGCAAGTGACATTGAAAGGGACCTTTCGTCGACGTCAGCCTCACGATGCGAGGGGTCTGTTTTTTGAGACTTCGAAGCGACCGTGACTACTGGAGTGCCGTTCACCGTTGTAAGCTGCTTCAGTGTATGTAGTGCAGTGTGTGTGGCGAGTCTGGCAGCGTTTCCGAGGAAGATCGGGAATATGGCATCGCCATGAAACTTGTGCTGACGTGTGATGAATGCGGGGAACTGAAATTTGCACGGAGCTCGCCGAGAGCAAGAGGGGGAGGGGAGGATGCGGCACGCGATTCGTTCGAGATCAACGTGCTCGCGGTTCGCATGGCACAGCAAACGGACAAACTGCGTTGAATTGCATTTTTTTTTTCACCCTAAATGTTTCACGGAGATACAAAGACATATAAAGATTACGTGAAAGTGGGAATGACTCCTGTTTCGTAGAAGGCTGTCGCGCACGTTACTGACGACTGCGTAAGCACCGTCAGAACGCTGTATGCCGATATGAACTAGGAAACCCTGGAAACATCTGGCATGCAATTAAAAGAAAGTGCTAAAAGAATGACGACTACATTCCTGGCGACTTCTAGCATCATTACTGCAATGATTTACACCATTACCTGTTGAATATACTTGCTCACTGTGTCCCTAAACTTTTCTCATTTTCTCAAAACATTTTTCACCAAGTCAGAGGCCATCACCCGCAGTACCTTTTGATCTACTGGTTGGATTTTGATAATTGTTGCAGCATTTGAAAGCTTATACATTGATGAGTGAAACAAGATGAAAACATTATGATAATTATGATAAGAACAGTGATTTATTTAGTGATATAATTAAGGCACAGTTTCAGATTTCTGACGAGTCTACTTGTTAAGGCCATAACTCTTGAATGAAGCTAAGGATAAAATTATGGTTTCCTTGCACTTTCTGGTCTTTACAGAACACTGCCATATCTAATTTGCAGCAATCTTTTATGAGAAAACTGTCTAAACAGTGGGCAGAATGTAACTTTGTGGAACAGTCAATATTTTAAAATCTAGAAGTGACAGCTGAAAACTAAATGCATATTTGTTTTCAGCTGCGAGAAATGCATATCACATAAAATTTTCAGCTTTAAATACTCAAAATTAAAAAAAAAATTTAAGAGCAGTTTAACTGGTGCTGTTTTACTGGAATAATTAGAGAAGGATAGTTTTGAAAAACACACAGAGGCACTGTCAAAAATCAGAGTGCTTGCAACAAGGCACGCGAGCAGAACAAATGCTCTGAAAATTGAAAATAATGCACAAATCGAATACACACACCTATATTTACAAGATACCGACCGAAAGTGCGGCTGACACTTACAGGAGCTGAAACTGTTGTGTCCTTCTCTGGCCAAGCCTGCTCAAACACAGGATCTATTGGTCTGGCCGAAGCTGCTTGATCCTAGAGACATAAATCCAAACTTGTACATCGGACATCCATCAGTACAGCCAGAACTATCAAACTGATACAGTATAGACCGCTTATAACGTAAGTCGCGGGAGTCTCGAATATCTGCACTATAAGCGGTACCGCACTATTACCAAAACAACCTTTTTTTAAGGCCGCACTTGCGCAAAACGTGTTTAGCATGCAGCTTCGTGTGTCCGAGAATCGAAACATGCGATGTGTGCTAGCTAACATTTAAATTTCTGAATGTTAAAAGAATTGGACGTAAAAAGACACGCGTTGCCAATAAAATGAATGCGAAAGGGAGAGGGTGGGTGTCAAACAAACGAAAGCGCCATCGCGGAAATTCACCCACTACCAGACCGCCTCGATTATGCACATTACACAGAAACTATGTCGAATCACATCCAGAATTTGACGCCGTGAAAGATGCCAACCATTCGGTTAAGACAACCATTCATTAAGACCTGATTTAAGACATCGCAATCGCATCGCGAACCACTATTTGAGCGCTACATGTGCCGCCTCGTTTTCATTAACGATATGTACCATTCCCATCAAGTGCGGCCACCGCAAAGCGTTTCGTTGATTTGGTACTTGACCTCAACTAGATTCACGTGACCGCTACCGATCGAAGCGCAACCAATGCCGATTAGGCCTTGCTTGCCGTTTGGTCTGTTGTTGGGGAAATGTTGCCCAAACATGAAGATTCGGCATGAAAAAGATCGCACTAGCAGCGAACCAAGAACAGCGTTTGTGATATGAAGTTCGCGTTCGTGGCGGGGAAATCAGCAACGACAACTCTCCAAGCTTACAAACGGCAGCGCACTAGCAGCAAAAGGGAAAGCTCGCATCATAAAACCGTAATAGGTTTTCAATTTACGAACGAGAAAGCAAACGCCATATTTGTTGCAAGCTCGATAATGAGGACGTCTTTCCTGACAGGAAACTGTTGGGCACATCGCACATGCAATTCATAAGGACGAGATCGCACGTACCACGTTGAGCGGCGCGGGGCCAAAGCCACACTAGCAACGTAGTACGCTGTAGTCGCGTCGGCGCCGGTGCAAAGGCTTATCGGTCACTGAGGCAACCGTCCTCCTCCCTTTCTCTGCGAGCCCGCACAATGTCCCGCGGTCTTGTTTCATTATCTTTTTCTTCCCTCCGCCCTTCGTTTGTTCACTCCGTCTCCCCTCCTCCTCTGTAACGACCTCTTCGCTCGCTCCCCAGTGGCGCACCCAGCGTGCCTCTTTTAAGAAGTGCACTCGCTACCGCGTTTGTCACAAACAATTTCCGGCAACCGCATTATAACCAGTCTTTCATCTTTGGGGACTGCACAATAAGCGGTATGCGTATACATGGGATTTTATGGTAGGGTAAACGGGAGTATAAGAAGACTGCGTTGTAAGCGGTTCTGCACTAAAAGCGGTTTACATTACAAGCGGTCTACACTGTAATTCTCAAAGGTGCAAGTACAGAAGTGCAGATGACTGCACCGTAATTAACATTATTATGAGAACTACGCAATATATATAGAAAATTCAAGAAACCTCATTGGTGCCACAATCTCGCTCTGCAACCATGTGTTCAGCAGGAGCCTGAAATAAAGCATGACATCATATTACAGGGCTTTCACTGCAGGCTGCTCTAACTATGCGGGAAAGTGAAGCGGTCATGTTTAAACTGCTTTACTCTTTCGTTATGATGATCTCTACGGAGTTGCAGCTAACTACTATTAATAATTGTACTAGCACACAAAGGTCGTAACAGTTTAACGTCAAGCCCAAATTAATGCATTGGTTTAAAAACACATTTGGGACACCAGTAAATCAGGTTAAGTAACAAAATCAGGAAACGAACACACGAAAGATTCAAGACTCCCTTCAAGATAGAGGTTACATAGAGTACTATGAAAAATCGTCCTGGAACAGTAAAGCATGCTGCAACTAGCTCTAATAGAAATGATGCTAAAGGTAAAAAAAAAAGAGAAGGAAAAGGTTGTGTATAAGGGGATGGTGACAATAGTTTGTCCTGCTCGATGTTCTAAGGGTATAGAAAATGCTTAACAATGACCTCAAGATTAAATCTGGTTACCTAAGTTTCTTGATGCACATTACACTTACAGATGTTCTGATTGGCAACTATGCATACTGGGTCTGTCCCAAAAGTTCCCGGAACTTTCGTTGGTAGTCAGCAGCACCGTTGGTAGGGCGCTTCAGGAGCAGAAGTTAGAGGGGAGTGTAACCCCCAAATGCAGAGATGTTACTTGACTCATACTTGACTCGTACTTGACTCGTTCTTGACTCAAGACAGTCTTGCCGCTCGCCATAAATCGTTCTCGAACTTGCGGACGACTCGAAGGCTACTTGGCTCGGTCGAAGTCAGGACAAGTTTCAAGTCAGCTGCGGGGCTAGCTTGAAAGTGACTTCATGTTTTCTTCTAACATGGCCACCTCTCGAATGGACGTCGTGCGGATGTTGGTCGCTGTTGAGTTTGCTTGCCACGCCATAAGCATAGCATTTTGTGAGACGCACTGCCTGCTGAAGATTCGTCGACCCGCTTTATGTGACCGAGGACATCCGATGGAGTTGTACGACGAGGAACAATTCCACGCTTGATACAGATTCACCAAGAATGCCGTGCGGCAGCTGCTGACTATGTTGCCGCTTCGTGAAAGTGGAGACAACCGAAAACAGCCTGTGCCTCCAGTTTTACAGCTACTGATGGCGCTCAGGTTTTACTGCGCTGGCATACATACTCCAAACAGTCACCGGGAATCTCGTTCGCATTCCGTAATCAACAGTGTGCCAGGCAGTCTGAAAAGTTCCGCCACTCATCGCAAAGCACCTGTGCGCGATGCTGGTGCGCTTTCCACAGCCGGCGGCACTTCCTATAGTTATGCGGGACTTTTAAGGTATGGTTGAATTCTTTGGCGTGACAGGATGTGTCGACTGCACTCATGTGCGTGTTATTAGCCCCAGTAGTGACGGCATTGAAGTGTTCTGTACTGCAAGGACTATTTCTGTTTCTTCTGATTGACTGATATGTGGGGTTTAACGTCCCAAAACCACTATATGATTATGAGGGACGCCGTAGTGGAGGGCTCCGGAAATTTCGACCACCTGGGGTTCTTTAACGTGCACCCAAATCTGAGCACGCGGGCCTACAACATTTCCGCCTCCATCGGAAATGCAGCCGCCGCAGCCGGGATTCGAACCCATGACCTGCGGGTCAGCAGCCGAGTACCTTAGCCACTAGACCACTGCGGCGGGGCTTCTATTTCTTCTAAAACACGACGCCATTTTCCGCCGTTTCCATCTCTTTCAGTACAAAATTGACTTAGCACTGTGTCTGTGTGCCTCGTCCATCCTTTCGTCCCGTCTAGGGCGCTGTTTCTCACTCAGACAGGCATCGTTTGCCACACAACGCTACGAAAAATTCCGCACACACACAAAAAAAGAGGTGCCCCTATCATGGGTTTCCTGACCATGTGCCTCCCCTTTCACCATAATGCAGCGTGACATTGCTGCACCTCGCGAGAGAAACTTCTGTGGAGGGCAATGTACTGACCCCCGCTTTTTCACTTGTTTACCAAGCTCAACCAAAGGAAACGAATCACTTCTGTTCCCACGACTTGTTTTTTAATTTTTTCATATATAACTGCAACGTAGCCTGCCACAAGCATGTCCACAGTTGAATAGAAAGGGGAATACCTTTAAAATCGCGTTACCTCCCGAGCCAGGTCAGCACAAATGCTTGCCGTGGTGTTCGATTGAAAAAAAAAAAAAAAAAGCGATGAAAGAACCCAACGTGATGCTCGTTTCACCTCCAAACAAGCAAGCGTGCAGAAACGCGCCGCATTTGGGTGGCCATTAAAACCAGCGGGCAACGGACGCTTTACAGAAGCAACACTGCACATCGCTGCGGCGGGCACCACACCATGTACCGCTCGTTAGCTGTAAAATGGCAAAAATATGCTTGTGGCACTTCGTTTTCAGAGTTATTTTGAAATGTACAATATTTTTTTGCTGTAACACGTGCCTTACGCGAACAACTTCATTATTAACCTCGTTACCAGGTGAGCAGCGTGTTTCTGCTTTGAAGCTCGTTCTTGACTTGATCAAGCAAGACAGCCTGAGCATCTATGAAACGCGAAGGCCGACTTGGGCGTTATGAAGTCTGCTGCTTGCTTCATGCTGACTTACTCAAGTCAAGTCGAAGACGCGAGCCAAGTAACATCTCTGCATTCAGGGGTAAGGGTCAAAATGAGTATGATTTCAGTTGCCTGCGGGCAATTGTTGAGGCAGGTCAAGCCATTGCAGGGAGGTATCTACTACACCCTTGCTGAGAAAAAAAATTAAAAAGATGAGTTTTTGGAGCAACGCTATGCAATCATGTTTTGTGTGAAACAAGACAGAGACACTCGAAACGCTTCAGAAAGCCATGGTGAAGTCGCGATAAAACAAAACTATATCTTTATGTAGAACAAGAGGTTCTGGGAAGGTCTGGAGTCTGTCAATGACAACGACCACTCTGGAAACCTACCGAAATCATGACTCATTGCAGAAAGGGGTCAAGTATTCTATAAGGATTGGCAATGAAGGGGTAAGATGCAGGCGCATAGCCAAAAATTTTTTTCAGTGGCGGGGGTGGGAGGTGGGCAATACCTTAATTTCTGGAGGGGCACCCCCTTGAAATGGTAGTTGTTTGCTCTCTCTGCCATGGCGAAAAAACTTTTTATAGGGGGGGGGGGGGGGGGGTGCAGGCCCAGGGTGCCACCCCTTGGCTACGCCCCTGGTCACATGATTGTGGAAGAGTGTCCAATATCCAAAACAACAATTTATCGTGCTTTGACGACAGATTTTGCTAATGAGGAAACTCTGCGTGAAAATGGTGCTAGAAGTCCTGACGAGTAAGATAAAGGTGGAGTCACATCCCACCGATTGCCTCCGAGCTACATGCCAAAAAACAGTGTGGCAGCTCTGCTCCACCCACTGCACGGCCTCGATCTGGCACTACCAGGCTTTTTTTTTGTGTGTGTCCAGTGACAAAGGAAACCTGAAAGGAATCCCGCATGAAATGTTTAAGATGGTAAAAGCATCTTGAGCGACCTCTCTGACAGAGGTTCTCACCTTCAATGATCGGGTGATGCATTGACAACCTAACCACTCATTAATTCAGGGAGGAGTGCTTTTAAATGTCCATAAAAGATTGTAAACTGATATTGAATAAGTTATTTATAAAACAAAAATTGTGGGAACTTCTGGGACAGACCCTACATGTCCAGGAGAAGTGAATAGAACAGCAACAACACGAGAGAACCACATGTCATCCTGGCCCACTCACAGTTCTTTCCATGGAAGCCGCAGCCATTGTGGAAAGCTGGGGGGGCTGGCTAGCAGGGCTGCACAGAGGTTTAGCTCTCTTCCGAGCTGTGACTGCCGCCAGAGGCCTTGCAATGTTCTTGTCAAAGGATGAATCTGATAGGGTTTCCTAGAGAACCACCAAAGATATGAAAACATAAGTTGAGCATTGCTCAAAATTAACGCAAAATTTTTAAAGTGGTCCATCAACCGCAGGCACATAATAAGGAATGTGACTAGTAAAGAATGCTGAAACATGTCACTAAAAACATTTAAGGCAAGACTGGGAAGGCACCTTTTTAAAGATATTCTCCTCTCATAAAGAACACATGCAATGCTTGTCCAATAGAGGCGAGTATATACATTTTTTAAAAAAGTTCACTGTAGCAAGTGGTCATAAACACCACATGGCAACACTACATGCAAAGCAAACTATGCCATTCGGACTCTAAATGCTTACAGCAGCTTGTAGGTTCAGTTGCAAGTGCAGATGGCAGGTTCATTTTTATGAGGTAGTTATAGTACCTCTTTTTAACATCTACATCACTTCTTGGCTGCTACAGCATTCACAGTGCCAAGATGTTAAGCAGCATGAATACCTTATTTACTCAATTCTACCGTGCCCTCGATTGTAACGCGCACCCGATTTCCAGGATGAAAAAAAAAAAAAAGTAAGACATCAATTGCAACGCGCACCCATTTTTCTCGCTGGCCCGCACGATCACACCACTCGAAAAAACAACTCCTTTCAGGAGTGTCTTCCATTTAAATATGAGGTACGGGGGAAGCTTGTGCCCTTCTGACGTGTAACAGAGCATTGCCGTCACTGTAGTTTTACCGTGGACCGATGTCAGCACGCAAACTTCCTTCGCCCCCTTCTTCTCGACGGGTGTGGTGCCAGGCATGTCGAAGTAAAGAGGCGTCTGATCGGCATTCCCGATTTGCCCAAGCAGGTAGCCGTTGTTGTGCCGCAAGTTTAGGACGAACCTCTGAAAACTGTGAAGTTTTTCATCGTACTTCTCCGCAAAACTTTTCGCATATCCCCGTTCACCTTCGGAGGGAAAAGCCTTTCCTTTTCATAAAGTTAGTTAGCCAGCACCTGCTCGCTTTAAACTGGCTCCGTGATAGACCTTTTTCTAAGGCTAATTGCATAGCCCACACTTGGAGCAGTTCTGCCGTCACGGGCCGCTGTGCCGCTCGCTGCTCAAGCACATACTCGCCGAGCAGTTCTTCAATTTGCGGAAACCGACCCTGCTGTGGTCCACTGAAGCCTTTGCATGAAGCTTTGCTGTCGACAATCTTCTGCTTTTGTTTCCGCCAGTCATGCACGCACGTTTCGGGAACTCCGAACGACCGCGATGCGGCCCAATTTCCGTCCGTTTCTGCACACGCGATGACTTTTCTTTTAAAAGTGGCATCGTGGTGCACTTGTTGAGTTTTTGGAGTCGGCCCTTCCATGCCGTCGATGCTAATGCACTACAAGATGACGAACTCCTCAGCACACGTAGGAAGTGCTGCACATGGGAAATACATAGGCAGAAATGGCCGACGCACCATGCCGATGCACGTAGGGGGCTGCCATTTCGGAAATGCCGATGGCAATCGAATGACCGTATTCATTTTTTTTTTCATACTTGATTCTAGCGCGCATGCAATTTATGAACTCGCTTAACCGGAAAAAAGGTGCGCATTAGATTCGAGTAATTACGGTAATTCGTTATTTGTTATGGTCACCAAAGGAACTCTGCAATTTAACAGCTTATTCCAATGCCATATCGATGCACCCTGATGAATGCCCATAACATAGCATGCTACAACTACATGTGTGCTGCAGAAACAATAGTAAACCAGATCTTCTATGCCTAATATATATGGTGACTGTAATGTAAAAAAAGCTATAACTTCAAGGCAAGCTGTATATGAAAGTGGCAATATTCCAACACTTCAATATAAATGAAGGAAAGCTTATTTTATTATTGTTATGCACATGTGACAATGACAGCCCACTACGTTACTGCAAAAATGTGATTCTACAAAATCTGTACCTGTTTATAAATACACTGATCAAGACACTTCAGGAAAATTACTCATTGCTGTATCCCTTCACCACACACGAGTGACTTTTAAATGTTCGGCAGTTATAGATGCATCACGTTCAAGGGTATTTTATTGTGAGTATGCGTGCTGCCTTAGCTTACTAAATTTTGTTTTCTGTAGAAATGTGCACAGAAAATAAAACATCCAAGTTGGATTCATGGCATATGTAAAGGAAAGCTATCGATTGCCGAAGAAGCCAGACCGTACGCTGTTCATGGTTTCAACTTCTTCCTCTTTTCTAGCAGTGCTTGCCTGCACGCATTTATTTCTTCATTTTTTTCTACAGCCTATGTGCCTTATATGTCACTTCAATCTATGTCTTTATAGGCTCATTCAAACTTACGACTAACACCAGTTGTGTGACTACTACAGTTCAAAACCTGAGGAGACCAGGACAATGTACAGTAAAAGCTCGTTAATTCGGATTTCACGGGACCGGAAAAACTGTCCGAATTAACCGAATGCCGAATTAACGAATGAACAAGGAAAACAACATTTGAAATCAAGCTGCAGAAGCATTTGTAATTGTCGTCTGCGCTTTCGCGCAGATTCCGGCTGACATCACAATTTTTCTTAACTGTTCCAAATGACCAACAGCAAACAAGCTGTCGGGAGTGTTCAGGCAAGCGTCCTCTAATATTAACAGCGCCTCCGAGACTTCCCGTGAGGTACGATGAGGTCGCGGCTGTATCTCCTCGCATGATTCTTCGTCGGAATCATGGTCTTCATGGGCGCCCACTCGTGGCGACACCATGATCAATCGTGATGTAATCCTGAAAGGTGACATCTGTGGGAAGGACAGCATCGAAAGTCGGGCAGTCATCGTCGGTGGACTCGGCTGACACCTCCTCGATGCCATCGTCAGCTACTGCTGCATGCTCGGGCCTCACAAAACCGCTGTGCCGAAAACAGTTGGCGATGACTTGCGGCGGAGTGTTTTTCCACACGTGGGCGATGATGTGCACTACGCCGAGTAAGTCCACTTGATACAACTTTCCAGCTTCTGAGCATAGGATCATTCGCTCTAGCAGGTGCTTGCGGTACTTCGACTTCACGTAGTGAATGATACCCTGGTCCATCGGCTGAAGAGCAGACGTAGTGTTGGGCGGCAAAAAAACTACTTTGATGCTCTTCAGTTCGACTGTACAGTTATGGGCACTGCAGTTGTCAACAAGTGCCGGTCCAACTGCTGCAGCCAGCCGCGAAAAATGTCCGATGTCATCCATGCCTTCCTGTTCGCTGTGTACTCGACAGGAAGGCTTTTGACGTTCTTAAAACAACGTGGCTTAAGCGCCTTCCCGACGACAAGTAGTGGCAAGCGATCCGTGCCAGTCATATTGGCGGCAAGCACAGTTATCCTTTGCTTGCACTTCTTGCTGCCAATGCACGCATGCCCTTTGAAAGTCACCGTCTTGTCGGGCAGAGCTCTGAAAAATAGAGCAGTTTCATCTGCATTGAACACGTCACGTGGTTCATATGCGGCGATGTGCTCCAGCAGCTTCACATTTCTCCACTCGGTGGTCACGCTTTCGTCAACACTGGCCTTTTTGCCGCACACACTCCTGAAGACAAGTTCGTGTCTCTCTCGAAACCTCGCAAACCACCCTTTTGACGCTTTGAATGATTCAATGTTCATCATTGCAGCGTACTTCTCACCTTGTGCCATGATGAGAGGTCCGCTCAAAGGCACATGCGTGTTGCGACAGTCAGTAATCCACCGGAGCAAAGCTTGTTCGAGCTGGGGATGAGCTGCGGTTCGCAACCGCTTTCTAGAGGCATGAAACTTCTCGCTTTCGAAGGCTTGTCGAATCTGTTGTTCATTTTTTACGTACTTTCCCAACGTGCTCCGCTTCACGTTGTACTTGGTCATAACCTGCTGTCGCGATTCGCCGTTCTTCAGTGCTTCCAAAATTTCCACTTTAGTCGCCAAGTTCTTCGCGTCATAGTTCTGCCGCTTTTTTGGCGTTGCCATCACTGTAGCGCACGATGGTGGTGGCATGCAAATACGGTCACAATGGAAGAAAAAGAGAACTCCGCAAGAAGAGATGGTTCCGACACGACAACACGAGGGAAAATGGCGTCGGAGGCGCTGAGTGGAGAAGAAAGAAGACGCCGACGTTCGGTGACGCTGCGGTCGCCCCCAATAGTTGATGATGATGGCGATGCCACTCAGGTTTCGGTTTCACTCCAGTGGTGCCAGCGCTGCTTTATCACACTTTTGTGTAGCAGCAGCCGTCAGCATTTGTCCGAATTAAGCGGTGCGGAGCCGAATTCCGACTAAATAGGTTTGGTCCCATAGATTAACATGCACTTTGGCCGGGACCAATAGAGCCGTCCGAATTATCTGAATTAACGGGTGTCGTATTAACGAGCTTTTACTGTAGTTTCGTTTACTGAGAAATGAACACAGATGCAGAATCAAAGTACTAAACGAGTCATATCAGAGACAGCTGTTCCATTTAAGAAGCAATTTTGTTCAGCAGACTTTTCATTTACTGAGAGTTTACTGTATTTGCAAGTGGCAACTGAAAAGCGACTCGAGGTGACTGGTGTTCACATGTGTGCAACTGCCACAGGGAATTCCCGTCAGCTCGCATATGGCTCACACTGCCATTGCCTCGTAAAATGAGCTGATGTCCTGGTCCTATGCATGTATTTGGTTCAGAGGATTGCGAATGAAGCAGCCATTTGCGACCAGTTGATTTGTGACTAACTTGGTTGCGCTATCGGTGCTAGTTGTGGCTGTGAATGTTACTTACACCCCATGGCAAGCATGCTGAGGCCAAATGAAAGTCAGGATCGCTAAAGCTGTGAGTCCAGAATGAATGCTTTAGAAAACACAAGTTCAGTCAAAAAGGTTGTCACAAAAATCTTGCGAATAGCTATTCATTTGACTCATCTTTTGGCAGCTGGTGCTCATTGATTTGATATCCTTAAAAAAATATCTGCGAAGCCCTCCGAGTTCCCATAAAGACTCTTTAGAATCTACAAACTACAGTTAACAAGATGCACAAGAGCAACGCAATTGCTCAAGTGTATTTGAATCTGCTTGTATGTATGTATGTATGTATGTATGTATGTATGTATGTATGTATGTATGTATGTATGTATGTATGTGTGTATGTATGTATGTATGTATGTATGTATGTATGTATGTATGTATGTATGTATGTATGTATGTATGTATGTATGTATGTATAAAAGAAAAACAGGGCTTCTAAGAAGGTGGAAGTGCTTCCTGCATGACAATAAATATGCCAAAGTCCACTTGGTATAACAGCTTGCACATACAGAAAAAATAGAGGTCTACCTCAATCCTGGAACGGCTGTCATTTGCAAGTTCAACACTAGTCACAAGGTCAGGTGATGACTCGGAGGCACCTCTTTGAAACATCAGGTGGCGGTCACCATTTTGCGCACGATTCTCTTTGGGGATGTTGCTTTTTGTTGACAATGGAACCTGTTGAAGAAATTACAGTGGAACTTCATTTACAATATGTATCTCAATTTCATGACAAACGCATTTTACGATAAATCGGTTTGGTACCGACAAAATCGCCATAGAAGTAATGTATATAAAACCTTGGTTATACTATGCAGTTCTATGCCGACTTTCAGATTATGTCCAAAAGAAAAAAAAACACTTTTACTTGAATCAAACGTCCAAATATTCACAAGTGCAAAATCTAAAGTTGCGTTTCCCTAAGTTGAGGATTACAAAAGTAGAGACAGAATTTCTCAGAATAAAAAATTTATTCTCTTGGAAGTTCATGCGCTTCTACGTACGCCTCAATCGTGTACGTTTCTGGGGTCGTCAGCTCGTCAAGCTCTTTCCACACAAAATAGCTTCAGCCGGCTGAAAAGCTAATATTTTCAAGTTTTTGGTCTGCGGAAGCTTTTCATGGTTGGCATACAACTGATCTCCTGCCTTTGTCGTACTCGCAGGCTTGCGCATGCACACTGGCACAACGCAGTTGTTTTTATTGTGCAAAATTCACTTGACGTGAAAGTTCATAATGACAGTGATACATCAACAGTTGCACTGCACAAGCCAACGAATTGCAATGTGCACCACTCGGTTGCGCACGAAGGCATTCTACTGCATTCTATGCTAACTCGTCTGTCGCCATTATGTGATAGCGATGGCACTGTGTCCGACTCTTCTGACGGGAGGCTGCCGGCAACGTGATTTCATTTTTGTTTTCGCGCGCAGGCAATTTTTGGACTCTGTTCATTGGTAGAAAGATGTGCGTTATATTCGATTTTTTTCATGTTGGAGATAAAGAATTTTGCACACCTCCTCCAACTTTGTAATGCTGCCATTTGCTGCTTAATCTACCTTCCTTGCAGAGTCACAAGGTGGTGTCGTCGGCTGATTCAGGCAGTCTGTACCCGTTTTTTTTTTGGGGGGGGGGGGGGGGGGGGGGGCAAAACTAAGTGTCACTGCCTATAACCTTAGTCTTTTGATTACATGATGCCCCGATTATACGACGGTCTTGCGTGCTCCCCTGAAAGCCGTATAATCAGGGTTCCACTGCAGTAAGAAAAAATAAAGCAGTAAAAGAAATTCAGTTCCATTTATTGTTTAAATGCTTCTATTTTATCTAACATAACACAATTCAACTAAAACATTACTAAATTACTCCCTTTGAAGCTGAACACCATATTTTCAATGAAAACATACTTTTTTCTCCTCTTCCCCTTCTGTTAGGTATGCAACCTATATGAAAGTCCTGAAGCAATTCTTTGTGGTTGCCTTGCATTAGGCCACAAGGTCAAGAATGTAATATCATTAATGTATTAATGCCTTGTGCAAAATGGGGGACATGTAAGCTAGGTAAACCCAGCTGGGAGCTTCCACTCAGATGAATGAGGGAGGGAGTACGACCTCAGCTCTACCTACAAGCTATGTTCAGCTTTCAAAACAACACAGTGCAAAAAAAATTGTCTTACTGCCCTCCCACAGAGGCCTTTTTCTCTCCTGCCTGTGCGTGTTCTTTTGTTTGTGCCAATTTCTCACGACAGCTATGCAGTACAAACTATCCCAGATGCCTGTACCTTTCAAGTGCTGAGTCTCGGAACATAATATAGGTAATGATATGATGGCAGAATAACCATATTTTACCTGTAGACTGCGACAACCGTCTAGATTCTGCTAGCATTCATATGTAGCCTTGTGCGAATAGTGAATTTGAGGTTCAAAGTAAATAGTGATATTGGTCAAATAATTTCTAATCGAATAGTATACACATAACATATAAAGAAAAATGAACGCATTTTTCATGACCTAACTAACCTGCACAGTATTTAAAGGGGTACTGACACAAAATTTCGGGGCCGAGATAGCCTGTGGGATCAATTCTCGTGAACATTCGTATATCATCTGCAAGATAACCACAGCCAATGTAGCTTGGAGGGTATTTTAAATTTATTTTCAAGTTTGCATGAGCGACCAACTCCATAGCGCTATAGACACCCTCGGAGGTGACCTCGAGGTGACCCCCTACTTCCCTCACGTCACCACACTGCGGTCAACAAAAGAAGTTATCATGACGTCATAGCCGCCATTTTTTTTTTGCCGCGTTAGTTCCCGAAGTCTATATTTCTCGGCGGCTGGTTGCGAGTGCGTAGCCGGGGCGCACGCTTAGAAAGTTTTGTGTTTGGCGACATTCCAGTGCCATTTCCTATTCAAAAGTAATTCTCGATGCGGATCCTGTGAAAGTGCGTCACAGTTTTGTGTGCTGACGTGGTCAAGAGTTGCACACGCTAGGTGGCGACAGTTGCACCCAATTTTTGGAACTCCCTCAAACCAAAACTGATTGATAATTATGGGCCTGTAATTAATTATCTATTGCGTGCTACAGCAAACAATGCGTCGTGTCATGACTAACAGCCCTACAGCAACGCATTGTAGCATAAAAACGAGAGGCCAAATTTTTCGTTTCAGTACCCCTTTAAAAAAATTGAAACAAGGCCTGTGAAACTACTCTTTTTATTTTACCAAGGAAAGTGGGATTTAATAAAAGCAGGATTTTACTTTTGATAGAATGCAAGGATAGCCTGTACTTTACATTTTAAAATTTGCTATACTTAGAGCATTTAAATTGGTAGAACAAGCTTTTAAACTAAAAAAAAATAATTCGATGTGAATATAATATCTTCATTTAACTTTAAAGTGGAGCTTCGTGGCAGTGCTGATTACCCTTGGATACATGCTTTCACGGTTTAGCACCACTTCACTACAGCGAAACCACTTTCACAAAAATTACACGCATTTAGACAGATGCTTTCACGGCTTAGCACCCCTGCACTGCAGTGAGGCCACCTTTGCAATGTTACTTCTGTTTAATATGGAAATTCAAAATATAGATGGGAGCTGACAGACGGAAACAACGTAGTGGGATAATCAGGATGAACGGTGGAAGTGCATCAGACTGGCTGGCCAGTCTGAGGCCAGCCAGTCTGAGGCACTTCCACTGTATCGTTAAAATAGGATGACTATTTTTTCCTATCGAAACGTCGGCCAGCCAGTCTGAGGCACTTCTACTGTTCACCCTGATTATCTCACTACGTGGATTAATATGCACATACTGGTTCATTTCAAATAGTTTGAATACTGTATTATTCGTTCAAATATTTGAACAAGCCGATTCATATGTTAAAACTCAGTACAGATGGTTTGTGCAAAGGCATCAGTTATTGCTGATAAGCTTAACAGTTGATACGATCGTACATTTGGCTGAAGGCTGAATTGGAAAGAAAAACACTAAAAAAAATTTCATGTTAGTCCCAAAGAAATTAAAATGGTTGAGTGCCATGGGATGTTGTTGGAAAACCACTGTATGATAGAAGCAAAACTGCGGGATGTACATGAGGATTAAACAAACAGTTCATAACACTGACGTACCTTGCGTCTTGCCCCACCACATGCCTGGCCTGAGGTGAGGTCAGGCTGGGGAGTGTTGAGGAGCTGCAGTTGGTGGAGCACTGCAGCCAAGCTAGCTGCATCTTCTTTGCCCTCGAGCAATCGTGACACTTCAGCCCCAATGGACATTTTCAGGACATCGCATGCAGGCTGCTGCTGTTGCTGCTGCTGAGATGTTGGCCGTCGCCTGGTTGAGATGATGCGAAAAAGCAGCTATTCGAGCACTGCATGGCAATACTAGCTCCAAGGGCATTTTATAAATGCTTCACATTTCTCTAAATAATGAGTTTTTTTGCATCAATATTAGCAAAGGCCTACAGCTGAAAATGTAAAAGAGAGCTCCATATATACATACTTCTTTGATTTTCACAATGCTTCGTATTAGGCCTGTGCGAATAGTCGAATGCTTCACTTATTCAAACAAATAGTAAAGTATTCGAATTCACTTCGGTTCGAATTTAAATCATTGAAAATTTCGAAGTATTTGCAGTGAATGGATAAGTGTATATTAACCTGCATGTACCCACCTGTAAAAACGGTTTCACTGCAGTGTAAGAGTGCAAAACCGTGAAAGCACCTACCCAAAAAAAAATACGCTTTGCTGTGATGCCCCCTTTAAATTTAAGGAGGCCCTGCAACACTTTTTTTGAGCATGGTCAGAAAACGCTGCCAATCGGTGGTCCACGCTACCGAGCACTCGTGAGCCAAATATTATAGCCCAGCACACGGCCTGTATTCACAATAAATTTTCCAAGTCAGCTAAAAATCACTCTCTCCTCTTGGTAAATGATGCCACAAGCTCACAAATTACTCATCCTAGCCATTGTATCAGCCATTGGCTGATTTGAGCAAGGGGTGCTCGGTTGTTGCTAGGGCAGCCACAGAAGGCCACCAATTGTCCATGCGTACGTGCATGATCACACTGAAAAGCCACATATACAAATAAAAAGAGAAAGAAGAAAAGTGCTCAAGGTTACGAAGCTCACGTGACGTATTTTCTGTGCCCTTGCCGCCCCTCCTTGCTAAGCTTCCAGCGCTTTCGTCGGGATGAGAAGAGGGAATGAGATTGCAGCAAGTGACAAATCTTTGCAACTGCACTGGTACTGGATGGATCCCGAACGTTTTTATGGCGAATTCGTAAGGCAATAAGCTTCTTTTGTGAAACCATTCCTGGCTACTTGAAAAAGTGTTGCAGAGCCCCTTTAAATGAACATATTGCCCTCAGATCTATTCATCATTTTTTACGCTTAAAGGCTTGTTAGAGCAGCTTATATGCTGTTAGCATAATAAATTTTGAAGTGTTACATATTTTACAGGTCATCGCTTGCATCCAACTGAAAGTCAAATCCTGCTACTACTCAAAGTTGTTTAGGCTTCCTCTGAGCAAAAAAAAAAGGCATTTGCATAGATACCTCAGTTCAATTAAAAAAAATTGTGTGCAGGTTAGTTATCATAATAAATGTGGCCATTTTTTTATATGTCATATTTACTATTCAAATTAGCAAATTCGATTTTAAATTATTCTACCAAACTCACCATTTGCTTCGAACATAAAATTCATTATTCGTACTAGTCTACTTCATATACAAGTACCTCAAGATTGTACAGCTGAAACTCAATCTCACGAGGTGGTGGAGACGTTTCAACTATCTTCAAACTAAATACATCAAAAAATTAGGAAAATGAAAAGATTTTTTTGGCTCCATGAAATCTAAAATTGTAACATAGTGACAACTCAAAGCTACCAGGTCACTGTTCCTGCCACCAATCAATCTACTCCTGCACACGTGAGAAGCATGTGAGAGCGGCTCTCACCAAAAAGGTTTGGGTTCTCTCACAGAAAAGTCGGTCAGTGTGCTTGGACCTAGGGTGCACTATGTCCAGGCGATACAGGCCAGAAAGAGAGTTGCGGAAAGCAATGACGAGCAAATTATATGCGGAGAACAAATGCAACGATCCTGTGAGCAGGCTGAGCAAGAAAGCTGCTAGGACACGATTGATACCATAAGGTCCAAAAGCCAACCATTGTCGTTTGTAGCACCATCCAATTACGCAAAATTGCTACCAACTGCAAAGTCCACAGCTCCATGCAAGGGCACGGCATTTAGCCTCGTCAAACTAAGGTTATAGGGCTGGGAGTGGGGCACCTACATATTTTAATGCAATAGAACCAGAGTGCATGCTCGATGGAAAGCCTGTCTCTGCAAAATAAGAAGGAAAACTCCTCTTTTGAACGAATTATTTCTGGAAAAAAAATTTATGAAATCGGGTTTGGTGGCCAAGCTAGTTAAACTAATTCGGGTTGATCCCAACACTGAGCCCTATGGGTATTTGCTTAGGAATTTATATTCCTTTGATAGATCAAAAACATTGTAAAATTGAGTTTAATTAGATCAAGCCTCAATTGTATGTATATCCTTTGAATTTAGTGGGGAACTGCGCGTCTTTTAAAGTGAAGCAGACTCATAGTCAGACGGCCACTGGGGGCAAGAACTAAACATTTTTAACACAACAGTGTTGTTTCAATTCTCCCGGTTATAAAATGCCGAGCTAGTACTAAGATTCAGTTTGCAACAGTCATGCTTACTCTATATTATTTATACTACCATATTTGAAAGTGTTTCCTATTTGTCACAAAACAAACAAACAAAAAAGGAGCTCTAAAGCAGCTGAGGGTTTCTACAGGTGTATGGCTTCACATATATAGTACTACAGAAGGCTGATACTCTGAAGAGTTCTTCAGAGTACCATATATGCGAGTACAATTATGTTACACAGAAAACAAGAATACAGCACCTGGGAGATATATTGAGGGCTTCAGCTGCATGTTCGACACCGCACATATGGCCTTGAACACCTAGCAACAGGAAAATGTAAAGAGATGAAGGCATGCATGCAAGCACACGGGACTACAGTGCCTCAACAATGAAAACGTTCTTCCCTCATTCCCTGCCATTTACAAAGCATCTTGCCACTTTCGAGATGAGGGGGTAAACAAAAACAAGAGGCATTCTTACCGTTGGCTTGCTTTGAGTCGTTTGTTCGATTTCCAGGTGACTCCTGAGGCCACACGTTTTGCACAGGCCTCACATGGCTAGGCTGACTGCAAAGGAGAGAGACATAAACACCAACGAAATGTACTAAGGATGACAGTAGCTGGCACAAGTAAGACTTTTGGCTTATCATGAAACTATGAAATAAGGGCAACTTTGTTTATGGGGGAAAATCTATGGTTGTCAGACAAAGTACTCTAGACTCGTGCTTGTGCAAGATGACAGGGTAAATGATGAAGTGCGGTGTGATGAATGCAAAAACATTGCTCAATAATGGAGTTTGAAATTGTAGGTGGCAATGGGACATCATGCAGCTAAAATGGCTGAGAAGGGTAAAGAACCACAGTTTGCATTGCAAATGTTGTTCATTCGATTGTATTTTTTCTTGTGAGAAACACTCTAAAAATACTGCTCTTGATGTGAGTAATCCGAACAAAGCAAGCACTGGCCTTTCAAAGGAGCAACAGTGTAGTGCACTGATGCTTGCCATGCAACTATACATCTGGGAGATGATTTAAACTCCAACCAAAATTTTTGAAGAAACTCAACGTTTCGAAACCGACTTGGTTCCTTCCTCAGCGGTGACTGCGAAGCTACGTAGCAGCGGCGTCTTCAAAGCACTCGTGAGGTGGATAATGACCCCCTCTCTTTCTCGTTTTTCTGTTCAGCGCAGTCCATGTGTATACACTGGGGGAAGGGTTCTGAGAGAGAGGTTGATGTTATGGGCTGTCCTCTGTATGTGCCACAACTCGAGTGATAACCTTCTCCTCCAGTTCAGCTCGCTTTCAAGGATGGCCGTTGCTTCGAAATGTATTCGGTGATCGAACGTCTCAGCATGTTTGGTGACTGCGCTGTGCTCTTTGTAGAGCTTCCACACATCGTTGACGTGTTGCTTCAGTCGTTCCGGTACGTTTTTCGCCTCGCCGATATACGAAGAGGGGCACTCAGCGCACGAAATTTTGTAAACGACACCAGGGGTCCTGTCTATTGTTGGCCGGTCTTTCGGGCGGGGGAGGAGGCGGCCCAGCGTATACGAAGACACGTGGGTGATGCAAACCTCTTCCTTCTTGAAGATTTGCGCCAATATCTTGCTGGCTCCCTGAACGCATGGGACCGGTAGGCGTTTCGGCGGCTGCCAATTAGTGTTGATTGGGGTTTTCGTATCCTCTGTTGCTCTGCGCAGAGGGTGACGGCTCAAATGAAGTTTTTTGGGTGTCCGTTTTTCTGAGGTCTGCAATCACGCGGGCCTCTTCTTTCTTTCGCTCTGTGTCATTGGAGCATAAGTAGCGTGGTCACAACAAAGGCCTTGTGGCAGGCGGAGTGGGAAGAATCAAATTGAAGGTAGTGGCCAGTGTGCGTTGGCTTCCTGTGAACAGAGAACTCCAGGGCCGTTGCGCTTTCTTGCCACCCGGACGTCGTGAAAGGGCAGGCAGTGGTGGTTTTCCCACTCGGTCGTGAATTGTGTGGCTGGGTGCACAGAATTTAGGTGCTGTCTGAAGTTTTCAATTTTAAAACGGATACCCAAAAAACTTCATTGGAGCCTCCACCCGCCGTGCAGAGCAACAGAGGATACGAAAACCCCAATTAACACTAATTGGCAGCGCCTCGAAACGCCTACCAGTCTCATACGTTCAGGGAACCAGCGAGATGTTGGTGCGGATCTTCAAGAAGGAAGGGGTTCACATCGCGCACGTGCCTTCGTGTACACTGGGCCGCCTCTTCACCCACCCGAAAGACTGGCCAACAATGGACAGGACCTCCGGTGTCATTTACAAAATTTCGTGCACCGAGTGTCCCTCTTCATATATCGGCGAGATGAAAAACCTACCGGAACGACTGAAGCAACACGTCAACGATGTGCGGAAGCTCTGCAAAGAGCGCAGCGCAGTCACCAAACATGCTGAGACTTTCTATCACCGAATAAGTTTCGAAGCGACGGCCATCCTTGAAAGCGAGCTGAACTGGAGGAGAAGGTTATCACTCGAGTCGTGACACATACAGAGGACAGCCCATAACATCAACCTCTCTCTCGGAGCCCTTCCCCCAGTGTAGACACATGGACTCTGCTCTACGGAAAAACGAGAGAGAGGGGTCATTATCCACCTTGCGAGTGCTTTGAAGACACCGCTGCTACGTAGCTCCGCAGTCACCCCTGAGGAAGGAACAAGTCGGTTTCGAAACGTCGGGTTTCTTCAAAACTTTTGGTTGGAGTCTAAATCACCTCCCAGTTTCATACCCAACCAGACAGACTTCTGTCGAATGTTTACATTCAACTATACATCTGCATGTTAGTAATTGCTAGAGCTCACATTCATACTTAAGGAATGATTAAAAGAATGCTTAATAGAATGGTTCTTCGGAGCAATGGTCAGGCCAGGTAAAGTAAACAATCAACTTTCATCATGGTTTGCATGTACAACCATGAAGAAACAAGTAACAAACCTGGTTGAACCAGCTGATGAAAATGCTGGAGGGCCGTCCCTTGAATCACGTGGGGAAGCCCACATCTTCGTCCTAGATGAAGCTGCTGTTAGTACTGGGCCACTGGGATGAGATTGCTGGACCTGTGAAAGAGGCAATGGGTACGATCAAACGTGAAACATGAACAGAATAACCTGCACAGTTACAAGATAAAACTACCATGTTAATATAATATGTGTAGGAATCGAGGGCAGTTTCTCCCTAAGGCAACTCGTTCCCAGCAAGCGTGCGCTGGCCCCGCGTGGCTCGAGCGCCATGAACTGCGACTGAATAGCAATTAGGCAACAGTGACGATGGTGCCAGGACATTTTCTGTGGTGCAAGACATGCACCTAGGCGCAACTCGCCACGAGGGACATTGTGCTATGCCTGTCCTGCTTAGCCACCAGTGACAGACCCCTCCCAACATGAACTCACTTCTGTCTGGCACTGGCTCGTCGTAACAGATGCTCTCAGGGCAGCAATAAGGAGTTCACACGCTTCCCTAGCAGGCCACCTTTTATCGGTGTGTTTGACTGCTCCCTTTTGTGTGATAGTCTAGTGCCAATGGCAGGCACACTCAATCGATCTTGAGGAGTTACCCTGTATTGCCTGAATTGTGTAATTGTCACACTGTGCTGCATCTTGAGTTAATAAACCCATGTTTGTTGACAACCTGTCTCAAGTGCCTTTTTTGCGCCATGTCAGAAAGTCGACGAACTCGGCCATAGTGTCTACGTGTGCAGAGGTGATGGAGTATATCACATCCCTTTCCAGTCGCACTCATGAGGTAAACTTCCTGCAAACCTATCTACATGTTACTGATCTAAACGCCAAAGCTGCACTGTGGCAATGATAGTCCTATACTATGAGGGCATTTGCAGGGGCATACGCCCCTGCGAATGCTCTCATAGTATAGGACTACCATTGCTTTTGCTTCATTTTCACATAAAAACGTAGCCACAACAGTTTAGTAACGTGATACTTTGCAGCAGAATCCAATGCACCAAACCATTGTAGTTGGTTGTTATAGGGGCCCTACAACACATTTTGAGCATGCTCAGAAAACACTGCCCAGCGGTAGTCGAGACTCCCGAGCACATGCACGCCAAATATTACAGTGCTTCATGCGGCCTGTATTTCACAAATTCCCAAAATCAGCTAAATACCGTAAAAACCCGCGTATAGTTCAGACCCGCGTATAGTTCGAGGTGTAACTCGGGGATAGCAAACACGAGAAAAAACATTTTCACGCGAATATTGTTCGAGGAAAACAGAAAAAATGCATTTATTTACACACTTGCATGCGCACGCACGCGCGCGCACGATTAGTCGTCGTCTTTGTCTGACACACTGTCTTTCGAATCTCCCTTGTTCGAAATGTCCTCCCACAGCACCTCATCCTCCGTGCCATCAAGCGCGTTTGAGATGGAGCACTTCTTGAAGGCACGGCAAACGAGCGCCTCGGGAATGCGAGCCCACGCCTCGGCGATCCACGAGCCGTCAGTTCTCGTTCCACGTCTGGAAATGCTCCATTTTTCGGTCCCCGGAAACTTTTTCTCTTGCCGCAGCATGCAAAAAGGGCTTCCTTCTGCTTCCGCCAACCGCGAATGCTCCGCTCATTCACGCCGAACTGCCGCTCCGCGGCACGGTTGCCGATGGTTTCGGCAGCAGAAATAACTTTCCTCTTAAAGGCAGCCGAGTACTGCCTGCGCGGTGCTGACATGGCTTAAAATCACGGAAGTAAAATCGTGGTCGTCGTGATGTGCGCCAAGTGATTGCAATGGCCACTGTTGCTCGCCTGATGCACGCCTGTACCTGTAGGTCTCTAGGACTAACGCCGCTCACGCTACCATGCCACCTAACGTAGAAGTGCGCAGACACCTGATAATGATGATAGCACCAACCAATGCCGAAACCAAAACTGAATTCGGGCCGGAACTTTTTTGGGATCCGCATATAGTACGGGGTTGAAATTTCGCACCCTAAATTAAAAAAAAAAAGACCCGGGCTATACGCGGGTTTTTACGGTATCGCTTTCTGTTTTCTTGACAAATGACAACACAGGCTCAAAATCACTACATCCCAGGCCAAGTGCCAGCAATTGGCTGATATGCGCATGGTGTGCTCGGTCGTTACTGGGGCTACTGCGAGAGGCCGAGACTTGTCCACGTGTACACACGCGATAAGCACTCTGCTCGTAATGGACAAATTCTCAAAAATTTTCGAGCGGTGAATTCGTGAGGCAATAAGCTCCTTAAGTGAATCCATTCCACACCTACCTGAAAAAGTGTTGCAGGACCCCTTTAAAGTTTTACGAGGTATTGCTACAACAAAGTGTTCTTCTCGTTCAGTTATTCACACTAGTAAATGTTTCATAAAAAAAAACAGACCTGAAAATTGGCGGGTAATTCATTGGTCTTTGGTACTGTCCCAGGATTTGACAGAAGATTTTGACGGGAGTAGCTTCTAAAGTTATCCCAAAAGTTGTTGGCACGGCTGCCTGGAACCACCTGTAAAAAGTAGAGCATAGAAGCAAAGCAGCATGTGCTTTAATGCAGAACATGTGTCAAGTAAAGTGGAAAATTGGGCTAGTTGGAACATACTCATCACGATGAGCGCAAAAAGCGGGAACACGAAGACACAAAGAAGTGCACAAAAAAGTGCAATCTGAATTCGCAACTGCTTGCTGGGACCAAAGGATGAATCATGATCATCCGATTTTACTAACCTTTGTGGTTTGTACATGAACTTTCGCTGCATCGAAATTTCATGACAATCAACTTTTTCATTCATCCTGTTAATTTCAATTTCCTTGCAGCCGGGTTTGACTGGATGTGCACATGCGTTCAATTCTGTTGTCTGTCCTCTTAGGGTTGGGTTTCAAGTTATACTTGCAGAGCGGTGTCTCAATCATGCTTGAGCACCATGAGCAAGCTTTCTTTGCTCACGCAGTACTATTGACCAATATGTAGAATTGTGAAATCGTGGAGCAACACTAAACATACACAAAAAAGAAAAAAAAACGTGAGCAGCATAGACAGGACAAGAGAATGCCTACCCTATGTACATTTCTTCTTGTTCTGTGTCATTCAATGGTTTCACAATGAAGCACTAAGTGACCCCGCACTTCTATTTGCAGAACAATCGTCCAAGGTGCAACCAACAAACTGAACAGAGGAAAAACAGAAGGGCGGTCTGTTGCAAACTGCAAACATTGGATGGGAACTGACCTGGTTGTTGAGTGTGGCTCCCGGAGGAGCACCTCTGGTTTCAGCAGTTACCAGAGGTCGAGGCACATGGGGTCCAGACGAATGAAGGGCAGCTGTGGGCACGCCATGTGCCCAGATACCTGTGGAATCTGGTTCCACCACGAAGGGACCCCCTTGATCCAACGGCTGCAAGCTCGGTCCCCTCAGACCATCATCTACACTCGGCGAACAGCTCTGCTGCAGGCAGGCAAAAAAGTACACATGAACAGCAAGCATGCAACTATGAAACTGGCATTGCAGCGTAGCCCACACTGGCATAGCCGGAGGAGGGGGGACTGAAATTTCCTGAATGTTTTCAATTTCGCATGTGTATATATGCACAGGCACACATACGAATGCAAACATGGAACATTATACGGTTAAGTCCTCCCTCCTCCACTTGAAAGAAATTGGGATATCCTTAAAGGGCACTAAAGTAAAATATTCATTTACGTAAGAGTGAAAGCTCAATGTATGACAACATCTAAAACAACAATATTATCAACAGCAGTGCCCTACTTACTGAGAAATTAAGGTAAATGCACAAGAATACATGCGTCGCAATAGGACATTCTCAATATGATCTCGATGACGTCAGATGAACCGCATACAATTAATCACTAGTAATCGATCTAGCTGCATGAAATAAAGAACCTTTCATGCATCAAGAGACATAATAAAATGCAGTTTGTTCATTTCTGTTTGATTCATGGAAAAAATAACCGCCAGCCGTTACTATGAAGAATGACGCGAGTGGTTCAGAAATTCAATTTTCGCGTGGTTAAACTCGACAGGTCGTGCCATCTAGCGGGGTCCAGCTGAACCAAAGCACTACTGCCATCTTGGAGCCAATGGCAAGAAATTGATCAATGACCGTTGTTGCTGCTGTGGCTCCCACTGCTTTCGTTCTGTATACTAGTGTCGGCGACCGCGCAGTAAAGCCGGCAACATTGTGCATGGCAACAGTGACGCGAGTCTGTCCGTTTCTTGAAGCGGGTAATTTGAAGTGCGCTATTGCGATGCGGACTACTAAAACGTGATTTTATTTCGAAATAAGCCCTTCCTTGGCACAAAAGTAACATTACAAAGTTTCTGAACTGCTATTTCAACAATCAACGTCAACTTAATAGTTGCCTTTGGAGTCCCTTTAAACTTCGTCTTTAAGATTTGAATGAAATAGCTATATCCTGTCTCTAGTGCGTACTGAGTTCAAGATGGCTTGTGTCAGTGAAGCTTTTACATACGGCTGCATTCTGTGCAATAGGTAGCCTGCTTTAAACTACGTGCAATTGGGCTCTTGTGAAATCTTCTCCAACTTGCTATGCACCCGCTATGTGGACTTAAAGGCAAAGGCACAGTAATATGTGTGCCTTTTGTAGTGGGTGGCTTGCTTTAAACCATGAACTCATGATAATGGCATGTTCTGATGCCCAATCGCAATATCTGCTTGTACAACGCATTATTACTGCAATATTAGATGCTGCATCGTGAAGCATGCATACAGGACGCGTGTGTTTGTAAGGCATGCAAGTTACTTTCACTGCATTTTCAAGCAGAGGAAGTTGTTTTCACTGTATTTCCAAGCAGACATGTGGCTCTGTGATAGAACAGTTGCTTGCCATGCAAACGACCCTCGTTTGAACCTCACTTAGACCCATAATTTTTTATTATTCATTTTACTTACATAATTCTCGATTTTTCGGTCACACACAAGATGATTATTTCTCGCTCACAACTAACGACACCGACACCAACACCGACGGCAGAATTCCTGTGAAATGAGTTCTTTAACACTATCACGTTAAAAATTTTTGGCTAGGCCACTTGTAGCTCGACGCATGTAGAATGGCTGGCAATGGGAGAACTGTATAACACCTCTACATACAATTTTCATGTTTGGTGGGAGTTGTTTGCTTAGCCTATTGTTTCATTGTTCAAAGATTGGCATTGTTGCAAGCAGGGCACTACAGGTGTACTAGAAGTGTGGCGCTGCACGAACTGTAATTCAGTCTGTTGAATTCATACTGTGGTTGTTATGCACGGCATTCAAATAGGCTCGTTTCATTGGCTGAGCTGTCGGATGGTGGAATGAAATTTTCTGATAGGGAAATGCTCTAGAGGATTTTCACAAGAAGGTCATAGTGATTTTTGTCCTGCTACTATTGCTTGTTCAAGTGCTTGCAGACCTAGCCTAGAAGCCATCAAGATGAACACATGCTCCGTCTACTGTACAACAAATGCAACACAAAGTGCATTATGTGTTATGTTGTACACATCAAAGAGGTTCCGCAACACAAAAAAGCTGGTTGTCTTCATTCCTTCTGAAACTGTGAAATGCCAAAACAGTCTGTTATAGTTTTATTTCAACAAAGAAACCACTTTGGTTTTTGACTAGAGCAACACACAAGGGCTATTTTCATGATTGGAAGTGACATTTCATCATGTGGGCATGACGACATTAATATGTGAGCTTTTGCGTCCCAAAACCACGATATGGTTATGAGAGACACCGTAATGGGGGCGCCAGAAATTTTTACCATCCGGTGTTCTTTATTATGCACCGACATCAAAGGAATGATGACATAGGCTAGGCATTTATTGGTTTGATGCGGCAAGTTGCATGAATAAAATGACAAGTAATTAGGCTTTCCTGCATCATATCTGTATGGTCTCGGCAGTAATATTGATAAGATCTCAGCCAGGTCGTACTACTATGGGTTAAAAATTCTAAAACTACTTCCGGCGCAGTATCACCGCCTGTCCCAGACCAGGACGGGAAGAACGATACTACAACGCATCGGAATCAACGCGCCATGGACGACTCCGGAGGTACCAAAGCAGGTACCCCGGGACGTTCTCCAAAGACTGAGGGTTCCACCCTTACCGAAGCACATGCATCTGCAAGTACACCAAGAAAGAAGAACGGCGAGAGCCACGGCCCTCACAAAAGGTCACGCCAACGATCCGCGCACGTACTACGTGGACGTGGCAAAGTATCCCCACCGGCCAAGCACGTACGCAGCAGCAGTCATCGCAGCAGACACTGGAGTACTCACAACGTCGGGAAGCATACGGTGCAAGTCGCCCACGCAAGCCGAGGAGTTTGCAATCGCACTGGCACTAGCGATCCCGGATTGCCGCACCGTCCTCAGCGACTCGAAGACGGCAATAGTCAACTTTGCTACAAACAACGTCCATGGAACCACTGCAAGAGTATGTTCAACTATAGCAAGACCGGAAACCAACATTACCGTCAAGTGGTTCCCTGCGCACGCCGGGGAGCTGGACGTGGGCCCGAACCGCAACGAGGAGGCAGATACGGAGGCACACGCGCTAACTAGCCGCGGGTCTCTGTCAACGCATTCCTCGGAGCCGCAACGACCCGATGCCGAAGACGGAGAGTATTTAATGACAACCTACGCCGACGTTCTGCAGTGGTACAGAACGAGCAGACGCTTCTACCCACAGCCTCATCGAGACCTACAACACAGAGAAGCAGCCACACTACGGCAGTTGCAAGTACAAGCCATATGGACCCCCGTCTGGGCAAAGCACGTTTGCCCGGAGGTTTACAGTATTGATGTATGCCAACACTGCAAGAAGGCACGAGCCACCCAGAGACACCTCCTCTGGGACTGTGCACCACCGCCGGGTAACCAAGAAGTAATGCCAACTGCCATAAGCAGCAAAATCATCAGCCGAGAGCCAGGGAACCAAAGAGACGTGGTCCAGCACGTGCTTAGCATCCTGGAATGCCAGTGGCCGAAAGCGGCGCCCCCACGGGTTTGTGCGAGTAGGTTGCTGCTCTGGGACGTCCGAGCACGCTAGTGTCTCGCTTTAATCCCCCTACCCCTTCCCTCTTTATGCCGGATCGTCAATAAAGTTGTTTCACTCACTCACTCACTAAAACTACTTCCACTACCTTCTGAGATACAAAAGGATTTCTGTTTTCGAATGTGCAATTCTCAAAAAATTGCGAAAACAATGCTAGGCGTACTGCACAATGACCACAATAAGGCAAAACGTCCAGTACGTCTCTACAAGAGGCGCACGGTAAGTGACACCAGACAACGACACGAGTGGCAGAGCGAAATACGAAAGGGAATGTTTTTATTCTTGTCACCTGCTGGTGTTTTGAAGACTAACAATATCCATTGCCATGCAGCTATTTTGATAATTATTTTCGCTCAGTATTCTCAGTATTCAGCATTACACACTCTACAGTGTTGCAGGTGGCCGGCCAAGTTGCAGGGCCCCTCTAGTGTACAAAGCTTGATTGCATGCTGTATCCGGTAGCGCTTCAGGAATCATGGCGCACTAATGAACACGAGACAAAATAAATTCAGAGCTAATCTTGTCCTGTCTTCACCTTGTCCTGTGTATGTTACTGCACTAGGTTTCTAAAGTATGTTGAACTATCAACACGCCTAAACATTCTCCCTTCTGAAGTGTATCTAGTAGTGTAGTCAGTACACGAAGTGTATGCACAGTATATTTTCAAATGTCAATACATAAACTGAAGATGCTATTGTGTTTAGCAGAATGCTTCTCGAGCCCTGTTCCATTAGTAATAATATAATAATAGTTTTCACTTACTCATATTGCCTAATGCCAATAGTTGACACAATATTATATGTATAACATGAATGAGCAGACACTACATTTAAGCGCTCTGAAACAGACACACCTCACTAGAAGTAGTACCATCCTGCTATTTCTGACTTATCTAAAGGGAGTTAGCGGCACCTTGTAATAATATTCTGCAAGAATTACACATCTAGTGACGGGGCATTGTATAGTACAGTGTAGACCTCTTATAATGTAACTGCTTATAGTGCAGAACCACTTACAATGCAGTCTTTTTCTACTCCCGTTTATCCTCCCATAGAACCCCATGTATATGCATACCACTTATTGTGCAGTCCCCCCAAAATGAAAGATTGGTTATAATGCGGTTGCCGGAAATTCTTTGTGACAAATGCGGTAGCGAGTGCGTTTCTGGGGAGCGAATGACGAGGTCGTTACGGAGGAGGAGGGGACACATAGTGAACGAACGAAGGGCCGAAGGAAGAAAAAGAAAACAAAGAAAAGACCGCAGGACACTGCATGGGCTCGACGAGCAAGGTAGGAGGACGGTTGCCTCGGTGACCGATAAGCTTTTGCATCGGCGCCGACGCGGCTACAGCGTACTATGTCGCTAATATGGCTTCGGCCACTCAACGTGGCACGTGCGATCCCATCCTTATCAACTGCATGTGCTTAACAGTTTCTTGTCGGGAAAGACGTTGTCGTTATCGAGCTTGCAACAAATATTGTGTTTGTTTCCTTTTCTGTAAATTGAAAACCTTATATGGTTTTACGACGCGAGATTTCACTTTTGCTGCCAGTGAGCTGATGTGCATATGCTTAGCGAGTTGTCGTCGCTGCTGATCTGCCGGCCACATCCTGAACTTCGTATCATGCACGCTGTTCTTGGTTCCCTGCTAGTGCGATCTTTTTGAAGCTGAATCTTCATGTTTTGGACAAACTTTCTGCGACAACATACCAAACGGCAAGCTAGGCTTAATTGGCGTTGGCTGACCTTCGATCGGTAGTGGCCGCGTGAATCTAAGTTGCGGTTTGGTACCGAATCAGTGAACCTCTTTGCGGTGGCCGCATTTGATGGGAAGGAATACATATTGCTACGTGCCAGTGCAGAGAGTTGAAGAAGACAAAGCATATAGACTGGCGCGAGCTAATCTGTGTGGCTGGCGCTGCTCGCTTAACCGGCTGAAAATACATCTCTGACTACCCCTCCGAGTCGGACTCCTTCTTGTAACATATTTGGTGGAGGTGCTGGATAGACAGGCCGGGCAGAAGGGCGGGCGACCGGGGAGGATGTAGCCGAGTCTTGAGTGGTCATGTTGAAAGCCGTGAGGGAGCGTCCGCTTCGGAGTTCCGTGGCGAGGACGGGGATCGCACAACTCCTTCTCGTAAAAATATCATTAATAAAAACGGGGGCGGCACCTGTAGCACTCAAACAGTGGTTCGCGATTCGATTGCGATGTCTTAAATCGGGTGTGCGCCCATGAAATCCAATAATTGGCGTCTTTCAACACGACAAATTCTGGACGTGATTCGACAGTTTTTATATAGTGTGCATAATCGAGGTGGGCTAGTAGTCGGCGAATTTCTGCGATGGTGCTTTGATTTGTTAGACACCTCCCCCCCCCCCCCCCACACACACACTTACTCGTTCATTTCATTGGCAACGTGCGTCTCTGGATGTTAAATTCTTTCAACATTCAGAAATTTGACTGTTAGCAAGTACACATCGCACATTTCGATTTTCGGACACGCGAAGCTGCATGTTCAACACGTTTTGTGCAAGTGCGGCCCTTGAAAAAGGTTGTTTTGGTTATAGTGCAGTACCGCTTATAGTGTGGATATTTGCGACTTCCGTGACTTACGTTATAAGCGGTCTATACTGTAGCTTGTGAGTAAAGGGGACATGTACACCATCAACTAACTTTTAAACGGGTGTTGGAATGAGCTGTAATACGGTTTCACGACTGTAAAACACAGTGAAAAACTGTCTTCATTTTCATTTCAATCTGTTTTACCATCATGAAGCCATCAATGAGTCAGCTTACCTGATGGCTGGCTTGCTGTAACTGGCTGATCTCCATCTGCTGGATGCTCAAGAGTTGGTAGCAGTGGATGATGCTGAGAAGCAGTTGCTGCTGAATTGCATAGTGGTGGAGGACGTCTGTGTTTGGAGCTCGAAATTGTGGACCTGAAGTGTATAGAAACGCTTCTCACTACACAAGAATGCGCACTGCAAATGTGTGGCAAAAACAAAAAAAAAGTGACAAAAAAGCAATCTCTAGTAGGGTGCAACTTTTAATCTCATTTTTTGTTTTGTTTTTTATGGGTTAATGCTCATCTTTTGTATCTGCGCACAAAGTTCTCATGTGATCCTATTCTTATGAGACTGACTAGAATGCATATTAAAACCCTTTTCTAGGCACAGTTTTCTTGTAGGAATCAAAACCTGAAGTAGCATTTCACATAAAAAAAATACTAAACATGAGCATACCAATCTTAACTCTTTCAGATGCCACCTATGAAGAACTGTCTGTAAATGTGTCAAATCACCACAACGTTACTTCGAGGCACTCAATATTTGATTGTAACAGGAATAATGAGATAATTGTGGAATATATATGTGTTATAGAAATTCATTCTAATTATCCTGTAATTAAATATCTCTATCCTAAAGTAATTTATGCTTACTTTTGGCGTTAACAGAATTAAATCTCAAGCTAGGGCTATGGTACAAATTCATTTTTGGTTATGTCAATCCTGAGCAAAGAAAAACTCTACTTTTCACATTGCTTGCAGGAAGCGGCATGTCGCACAACTCGTCAAACGTGGTAGTGCCTTCAGAAAAGTGATCACATGTATCAGTACCCTACAAAATGAAGTTAAATGAAGACAAATTTATCATGGGGGAGGTTCAATTCATCCAAAGTACAGTATATTTCGCTCTTTTTTAACCTCTACTTGATGCAAATATAGCCAGAACGAGTGGTGTACACAATTGTGTACACAGTGTTTTGAAGGGTTAAAACCCAGCTGGCAGAAAATCAAATTCGATGTTTTGTTGACTTGGTGCTGCAAACAACAAGTTTCCGACAGTGTTTTACAAATGTCCATGAATTGCATCATTCTCTGACTAGGCCTCTGCTTCAGCTCTGAAGTCTAAACTGGACATGTACAGTGGCACTCAATATGAATTGCAGCACGGTGACCATGGCTGAAGGGGCCCCAATCCTACAATATAACACTGGAAAATGTGAAATTGGTTTTGGAAGTAACAGCAGTCAAAACAGTGTTTATGTCACTGGTTGTTTTCTGCTTGATGACACCGTGCAGTGTGGGCACTGCTTGGAGCACAGACAGAAGTTCGCAAGAAGCTCATATTAGGCACAACTATAAATCTGTATAGTATGTCAACATTTTTTCCTTTAACTGCTGTAATTTTGATGCAGGCCACAGAAGTGAGAATATTGCCAATGTCTGAGGAGTGATGTGCTCCAGCTTCTGGCTTCACCTGGGGACACGGCAGCAGCAGAGGTGCCAAACGCCTGTTGCTCTTGCAGGATTGACTGGTACATCGCATTGGTGTTTTCCAGCTGTTGCAAAAGGTGTTGTGAGAGTTGATGCCATCCTGGAACCATAGGGAGTCCAGATACCCCGGGCATGGACTGGAGAGATTCAACTTCAGGAGGGGCGTGTGACTATACAAGGGGAGAGAACATTTTCAGCCATGCATTCACGCATGAGTTCACTTTGCTATGAATGAAACCATGCTGAATCTCACATTTTAAATTTCAGTAACAAGCAGGAAAAATTAACAATGTAACTAATCAAAACCAACCATACATTGAGATTGTTTTTGTTGCACTCAATACAGTAGACTCTCAGTAAACGGAAATCTGTTAAACAGAACTACTGCTTAAACAGAACAATTGCCTCTGCAATGCTTGGTTTCTGGCTTGTATTCTGCACTCATGTTCAACTCTCAGTAAACCGAACTCCTGGTATATGGAAACATAATTTTCCGGTCCCTTCAGATTTCATTTACCGAGAGTGTACTGTAATTTGTAATTTACGTCGTTTTTTTTTTAGCGACTTTGCGTGAGATAAACAAGAATGAAGAAAGGAGATGAAACAAACGAGTGCAAAGGGCACTCATTTGTGCTTGCTTGTATCTCCTTTCTTCGTCCTTCTTTGTCTCACACAAAGTGGCTAAAAGTGAATTCGTTCCAACTAGGCTTACACAGACAGTCCTACACAGACAGGCAATTAATGTATCAAACATCAGTTTTGTCCGCCTTGGATGTCTCGAAAGGGGCATCTTACAAAATTGAGATATGGCTTTTATTTCCGACAGGAAAGTCCCAATTGTAATACGGTATTTTAATTTTGTGTCTTTCAGAGGCTTTTAAAAGCTGATGATGGGATATATTAAGCAAAAAATTTACTTGCTGTAGAATTCAGCTTTTATCCTTCTATGCAACAGAACTAATAAAAAAAGCGAGAGCTGTAGTTTGTCAAGAAATATCGATTCTCACCGCTGATGTATATACAGCACAACATCAGTGATACAAATAACGTGGGGTTATGAAAACTATCTGTGTTATGTGATATGATATTATCAGAAAACAGAAAAACAAAATGTGTCGAAAGAAAGCTGGCGTATTTATTGCTTTTCTGGATTGAATGATTGCCAGACACATACATGAATGACTGCGAGTTTTCTGCTTGTAAATATACAGTGCGTGCAAGCGTGAGTAATCAAGCAACAAAATGTGTAATAGCTCTTTTCTACTCTTTGACTGTTTTTCCACGTTACGCTAGTGTACTGTGGAAAAGGCAAGTGAAAAAGTACTTCAAATGCAATAGCTGGAGGCCAGAGAGCGTGAACGTAATGGTGCATCTTGATGTTTTGAGACCTGGAAGCCAAGCTGCTTCACTAAGCCCATCCACATAATCTTTCGATTTCTTGCTCACCTTTTACAAGGTGTCTGAATCCACCTTTTACAAGGCGTCTGAATGCAAGGACACGGCTCCCATTGATGTGACAGGTGCACACTTCAAACCGTCGTTAGAAAAGTCATATGTAATCTAAAAGGAAAGTTCATTACAGTTTCTAAGATTCACACGTGCAATCTTGAAGGATACTGCGTGCTGCTGATGGACGATGCTGACAAACTGGAGGCATGCCTGCTCTTGAATTTTTGTGCTCACAACCGATTGTCATGTCGGTTGAAGCAGTGTATGTTTTTACGAGCACAACAGCTTGTGCTCGTATCCTGAAGGTCTTATGATCTGTGATCAGGTAACAGAGGTTGTACTTTAGTCAGGGGCTTCCTTCCACGTTCATTTCAAAACCTAAATACATCAGTCCACGCCCTTCACGAAGGTAGGTAAGAGAGGAAGAAGTTGCATTACGAAGCGTTTATTGCGATACTGAGAAAGAGGATCTGAAAACCAGAGACAAATCATGGAAAAATTTACACTTACTGAATCACCCTGGGCACCAGATGAATGTTGACGTTGCAAGGGAGTACCGATCACGCCAGCAGTACTTTGCCAAAGGCCCCATTGACTGCTCCCGCTGCAAGTACCATTAACTGCAACAAAGTAACAATGAGCATCTTTATAGAATGCAGCTAAGCAGTCCATCTAACAATGATTATGAATAGTAAAAATAACTGTGGTGCATTGCTAAGAGTGCGACTTCTCTTGTATCCACACCTCCCTCCCCTTTCTTCTTTCATTGGGACTCATCAAATGCGGCATGCCGACCCTACTTCTTGCCCATCCCCACTTGCCCTTTTCTCCTTTTTTCTTTGGCTTGGAGGAGAAGCATGCACATACATGCACTAAGGTAGGCAGTTGCAGCCTTGAAGAGAAGTCTGCTTGTCGAAACACTGGCTCTGGCGACATCCCATGTTCACAATTTTTGTTTATTTCTGTCACGAAATGAAACTTAGGGGCACACATGAGGTACAAATAGTGATATTAATCAGTCAACTGTGTCGCAAAGGGATTGAGAAACCCCTCTAAAAGAAACTCAACGTTGCCGATTCTAATCAGAACAAGTCACATGAAGCTACGAATATTGGAAGAAAAAAAATCACCGCCATATTCACAAAGTGAATGGTGTTAGAAGAGCTAGCCCAAAGGTGTACAGGGTGTTTCTTGGCGAGACCATTTGCATAGGAAGGCTTGTTAACTAATGAGTCAGCGCATGATCTGTACGTCGAAGGCAACTTTGTTACGCACGTTCCGCAGCCGGCACTGCACAGTGCTGGCCATGTTGATTAGACGTCAACCACCTGCTCCTTTATGCCATACTGGCCTCTGCCGTGAGTCAAATACCTAATGCATATAAATGGCAGACATGGAGCAACCTGTTGTTCTTAAACAGGGTTGAAAGCAGGCAGGTGAGGTTGCTTGGGAGGATACTACCAGTACCCGTGTGTAACACTCATCATAGGAATTTGTCACGTACTTCAATGCCTGCGAAGCGAAGTGAAGAGGCTTGAGAGGATACTGGTAGCTGTGCGCTACACTCATTTTAGAAACTAGTCATGTGCTGCCGTGCCTACGAAACGATGAGAAAGAAGTGGACGTAGTCGTGAGGAGGCGAGTGTGCGAGCTATCGAAACCGACACCTTCGGTGGCGCCGTGCCATCTAGTGAGCATTGTTGGAATCACCGGCGAGACTACCGGAGTGGCGACCTCCAGCGGCAACTAGAGAAGTGTACATGGGCAACACCGGTGTACATGCTGGCAGCTGCCAATCCAGATGCGAGCTTTAGTAGCAAGCTCCTAATTTGCTATAATAAAAAGAGCAATGTGCTGTGGCATGTTGCAGATTATGTGCCTAGGGCTGCTACATGAGATTGAGTAGGTGATTACAGGGACAACTGCTTCTGTGAAAAACCTTGAAGCTACTAAGACAATGTGCGAATAGGTCACCTTTGGATGCATGTGTATTAGTGAGTCTGTTGTCGGCCCGCTTAGTTGGTAGAACAGCTGGTTCTGCAGACACGTGATGGCGATCTTTCCCAGCAAGAGGTGGCGGCATAGAACGCCCAGTGTCATTCTCAACATCACTTCGGCTTCCTTCAGAGCATAAAAAAAAAAGGGGGAGAGAAGAAGGAAAAAAAAAGGACATAGGCAACTCCGTAAATGAAAACATAAGAACACAAAAATAATGTATAAACCACAATGTAAGAAAAATAATTTTAGTGTTGACACTCCGCCCAACGGCATGCTCACATAATGTCCGCCTTTTTGATCTTCTAGGCCCCCCACGTCACAGCACCCCTCACGCAGCTGCGACCGGTGCATTCACTAGAGAAGACGAGCTGCGTGCGTAGCGTACATAACGGCGTTGCGCACGTGAGAACTCAGCGTCAGAAGTGTAATGTTTTTCTGTTTTTTCTTTTCGTTAGACTGTGCAGCCAATAGCGGCATTCACCGCAGGTGGCGTTTTTCGGTCATGAGAAACACGGTATGCATTTCTAGCTCTAGTTGCTAGCATTCTATGGCTTTAAAAAATAATAGTACGACGTGGAAAAAAAAAAGAAACGCGTGTTTGCCTTATTGCACTAGGTTTCTCAAGACCCCCATATCGCAGCGCCCCCAATGAAATCGCGGCCAGCGCATGTACATTATGGACCATTTTCTGGACGCGCTTTCCGTCACAGTTGGCGGAGAGCAACCACCCCCAAGTTATTTTTCTTACACCGTAGTATGGCCAAAAATCAAATGAATGCAATTTCATGCTGCACTATTGAAGTATGTGCAGTTCAGAACAAGAAGTAAAATCGATGAACAGAATTCAAAACAATAAAACAGGTTTAAAAGTGAACTTTTCATTGTCTCTTTCTACCACATTGCATGTGCTTAGAGCTTCTGTTGTCATGCCTAGTAGACAATGAGTAATGAGGTATACACAGCCTGATTTCAATGTGCCACCGCATAATGACAATTTCAAGAAAACGTGCTCCCCCACTTTGACCCGACTGCGCCATAAGCCTGATTTCAATGTGCCACCGCATAATGACAATTTCAAGAAAACGTGCTCCCCCACTTTGACCCGACTGCGCCATAAGCCACAAATTTTACTGAATATCATCTATACTTCACTCTACCATGAAACCTCGAAGTAACTGTTTGCACCAGTTACAATTAGACAGCAAGCACTAAATATTTTGAACTGCAATGCTAGTAAGCTAGTTAGTTCATGTTAAAGGTAATCAGCCAGAAAAGAACGAACCTTTGCTGGAAGTTGCATAGTTTAACACAGGCCTCAGAAATTACAAGAACATGTGACGAAGCACTCCTCCATTCTTGAAGCCACATGGCAAATGCACAAAATCAAGGTGTATTTATTGCTTACATGACATGCCTGGCTATTTGAATTACATGCATGGTTGATTTGTCCAACTTACATGCAGCCCCTTTATGGCAGGAATATCTCGGCACATATTTTTTGGTATCACGTATAAAACCATAATGAAAAGCTGACGGGACATGATAGCCTTTTATATCAGTGCAATTTTGCAGTTCAGAGAAGAGCTGTTTACCTTCGGAGTCATGGCCTGCCCCAATGCTGCCTTCCTGCCTGTCCTCGTCATCATCCTCATCGTCTTCCAAGTTCTCCTGCGTACTAGAGCCACCCCAAGTGGCAGCAATTGTTGTGTTTCCTCCGGCCATGACGCTTCCTGTCCCTGAAGCACAGCAGGTGGCACGAGCTTAAGAGGTTTGTCTTGAGACAAAACTAGTAGGGACAGTTCGGCAAGTTGGAGAGAAGGAAATTCACAAAACAAGGGAACATCCCATCTCCTTTGTTCGTCGGTGCTGTGGTTTTTTTTTTTTGGGGGGGGGGGGGGGGGGGGGAGAGCTTTTTTCTATGTATGGACTTAAAGCAGTAAACTGACATCTTGACGAGGAAGGGTCAAGTATTTTGTGGAAAGAGCTACCACCACGATGCCAGCCAACAGTTCCAATTTGTTTTAACAATGGGACAACATAAAAGCTGGCACCATCCTTTCAACAAGCCTGTTTGATGGAACATAACTATGGCATACTATTTCTGGGGTTGATGCTGATTCCCATTCAAAATATTTTTGAGCATTGAAGGCTGCTGAAGGAGCCTTGTAAACATGCAGGATGGGTGAGAAAATGAATTATGATCATGTGTATGCAAAGAAAGCACATGTTGGGTACTTGTTACAGGCAAATAAGGTGCCTGTGATGGAGAAAAGGACGACTTGCTTCGTACACAAAACTTTCGATGGCTACAAACCTTGTCTTGAGGTGTTCATTGCAAACTTGCATGCACTGCTTGAAGCCATACCTCAAAGCAGAATTTGCTATTTCAAAATCTTTGCACATCTTATATGTGCATGTATGCACTATGAATCAGTGCAGGTATGCAGACATGCGATCAGAGTTCAATGGGAATGATGCATTGTGCTGCCGACTGTAGTTTAACCAACTAAGCTGCTAAGCAAAACATGCATGTGAGCCAAGTACGAGATTTCAAACTGCTATTTCACATGCAGAGGAACTGCCACTCCTATCTCTGCCACTCGCAGACGAACTGCCACTTGAACTATCAGTCTAGCCTGCACTTATGATCAATCATACTATTACGATCAGGATGTGTGAATACTGATAATAACTTGTCACCACTCACTGGACCGGCAGGCACTGCTTAGGACTGTTCTGTTAGGCCTAACGAGTACCATTTTGGTTGAAAGTTGGCAACTTGCAGTTTCACGTCAATTGACATGCTAGCAAGTGTGTTTGTTGCAACCGTGGTGATTATTGATGGGTTTTAACTTCCCAAAACAATGACGCGATCATGAGAGACGTAGTGGAGGGCACTGAAAATTTCGACCACCTGAAGTTAAAAGTCTCAAGCATTTTCGCCTCCAAGAAAAATGCAGTCGCGGTGGCTAGGATTCGATGACCTGCCAGTCAGCATTAGGGCACCGTAACCACTAGACTACCATGGAAGGCCAGTTGCAACCACGCTTTTCGCATTCTGCCTATTATTTATGGCAGAAATGTGCTTTCTACATGTGACTGCTTATTTATTTAGTACACTACTTAGTTGACGGTGCCGCTACAATCATCATCATCATCAGCCTGACTACGTCCACTGCAGGACAGAGGCCTCTCCCATGTTCCGCCAGTGAACTCGGTCCTGTGCTTGCTGCTGCCAATTTACACCCGCAAACTTCTTAATCTCATCTGCCCACCTAACCTTCTGTCTCCCCCTGACCCGCTTGCCTTCGCTGGGAATCCAGTTAGTTACCCTTAATGACCAGTGGTTATCCTGTCTACGCACTACATGCCCGGCCCATGTCCATTTCCTCTTCTTGATTTCAACTATGATATCCTCAACCCCTGTTTGTTTCCTAATCCACTCTGCTCCTTTCTTGTCTCTTAAAGTTACACCTACCATTTTTCTTTCCATTGCTCACTGCGTCGTCCTCAATATAAGCTCAACCCTCTTTGTAAGTCTCCAAGTTTCTGCTCCGTAGCTAAGTACCAGCAAGATGCAGGTGTTATATACCTTCCTCTTGAGGGATAGTGGCGATCTACCTGTCATGATTTGAGAGTGCTTCCCAAATGTGCTCCACCCCCTTCTTATTCTTCTAGTTGCTTCAATTTCGTGGTTCAGCTCCGCGGTTACTACCTGTCCTAAGTAGACATAGTCTTCTACAACTTCAAGTGCACTGTTACCTATCTTGAAGTGCTGCTCTCTTCTGAGGTTGTTGTACATTACTTTTGTTTTCTGAAGATTAATTTTAAAACCCACCTTCCCGCTCTCCTTGTCTAACTCCGTAATCATGAGTTGAAATTTTTCCCTTGAGTTACTCGGCAATGTCATGTCATCGGCGAAGCGCAGGTTACTAAGGTACGCTCCATTAACTCTTATCCCTAGCTGTTCCCACATGCCGCTATGATAGTTTTATCTAAAACTTTGCATCTAAAAGCTACATTTAAAGGAGAATACCCGGATGAAACCACAGCTTGCAGCACAGGTGAAACTAGGCCTGCCACACAGTCAACATCATTCCTGTCATTCAAAACTATGTTCCATGAACTTCTAGAGAATTAAATCAAGATAATGCATGATAAGTTTGAAGGGAGAAAAGGACCTACCAAAGTTCATGCCATCAATGGGCTCTGTACTTGCGGAGCACGAGCTGAGGCTCCGCACATCCTCGTTGTGGGAATAGGAAAGAAGCTGCTTGCTTCGCTCTTGCTGTAACAGCTCTTCGAGAATGGCCTTGTCCCGACTTAAGGACTCAAGGTTGGAAGAGTTGTCCTAGGTAAGACAGGAACAGGCCATTTTAAAAAAGCCCAACTGCATTTGGTTTTTTCATGGTTAGAAGAAAGTGCCGTTCCTCTGAACTACTGCAGCTGTTCAAAAATTATAAACACGCCAAGTTTTCACTTCATCCAGCCGGTGCTGGATCCAACAAAAACACGAAAATGCACTTGTTACATGTTATGTATAGCCGACGTCAACAGCAAAAGTTTGCAGAATGTTGGATTCACAACAAATGTGAATTTCTGCTATATCAGTTGTTAATGCTTGTAATCGAGCTGGTGACTATATAAATCCGAATGCCAAGTGCAGTATGGAATATTTATTTTGAAATTACATTCGCAGACAAAGCAGAAGATTCGCCGTATTAAACATTTCGCGTCCGGCAAACTATTGCTGTTGATAGTACACAATCTCACATTTCACAGAAAATATTGGTAGGTTTTTGGTTCAAGGACGATTAATAATATAGATGGATTATAAATAATAGAAGTATTGTGTCCGAATCCAATGCTGCACTACATGAAATCGGTGAGAATGAAAGGCTCCTTTTGCATGTTATTTAGGCAGCTCTATTAACCTAAATTCTTACAGAAGTTAAGAAGCAGTACTGGTATACTAGGATATAGTGTGTTACCGTGCTTTTGCACAGGCCACTGCAGCTACTGTAATTGTAAATAAATCCTGATCACTGAATGGCATTAAATCATAAGCCCTCTACATGAAGCCATCTGGAAATCAGAATAAACAGGGCTAATTTTTTTTTTTTTTCTAAAGTAACCCAACTAAAACTAAAAGATTCAAGTGCATGCCCATACTATGTACTGAAGTCGATGCAGTCAATCTTCATACTGGCATCACACGACTGACATCACACGAAAGACTGGCATCACACCAAAACTAATCATTTCGACACTCATTACACTTTTTCCAACTCAACGTTTAGTTACCATCTCAACCTGACTTCCCGTAACACCCTTCTTAGCTGCAAAACTCAACATGCAGAATTAACGATTTGAATTGAAGCTACACATGCAGTAGAGTGCTAAAACAAACCTTGCATACGTAAAAATAATTCACACTGCATGCCTTCATTTTCGATTTCCCCCATCCCTGCATCACAGTCTGGGTCAGTATACCAAGCTCTCACAGATCCTACCATCTTGCATGATTGCGCATGTCACACGCTCAGCAAAAGTTGAAGGCAGGGTACGCACTTTGGTGCTGAAGTCGCCACTTACGAGCCACTGTGCATATACGTCATTGCAGCTGGGAAAAGTTGTAGCCCGAATGGTGGTTAGGCTTGGGTATTATTGTAAGGTCAATCAAAAGCTAGGTGGCCACTGCAATGCACTAGCTCATCAGCATTAGCTCAACTGAATATTATTCTTCATCGAATGCATCATTAGTGAGCTTAAGAGATTTCTTTCAACTGCACAACTCTCGCCTATCAACTTCAATGACCACTAAAAACTATAACAGCAATGCCAGTATGTATTTTGATCACATGTCATTTCTCTCTCTCTCTCTCTCCGGAAGAGCACGAAAATGACGTCTTGGCACATGCTCAATGCAAACTATACAGTCTCTACATGAATGTAGCAAGATGTACCGGCTTCTACCTAAACTTAACCACACATGCCTCAAGCATTTTAAGAATCGATCCCACAACTTTCAAGTCAGCGGTCGAACACTGTAATGACTAGAGCACCACAGCAGGTCAAGATGACGTAAGGTAAGGATGAGGTAAAGTTTGTGCAACTAGAATGTACTTTCACGTTTCTTGTCTAGTAACCCTGCATCATGTAGGTGTCAACATTATGCCCACTCTGCCACCACTTCCCCACGCAATGCCCAGTTTCATTTGAAAAATTTCCTGGAGGAGTTTGAGATTTGCGCTTTAATAAGTATGGACCGAGCAATTGTCACTCACATGCAAACGGTTACTGGCCTTGGTGGTGTCGTAGAGATTCTTGGGCAAAGTGACGTTGTCCTTCTTGGTTGGGGAGAGGGCCGGATCGGCTGAGGCCCCCCTGGGGCTTGTTGCGGGCAAGTGCTGGGCGGGGCCTTCCGGGGCGACACGCAGTTGGTTCTTAGCCATCGGTGCCTGATTGGTCGCAACCTGTTGCCTCAGCAAGGAGAGACGCAGCCGTTGCTCCTGCAGTTGCTCCAGGTTGTGACGCTGCTTCTGCTGCTCCTTTCGAAGGTCGCTCTCTCCACTACATGCGATTAGAGCAATGTTGCAAACCATTACAGAAGGAGCAACTGTGCCATGTTTTTTTTTTCTACATCAGCTGCTTCTAAGGGAGCACATTATTTTTTATACTACCAGAGAGCTTTGATTCCTATTTTTTCACTTTCTTCTCATGGGAAATTCTGGCCCGATGTAGCAAAGTATTTGCTACTTGCGTGCTGTGTGCAGCGTGTTTCAGTATTGGCCTTAAAATTCGTTGATGAATATCTTGCAACCTTTGGCTAAGCAGTCGAGCCACATTCACCACATAAACAAAAGCCCACAAGTTAGTAACCAAAAGGGTAGATTTTTTTTACAAAATGCGACCCTCTGGCTAGTTTTCAATAGCTCATTAAAATTCTTCACGTGAATCTATACCAGAAAAAAATTGCCATTTTTTTACGCTGACCATAAATGATAGATAACAAATCATTTGTGTTGTTACATACACATAACTTATTTGTAAGTACCAGCAAGCAAAATTGCAAAACAAGTTTTGCGAATGCTAAAAATTATGTTGCAATAACTCTCTGTGTAGTTCGTATCGAGTGGCATTAAATGATAAAATATAGGAAGCAATGTCAGCATTCAATCTGTCAGCATTATCTTCAGGTAAACACCTTAAAGATCTTTTTCGCTCACCAACATCCAAGTCCGAACTCGTATAACTCTTTGCATGACGGGCTGACATTCAGTGAACGAGATCCTCATTCGATAGTTGAATCAGAATTTCGAGGAATAGCCACTACTTGCCTTTACTGCAAAGAAACCTGTGCGTGCTACCATAGCAACAGCACACTGAAGAAAGCTGTATGGTTGTGCACTCATCCAGAAAACAATAACGTGTCGGAAACTTATAACAAATTTTTTCATCTTATTGCCAACGAGACAGAAGCGGTTTGTGTTAGTCCCCAAAACAGGAAACACAACCACAACAGTATAGTTTGTGTCAGTGAGTGCCTGCACGAAAACAGGCATAACATCGCCCCAATGAGCAATAAACAATGAAGTAACAAAGCGGTCACTCTTTGAGAGTTTCTATACCTGACAACCATCAGTATTGCAGGAATGGGTGCGGGAACGACCTGAAGGATGAAACTGAAATTACCTGGCGCACCCCTGTAGTAAAGCACAAAAAGAAAAACAAAAATCTAGATATTGGTGCAAGAAAAAATTACACGATTTCCAACAATGTGGCAGTATACATGCCACGTAAGAAATTATCAAAAAAGGCTAGCTTTAAACATACAAATGATGGCATATACATGTATGTCAGTGACCACCTTGAAGGTGTTCGCCAAGGACATGTACTTTATTGACCCTGAAAGAGTCAGTCGCTTCAATGACACTTTAGCTCCAGCAAAGCATTTTTGCCTTGACGTGGAGCTTGTGTGTGAAGACGACAGGAGCCTTAATGTCGTAGCATTTTTGTTTAAAAAACTGTATTCTCTAAAAAACAATACAGAAAAAAAAACTGTATATACTACACACAACAGTTTTCCCTTGAGGCTTCATGCAAAAAAGAGCAGATAATAATTTTCCCGCTCACAGTCCCGCTGCTATGTCTGCATCCACTTAGAACGGTGGGCGGTGGTGTAGCCATGACATTTTCTGTACGAACAGCTGGTAGCATCTGTCAGTAGCATCACTTTATAAGTGTGAAAGTATTCAGTATATGATGTAATGTCAATGTTCTATTTTGTTTTTCCTGAATAATATTTGCTGTAGAGGACCACTTATTGAACACATGAATGCGATAATATTACAGTGCTTGTTTCTGAAATGCGCTGTATTGCAATATTTTTCCCTCCTGGCTTAGTCAGCCATCACATCAGATATTCACCTTCAGCTTGTCAATGGAAAAAGGTGCTTTTGAAAACAAAAATCTTTTAACCCTTTCAGGGTCAGTGGCGTACACGTACGTCCTTTGCAAACATGGTCAAAAAGGTCACTGAAGTATTTGTATGTCATCACTTCTATGTTTAAAAAGCATGCTTTTTTCGTTTACCATATTTTTGTTGCTTAGAATCCGTTGCCAAATTGTGAGAATACAGAGAATTTTATTTATTCATATATTTTTGTTCTGATGTTCCTTATTGTTTTTTTTTTAAGCTTTACTAAAACAGTGCACTAGCTATCGCTCGCGCATCCGGTAATGTGCAGGTGAGTAGCAGCGAGCTGCGGTTTTGTCCTTCGAGTAATACGTAGTTCCTGCACTTGCAAAGTTGATGTTTGTCTGCTTTCGAATCTCTCAAATCACTTTGTTACAGTGTTGTTGATTGCTCGCGGGGGTGCAATTACATACACCTAGTTCTGGGAGGCGCTAACTTACACACATGATACTGCTACTAATGCTGTTCCTATTTTGGATGCACAAAAAAAAGCTATTCTCTTTCGTTGGCGATAAGACGATGGATTATTTCAAGTTTTTAACTTGCTTTGCTTTCCGAATGCGTGTAGCACCATACAATTTTATTGCTCAGTGTGCTCACCCTTGCAGTTCACTTACGCTACGAAAGTGCACACTGGTTTCTCTGCTGCAAGTGAGTCGAGCATCATACTCTAGTGCACTTATTTTTGTACATCTGTGGACTATGTTCATTGCAATGCCTCATTTTTAAAAAACTATATATAAACTTCACCAGAATTTCTTTTCTTGTTACTCACCAATGAACCCCGTAATTGTAACAGCACAAAAAATTTATTTGTCATTTAAAAAAAAATTAAGAATTTTTTGAAATAGATTCGTCTCAAGATATCAAATCAGCATTTTAGAAAATCGAGCCTGAGAGGTCATATTTGGCACAAAAAATTCGACCCTCATAGGGTTAATGATAAGAATGCCCCCCAACAGGAAGCCTTCGAGGAAGGACATAACCACAAACATGAAGCCTTCTAGGAAGGTCATCTCTTGCCATATAGGCAACGAGCCACTTAATGGGCCGTGCTGTAGCAGATGAGACGCAACATGGCCCTTACCTTGACGACACACCGCTCCTCTGGGCACTCGTGGCAGGTTCAGAGTTGCCATCTTGGAATGAAGCAACCAGAGATTGCAGGTACTGGAGCTGACTGCGTGTCGTCTGAAGCTGTCTGTGAGCCACCAACGAAACAAGCCACGGCGGAATACTTAAAAGCAAGAACAAATTAGAGGGCAGAAAATTACAAAGACACTAGCGCAGAATACAGTAAAGCCTCCTCGATACCAATCCTGCTTAATACGATTTCCCGAATCCTACACTTGAAACCACGAAAACTAGAAATGCCCCCGTACAGCTATGTCTTGATACGCTCTGCTTAATACGTTCCTGAAAAATATGATTATTCGGCAGTAAAGATAGACATTGCGTCAAACTGAGGTCGTATGATACGTTCTGCGAACAAACATTCTCATTCAGGTGTGCAAAAAAGACCACTCTCGCATGCTTGTGAAGCGCCAAGGTTTTATTGTACTTTGTTTTACTTCACAATTGTGACGAAACTTACACGGTTTACCAAATTTATTAAGGTTTGAAAGTATTTTCCTCAAAAAGACCATTGTTACTTTAAAAAAAAATCTCCGAGAATAAAGTCAAGGACTGCATCTACCATTCTGCATAAAAAAAAACAACACTGTGTTATTTCGGTTGCTAACAAGTTAAAATGCGTCACAGTTGACTAAATCAGCCTTGCGGCAGCACTGTTCACCGTGGGCTAAAAGTCGGATATAAGTCGTTCAAAATATTTGTACACAATATAATCACGAAACAGCAACTCCACAACAACAAATGTGCAGTCAGGTTGCATGTTATAGCAAGCAGCACTTTGGTTTGGGCTAGTTGGTGCATTTAGAAAGGGCAGCGCAAAGACATGGGGACAAAGAAACACACGTAATAAACACTGAGGGCACAGGCTAAAAACTGGCTTTTTTTTTTTATTGTGATAGCAATTATGTAATAGACAGCCTCAACTGTTTTTTGGTTTTTTTTTCCTATATACCATATATATATACATACCTACTTATATAAATACCTATATGTATAAAAACTCAAGAAAAAAAAAAAAAGCCGCCCGTGCTCGGCGCCCAGCTTGTGACGATGCGCTGATGCGCATTTATGTCCTACGCGTACTATGCCCCATGAATGAGGAGGGGGGGAGGGAGGTTAGATGCTTGTGCGCGCGCGCTTACCCTTTGGTGGCGAGAATCGCACGCTTTCGACTTTGACTAGAGCAATCGCATTTGCCTGGCACACAAAGATCACTTTGCTCTTTTCACATCGTCTCTTCGCGTTAAAACTGCACTGATACTCGCCGAGATAGCAAGCGCGCCAGCGATCGCGACCGTTTTTAAAATCCAAGTTCATTATTGCTACTCAAGCGCCCCACCCCCGCGTGTTTTCATGCTCGTTTAATACAGGTGGCTTACTTTATGTTTTAGCATTCGATGGCAGTTCTAACACGCGAGAGATGTTATACACTTTCCAGTCGATAGGGACAAGCTGACTCATTTGATATCTGCTTCACCAGCGCTCGCACGCTTTTACCCGCTCGTAAAAGTTACGATGCGCGGGGGCGTGTTATCAGTTTGGACTTTTTATGGGATATAGCGGCGACAGCAAAAATCCGCCGAGTGTGTCCATATAATTGCTATTGCAATAATAACGCAATTTTTTACTGTAAAATAAGTGTTCTGGGCTAGCTCTGCCTTCAATCCCCCTTTTGTTTAACTTGCCCATTTATTTTCCAAATTTTCGTACTGAACCTGCATATAATGAAATCCTCTTTATAACAAGTTTTTCGGGGAATTTATCAATTTCATTATATCCAGGTTTAACTGTACTAGCAAGTACAAGCTCATGAGTGCCAATGACGAATGCTCCTGAAGCAGAGATGAAATGAGCTAGCTGTCTTCATCGCAACAATATCACATGCATGAAGCAATGCCATGGGAAAGGCAGGAGGGTGACGTCACTCGAAGGGCATGGTAACGCATGCTGTCTGAATATGCACTTGGAGACGGCTCGCTCGTAAGCCTGCTGTGCTCACAACTTTTACTTTGCATTTGGATAACTGATAGCATGAAAACCATTTCAGTCCCTGGAGTGGCCCTAAAAACAATGTTTGTTGAGTTACACAGTATTGAGTCCCAAAGAGTTAGCTGCTAGCCTTACTTTGCATAGCATTATACCTTACTGCTATCGCGTTCACTACTTCACCCGTAAGTGAAACTGATGTTTTTTTTGTTCGTTCATAACACTGACAACGGTAACAGATCAAAGTTTACCTGACTTTCTCGGCCAGCATGTCTCCATTAGCTCTTGCCTGAGATGCACTTGCAGGGTCAGCTGGTGGCTGTACGGGGACAGGGGCCGCAGCTGTTGCTCCGGGCCCAACATCAGGCTCCTCATTGGCTCGTCCCTCTGCTTCGTAGTGCCGCCGTGCGGGAAAGTCCCCTTGCAGATTGTCTTTCTTGTATGCGGCACTTCCTCTTGACTTTGGCTGGGCCTCTTGTCTGGGCACACACAAGGGGCAAAAAAAAAAAAAAGGATTTGAAGCATCCCTCAACAAGCCTTATTTAAAATCAACAATGCTACACTCATAACAACTTAAGAAAATGGCAGCTCCGTCCACAGAACCATGGCATCCACAGAACCCTACACCTTTGAAAAACAGTCATGCAAGCTGGTTTCTGCTCAAACAGTAGTACTTCTTCTCAGCTAATGTGAATGTTATTCATCATAACAGTTTAAGGTTTATCGTTACTACCTAAAACATTATGTTTGGCTAAGCAACGATGTCAAAATCCACAATTATGTTAGCAAAAATGCTCAAGTTTTTGCCATAAAACCAGTGATACAAACATTGGTATGTATGGTAAAGTCAACTATGCCCGAGAAGTATTTGACATGAGCATGAGTGCTAGTGGTTGACACGAAAGCGCTATTGCTTATGCAAATTATCTGTAAGAGGGACAACAATGGCCGAGAGAGGAGATGAGTTTTTTTTTTTTTTGCTTTCCTAACGCGATAGCATTAACGAGCTGGTTTCGCAAATATTCCGACATCGGTGTAGGCATCGTTTGGTTGTGAGGGAAAAAACATCATCTTTTGCGTGACCGAAAAATCGATAACGAAATAAATGATAAAAAAACCCTGGACCAGAGTAGGGACCGAACCAGGGTTGCTTGGGTCCAAGTGGAAATTGAACCCAGGTCGTTTGCGTGGCAAGTGAATGTTCTACTACACGGCCACGCCCCTGCTTGTGAAAACAGTGAAAAGAACTTCCTCTGCTTGAAAATGCAGTGAAAGTAGCTTTCATGCTTCATGAACACATGTGTCCTGTATACGTGCTTCACAATGCAACATGAAATATTGCAATAATAATGCGTGGTACAAGCGTCCATTGACAATGGCCGTCAGAATATGTTATCATAATGGCTCCGTGGTTGGGAGCCAGTAACCACTACTAAAGGCACACACGCTGCTGCGCCTATTCCCTTAAGGCCACGTATAGTGGGTGCATAGCAAATTCGAAAAGGTTTCATGCACTAAGTGTTAGAAGTATGCACTAGGAACTGGATGCCGCTATCGCGTTCTAACTACTGAAGGCGAAGCTTTAGGGTTCCCTAACTTTTTTGTTGAAAACAAGTATAAGGTCAGTTCTAGCTAAACAGCCGTAATTTACTGAATTTATTGAGTGCACACTACAAGCAACAGTAACAAACTTTGTAGGGAAACATGCACAGGCTAGCAGTGGCTCACCCCAAAGCAAGGATCACTTTAAGGGCGCTAATGGAAGAACATTGTAGGCATAAAAAGCCAGTGTTTCTTGTTGTCTGTGCACAAGCCTTTTCCAGATCTGTGACTAACTTTGTAACTAAAAAAAAAAAGTCTCTTTTCCTTTTTGAAAACTTGTTTTCCATGCTTTCAGTGGGTTATTAGCCGGTCTCAATAATAATTATTGCTTTTCAATAATGGTATGAAGTGAAAAGTATTTCTAGCCCAAGTTTGTGATTTCATGCAGTAAGCACACCAACTGTACTAACCGTGCCATGTAAGCAAAGTGCGAGATTTCATGCCGAAGCAAGTAATGCAACACTCAATATAAATAAGCCCCATTTGGCTCCCACCTCAAAAAGGTTTTAAATTGGGAAAGCAGCTTTTGAGGAGTACACGGGGCACAAAATTCACTTGCCGAAATATCAGTCTCCTAGCAAAAATGCATTGTAAGCTTTGTTGCCTTAATCCTCCAAGCAAGCAAAGGAAAAAGTAAAAGAAAGAGGCATTTCTGGAAACAGATACTGGCTTCTATTTCTGCTTCTACTACAGGGCTTAAAAATAGCTTCTCTTTTTGAGAACTGTGGCAGACTGATATACTCCACAGGAGTGTCTTGATCTCATGATATCATAAAGCAAATATTTAAACATTAGCTGCGTGTCCTTCCAAGATGAAACACTATATCAGTTGTGGCACTGCTCCTTTGATAATACCGTGTTTACTCGCATAATAGGTTCACCCCCAGTTTGGTCGGGAGAAATTATTATTTTTTATTTTTACGCATAATAGGCACACCCCGAACTTGGCCGTGATTAGTAGTTTTGTACCGTATTTTCACAGTTGCAATTCGATGCTCTCTTATTTAAGTGGAGCAAAAAGAAAAAAAAACAAGACCGCGGCAGTGCTGCGCGGGCTCGCCAAGTGAGGAAGAAGGGTAGTTGCCAGGCAGTTGGAGCAACCATTGCACCAGCGCCGCCATGGCTCCGGCCGCGTGCACTCCGTTTATATTGTGCGATCGCCTCATCAAGCGCGCTTGAGAGTTTCCTGTCAGGAAAAGCGTCGTCATTAACGCGTTTGGTACCTCGTCCGCAAATTCAAAAGCTTTTCAGCTTTTCAACACGAGCTTTCACGTTTGCTGCCATTAGGCGGGCTTGCACAAGCTTGGCGGAGTTTTGTCGCCGTTGATTTCTCGGCCATGAACCTAAGAATCGCATAACGCACGCTTGGATCAGTTCTTGAGTACAATTTTCGATGCCCAATCTTCATGTTGTCTCGTACAAGCTTTCTGCGACAACATGCTGAACGGCAGACTAAGCCTATTCAGCATTTATTGCTTTTCGGTAGTGGTCGCAGGCAATTAAAGTTGCAGTTTTGTATGGAATCAACATAACTCTTTACAGTGGCTGTTTTTGAAGGGGGCATGGCTGGCGCTTGTAACACTTGAATGGTGGTTCGAGATTCGATTGCAATGTTTTTGGATATGGGGTGTGAGGCTGTGAAATGAACGTTCACTACCCTTCAGCACACAAAATTTCGGTCGTGATAATTCAGGTGCGTAATCTAAGTGGCCTGAAACATAATCGGCGAATTTTTGCGATGGTGCTTTCTTTTCATAGCTTTTTTTGCTCGCTTTCATTCTGTCAGCGATGCGAATCTTTTGATGTTAATTTTCGGAAATTTGAATGCTTGTAAACACCACATTGCATGCCTCAATTCTTGGACACGCGAGACTACATGTTCAACACATGTTGCGCTAGCCTAAGAAGAAGGTTGTTTCGACGGCAGTATAAATATCATAATTTTGGCGACTTACGCTATCAGCGTTCTATGCTGTAGTCGGAAATAAAATTTTCGGAAATTTTACCTCGCATAATAAGTGCACCCAGAACTTAGTGTCAGATTTTCTGGAAAAAAAGTTCACCTATTATGCGAGTAAATACGGTATTCCTAGAGTTAATTGGTTGAAAATTGATTGTGCATTTTTTGTTAGACTTTCGTAAAATAAAACCTAGAGGGACCAGGTAAGTATGCTACATTTAACAGCAGTTCTATTCCCTAAGAAAAGAACAGGAGTGCTAAGTTAAAATGCAACACTAATCTTAGATGCAGTTCCACATGGGTAGCAGTTTCGTTTGAGAGATATCCATTTACTGAGAACTCGCTGTATACTTTTCTTTAACATAATGTAGAAAAATCAGTTTTTGCACAAAGTAGATCTTTTGATTGGATCAAAGCTACAGACCACGGAATTAGCAAAGCAAATGCAACACTAGTTATGAAACAGTGTATTCAACAATGTGGTGACAATAAGTACAAATGCCATAATTGGGCTAATTAAAGTTTTCACATATAACCAAATTAACAGAGCGTCTGTAAAATCTTAAATGTGCAACAGAGTTTTAACTTACAAAGCATTCGAAGAATTGCCCCCTGCACCAGACAAATCTCCTTGGTCAAGCTTTCTTACTGCAGACTTCAGCTGCTGTAAAGTCTTGCGCATCTCATTAACTTGCCTGCATTAGGTGAATGGCAGGAATAAAGACTGAATTAATATACTAGCATTCACAAGTGTTAACAGTAATGCACAGCTTGAGAGAATGCCTGGTATCACAAAAACTGCACTATAGTCCTGCAGAAGCTCAGGTAATTCTCGGGACACAAGATTTGCTACGATAACTTTTGAACACCTGTTGCGGGAGAGTTAGCTAACGTAGAGCACATGCTCTGGCAAAATCCCTCCTTACTAGGAAGCAATCAAGCCAACCAAGCCAAGTGGTGCTTCGCCATCAGAAACCCTAACAACGGAGGGCAGCTTTGGGCCGTTCAGAGAGCCCACATTGCGGCTATCAGGATTAGCCTGGCTGAACTAACAAAGGGAAGAGCCCACAGTGCTTTAGTCGCATCTGTCAGGACTATTAAAGTTTGACCAACCAACCAAACAGCAGCCAGTAGCCATAAGAGACATGCCAGCAAATTGTGTGCTTCATCTCACCACTTCAAAATAACCTACTCAATGATATAGTATCTTTTATTGCATTTAACAATAACAGCTACCACTGTAATATGTTATATCCCAGTAGATATTAGTGTTCGTACTATTGTAGTTTCATTTTGCACAGTATCTGTTCCTATACTAACCGGAACAATCAAGCTTTTTAATCTACGTTTCCTTAAAAACAAACGTCCCCTGCACAGCTTTGTACATTCAGTGATCTACTGCATGGTTACTCTACTATGTGTAAACGTAACGTCTGGAAGAAATGAGCATTTTTGATTGACTAGCGCCTTTTTCAATAGGCTATTGGAAAACAAATGCCTGTACAAACATGAGCTGCGATTTTTCAACCAAGTCTTACAACTTACCTAAAGTGAAATATTGGCCATGACAGGTTGCGAAACATGCTTTAATTAATAAAAAGAAGTACATTTCATGTTGACTTTTTTTTTTTTTTTTCAGCTCTGTTGGCTTAATAAGGTACCGAGCAGCTCATGTGGTTGATCAACCAATCGTTACAACACCACTGCAGTGACAAGCAGGGACGGAAGAACTTGTCAAGAAACTTACCTTACAAAAAATTAAACTACGTGGTTTCTTAATTTGTTTCACTATGAATGCCAAGTGATGACGCAAAATTTTAATCTGTCCAGAAAGCCTTGACATTTTCAACTATATCGATAACGTTACGTGTGCTCATTCTTTTTTAAGTCAGATGATTTCGAGCGACAGGATTGTTATGCAGCAGTTTCGGCATTCATGTGCTGCAAGTCTATAAGCAAGTTCAAATGATAATCATGGCATCACCTCCTTTTGTCTTTCATTGATGGCTGCTCAAAAGAAGTCGAGAACTTTGTTGGGCCTCTCGGTGAAGAAACCCCTTTGGAACCTTCACTAGCATTGCCAGCACTTGGATTACCTGCAATATATGAAGGGGACAGGAAAAAAGCAAATCACAAGAACTTATGCTACTGCAAAATAAAACAAGTTACTGCTTTGGTATAAAACCATAAACATTAATGTTTTAATGTTAAAAGACTGGGCATGCAAACACAGACACAAGAAAGAGGCTGAGACACCACAAGCACTGACTTCTGATGTCTGGGTTTGCATGCCTAGTCTTTTAAAGGGCCACTCACCAGGCCCCACACCAAATTTTAGTTAGACAGTGGAAGTTGTTGGGTGTCTGATAAGGAACACTCTGCAACAAAGATTTTTTTAATCGGTACATCACAAGCGGAGAAAACAAGTTTTTTGAAGTGACACAAAATGAGGATGAGAGGTGAGCTCGAAACCCTTGCCACTTCTCCGCATAGCCTTCGCAAGCCAAATCTCTTCCCCGCCCTCTCCGGCATCCGGCCAAGGGGTCACATGCGCATGACGTGCCCAAAGAAATCGAAACCCCGAGCACACGAGCAGCGGTACTTTGTTGACCAGCGTTATTTTGTGGTCTTCTGCCTCTTTCTGCGGGATGGTTTGGAAACGCTGGCTTAGACGCGGTAGAATAGTTGAGCACAATGAGTGCGTGAATACGTAGGAGCGTTCCACGGCGGTTGTCTGCTCGATGAACTGATCGCGGGGACACGAACGCATTCCAAACCCCAACACATTAGCCCCCATCTCATTGCAAATCCCGGGAGAAAAACGGAAAAAAAGACGCTCACATTCCCTTGTTGCGTCTCATTAGTTATCTAGAGCTTTACTAATCTCTTCAAGCAACAAATTACATAAACTATGCATGCCGTGTTAAACGATTTTCGCCATGTCACGTGCCACTGTTTGCAATGTCAGAGCAGAGTCGTCTACATAGAGGACCAACGTCACTGCATTGCCGTGACGTAGAGCCATTCATACGCGCACGTCATGCCCTCATTCTCTGGGCACGCGCCTGCAGAAGGGAGGGGGAGCAGCGTTCATCTTGAAATTTGACCCATTTCCACGGCCCGTAGCGTTGCCAATTTTGGCAGACGTGATCATGAACGCCTCGTCTCAAAATTGTCAAACCTGCTGAGTGGCCCTTTAACATGAAATATGCATAAACTAGCTTAGCTCTTTGTTGTTTTAATACTTAATAGATACCAAAAGATAAAAGAAGAGCAAGTAATTCCACAAGCAAGTTTAGTCCCACATTTTTTTTTTCTTACTTGATGGACCCAACAGCGCCTCGCCATAGCAAAGATTGTTCACTGCCATCATAACATTCCAGTGACCCAAGTGGTGAGTACAAGCACAACTTGAACTTGATATAAAATAACTGATAAAATCACTAGCCCCTACAATACTTTCATCAAATTTGCTGTGGCTAATAAAACAAAAATGTAAGATCCATGCCTTATAACAGAGATTATGTAGACGTCCTACTTACTTTGGATGCTAAGTCTGCAGGCCTCCATTTTCAGTGTGGAGAGTTCATGCAGAAGTTGATCTACCTGAGATTTCTGTTCTTGCAAAGCTTGAATGTTTGCCGTTACTTGGCTGGCTTGCAGATCTGTAGCATTGCCATCCACTGTAGCGTTCTCCAAGTCAGCAATGTCAAACTGCAAGCCATGAAGCCATTGCAGGAAGTCAGAAATAATGTTAACAGCATGTTCTCGAGTCACATGTGCCATTCACATGTGCCATACTTGCTGTATGTAGGTACCATTATCTTACTCTACAGTAAAATCTTCGTAAACAGAAATTGCTTACATAAAACAATTGTCTTTAATTTTGTTTGTTTTGTATTTGATTGCTGCACTGCTATACACAATAAACAAAGTACTTTTTGCTCTGACCGGGTACAAGTAGATGCAACAGACAATATCGCACATTTTTTTCAAGCATAAGTATTGAAATGACATGCTATGCAGTTCACCAATACTGATGTTTTTTTTTTTTTTCATTTCTTTCTGTCTTTCATCTCGTGCTTCCTGGTTTTCACGTTAAGTTTCTACAGTCTCCTATAACAAAGTTTTCCATCCATCCATCATAAACATATCAACGTGGTCCCTTAGTCTGCTTCCCGCATTCAAAGTTGCTTGCCCACAACAGATATTGACTCAGCTCCGACACCTTAAAGTTGACACGACTAGATTGCAGCTTAGCTTCAGTTATGTCATTATGTGTGAATTGGAAAGCACGCACAAGTTTCATTCACATGTGCTTCTTTGCCTCAGTGTGCATTATCAGAATCTTACTTAATGCAATTATCACCATAACGGGCAACAGAAAAGGCACAAACCAGTACAGCTAACTGCCATAAAATAACTCACCTTGTCTTCTTGACCGAGTAATCTCTGCAACTGCTGCACTCGCCGTTCCAACTGTTCAAATTCCACATCACCAGCTGGGTGACCACCCACGGCTCCAAGAAGAGCGTCAGCTGAAGCCCCATCTGCAGCCGAGTCAGCAGACCAGTTCCAATTGCTATCACCACAACAGGCGACATCGGATGGAGGTGCAGATGCACCATGATGGGGGCGTCGGGATGGCGCAGCCCTCTTAGATTCCCGCAAAGAAGACGTTGGTGGCATCGGCAGCGTGCCGGCAGCTGTTTCACGCTGCATCTCGCTGACCCACACACTCAAGTCTGGATGGCTAGCAGCCAGTTGGTCTGTAAGGTGCACAAAGGCATGATAGCATTTAAAAGTGAAGCCTAACCCTGAACAAGCTAAGTGAATTAGATCTATGTTAATGTAAACAACGGCAACCAAAGAACATCACTTAGAAAGTATGGCTCGAGAAAAAGTTAGAATGATACGAGTGTTCCCATGCTGTAGCAATTCAAAATGTCCTTTTTTTCTTAGCGCCAACCATAATTATCAAGAAAAGCAGCACAAAAGAGTTGAAATTCTTCTTCTTCAAGTTACAGTTCTGTACAAAAGCCATTTATTACTTGAAATGCTTCAAAAACTTTTTTGTCAAACCACAAGCTACCCTAACACATGCAAACTCTCACTCTAGTACACATATTCCAAGCACCAATACACACACAACTTAAAACTCACGCTTTTTAGGAACAAGGCAATAATGTTTGAGCAGTCGAAATGTTTCATTGTTTACCAAAACTAATAAGGCCAGTACTGGCACAAGCATTCATCAGTGAAACTCGAAAGGCCCATTATGACCAAATGCACTAATGTTGTAAAACAACACAATATTTAAAAAAAGAAGTGACAACCAGAGTACTGATTCTACTCAAATGTGAAAATATGCACTGCACATTTGGATAAGAACTTCGCATACATAAAGGTCGTCGACTGACAACTTCTTGAGGCCTCACACAAGGAAGCAGGTGTTCGTGCTTGTAATTTGAGTAATGCTTATTGTACCAGATATACACGAAACACTTTTCGAAACGTTTTTAAAGATGCAAGTGATGCAATCAATGTGATATATTATCTTCCATGTACACAAAGTGCCATAAATATGTAGTAGGCTAGAGCTTTACATTAACAAACTCTCATTGCAAATACAGAGACATATAGAAACTTACCTTGAAAGGCCTTTGCCTCTGCTAGTTTGTTTTCAGCTTTCTTTTGAACACTCCTGATTATGTCATGCTGCTCTCGCAGTGCTGAAAGCTGTGAAGAAAAAGTAAAGACACTTATTCTATGAAGTGTTTCTGACTAAAAGTAGACAAAAAACATAAAAACTCCTCTAACAAATTTTGCCCACAGGAGAATGTTAGATTGGGAGTGGGGCCAGGGGAGATGTACAGTACTCATGGACTCAAATGTAACATTGTTTTTTGTGTGTGTCGCAGCCGTCATGCGAAATTGCTCAAGGTAACCACATCATGTCATGACGACTCTATTCTCTAAAGATAGCGTTCACTCTGATCTACGTGTTAAGCCAAAATTATGCCAACATAACCCCAACTAAAATGGTGAAAATGAAAGTATGCACATTACTTGGCCCTACATTGTCGAATTTCAATCCATGAGTACTGTACGATGCTAGTAATAAAAAAAGAAAAAAATTATTAAGAGACATAAGTACTACAGCAAAACAAAAAGATATAGGTGGTGATTACCCCTATCAATAGCGGCAAGAAGAATGAATAAAAGAGCGAAACACGACACGCGAAAAATGATTTGCTTAGATTCAGTGATCCTTGCGAGAAAAAAATAATTGAAAGTGTCTAGAAAATCTCACAGCGTGCACCTGAGTGATTGCATGGCTTACGGAAGAGAAAAAGGCACACATATGCATACCTATTAATAATAATAAAAAAATAAATAATAATAATACTTTATTCATCAAGTGTGAGCATGGAAAAGTGCATGGGTACAGATTCACTGGGAGGTCCCAAGGTAAGAACCGCAGGCAGGACCTCCCAGACATGAGTCTGGGATAGACATGAGTCTTAAAAAAATCTTCCTATATAATAGTTGGGTGTATGGAATGAAATTTCATACACCTGTTCAGCTTTTACTGCAGATTCAAAATCTGTGAACAAATTTTTTAACAGATACATTAAACGAGAGATACACCATTTCTACGAAGATTTCAGCATAACTCTTATGGGATTTCTCGGCAACTTCTCTTTGTGAAACAAAGTACAATGGACTCCCATTAAATGAAACTCAGTTAAATGGAAAAGCCGCATAAACAAAACTATCTAGGCACATTTGGTTGGTCTCCTATACATTTAATAATAAAAAGTTTCGGGTAATCGGAACATTTTTTAGCTTACATCGGTTAAATGAAACTAAAACAGGCAAAGCCCATGAACGGCAGAAGTGGCCAAGGCAGTCTAGCAACCATGAAACAAATGCCAAAGCTAGCCTCAAATTATTGTGTACTAAAATATGGGGTAGTGTGTCCAGGCACCCTCTCTCGCCATGCATCGCGTGAAGCGGCGCACGTGGACAAAAAACCGGTTCTCAAGGCGGCACTGCCATGGCATGGGCTGGTAGGATTGTCAGCTCCGCACCCCTCTGCCTTCTCGTGTACTGTTCATTGACCTGTTGCTAGTGTCCGCGCCCGCTTAACAAAAGTTCTTCTGACAATGTTTTTGCTGGCCACGTGACAGTGAGGAAATGCCGAGTCATTGGCGGCAACGACACTACTTTGCACCTAGGTGCGAAACAGGGTATACCATTAGAAAAAAGGTGAGCAGCTGTCGCTTTTCATTGCACCCAAAGACACAGCACGGAGGAAGGTTTGGGAACAGAATTTACATCAAAAGGATGGGACCTTGAACGAAAGCTGCTCTGTATGTGGGCTACACTTCGAGCCTTTATGTGTTTTCAGAGACTACGTGCACATTATTAACGGTGAAGAAGTTCATGTACCACGTAGGAGACCAGAGCTAACGCCTGACGCCGTGCCGATTTTACTGCCCAACGTTCCAAGCTACTTATCGAAGAGAGAGCCGCATCCAAAACCTCCGAGAAAGCAGAAGAATTCGGCGGTCGAATCCACCATCTGCAAGAAAACTGCAGCACCCTGTGTTGATCGTGAGTCCACCGATTAAGGTTGATCGATGGACCTTCCTGCTGACTACAAACCCGAGGTGGCTAACACTACAGGGACTGCAGCTTCGCTGGAACACTTACTCAAGCTTTGTTTACCTACAATTTATATTATCTTTATCGCACCGCATCTTGTGTCAAAGAGAGTGGTAATTTATGTGCTGTCACGACTTCATTTTTTTGTGAAGGGCATCAACCAGTCTTGAGAGGCAAAAAAAAAAGCTAAACGCGAAAATCAGTCGGTGCTCATAAAGGTGCCACCGGGATGAAGTGATCGTGAACTGATAATTCCATGGAATGGCGTCGAATTTGAACAGTGTTACTGCTCACTGAACTATGCGCGCTTGTAAATAAAGGGTTTCTTCTTACAGTCTGACAGTGGTGCCAAGTGATGTTTTCTTTTGACTGTACAGTGCAATATCCCGGCCACAGCATCAGTACTTCGGTGGGCACGTAATCGTTTAAGGAGCCAAGATTGTCAAAATTATTCCCAGGTCTTCAGCTATGGCGTGCCTTTCAATCAAATGGCAGTTTTGTCACCTTAGCCACATTATTACAATTGCATGATGCAACTATCAACAAGAACGGTGCCGCACGCGTAACGAAGAGAGTCGAAGCGGACGCAGTGTCCAGACTATACGACTCGATATAGCAGTAATATAACAAGAATCTTTCGGGTTTATAGATGTTCCTTCAATACCTCGATCAATCTAATTTTTTATTCGTTCACCAACCGAGCTTTAAAAACTGCAGGCAGTGTCCCCAGGAGTGCTTCACCGTCGTTTGTTAATACCTGCATTCGGACCGTGCGTTGCAGCTTTGACATTTTGTTTTGTTTTGAATGCAGTACAAACACACCCATTCAGAAAACGCTTCGTGAACGTGTCAGCAATTAAACACAAGACTATTAAGCGCGACCTATGCAAGTGTATGTCACGGGATCGAATCCTAGCCGCGGCGGCTGCATTTTCAGCGGAGGCGCAAATACTGAGGTGAGTGTACCTAGATTTAGGTGCATGTTAAAGAACCCCAGGTGGTCGCATTTCCGGAGCACTTGTCTACGGTGTCTCTCATAATCATAAGATGCTTTTGGGACGTTAAACCCCTGCTATCAAAGCGCAGAAGTGCATAAGAGGCAATGCGTGAGGTGACAGCCCATGCTAAGGTGGCGCCATCTCACGGCTGTCGATACCAACTGCGGCAGCCACGGCTCCTCCTTGAACACACTACCCCATATAATAGTACACTATACTCAAATAGTGGTAGGTGTTCTGTGGCCTAGCCAAGCCAACCCAGTGATTGCACATGTCCGCGTACGCCGAGCAGCAATCGACGTCTCGTCGTGAACTTGAGCACAGCCTTGAGGAACCTATAGCTGAAGTTCAAGATGAGGACCCGTGCTCAAGGGGTAATGAGATGGTGTGTGATCCAGAGCCCATTTGAGTGGCTGACAGAGCAGCAAGAGATGCTGTCATCTTGTTGCAGCGCTACTTTGAACACGATAGTGGCACAGAGTTCCTGCCCAACCTTTCAGCAATGCGCTCCTACAGTGTGTGGTGTACACATATCCCGAAGGAGTACGGCCACCAGCGTGGGTCCGGTCTTAGCGAGCCGCAGGGCACGCGTTAACCGTCGCCGTGGCGAGAACACGATACTGCTCAAAGTCGCAACACTTTATTGTGGCAACATTAAACGCAGTACAGCCCGTTGCAAAGGCGCGGCGGGAAAGCAAATAGGCTTATCCACGCCACGGGCATAAAAGTACAACTACACAGGGTGCCACAAGCACATCTCCGCGGTAAAGGTGATCCACGGAGACACCGGGACCAAGGCCCGGTTGCTCGAGCGAGAGCAAAGGCGCTCGCGTTGGCTTCGGAGGGAGACGGGTCGGCGTAGCTAGGCCACGCACTAGGACACCATACCACTCTTCGGCCTAGCGTTCGGAAGGGGGGGGGGGCGACATAAGGTAAGCGTTCGCCGCGGCCGCGAGGTGCTGTTGGCGAAGTCCGAACGAGCCCCGCAGGGGGCTGACGGACGGAAAAGAAAAGCGTGCTTACCCCAATGTCGTCCCCGGAGAGGTCTCTCTCGCTTTCGACGCAGCGCGCGAAAACCTCTCGGGAGACTCCGCGCGCGGCGCCATAGTCAACATCCGCTACCGGGTGAGGGGGTTAAACGTCACTCCGCTCCCCCAGCGCGGCAGACAGCAGAGAAGGGGAGACATGTCCGGACATGAGAACGGAGAAAGAGGCGGTAAAGCCAGCGCAAAGGCAGCGGGCTAGCCTCAATTCCCACAAGTGTGAGAAAGTGCTTTAACAAGGTCAAGCAAATTGTTATCACCTCCTTTTTACCGAGTCGGCAGTAATATAAACATTTTTCTTTTTAATACTATAGTAGTATTGTATACTTAAAAATGTTTTTGTTCAGTTAGCCACAGTTGGTGCTTCTGAAATAAATTCATATTTCATTCATTTTTGTGGGCTTTGCTTAAATGAAACTTCTCATAAATGGAACAAATTTTCTAGCCCCTTCGAGTACATTGTATGTGACAAGATTGCCACAAGGTTAGTCTTGCCGGTGATGCTACTTATGGTCTTATAATTTGTTAACCAAATTATAAATCTTGGTAATCATAAAGGGCACAAAGCACGAGTTTTTCATTCATATTGGGATTAGTTTATTTTGCATTCAAACTTCATTGAAAATAAATTACCGTATTTACGTACATAATTTGCACATAATTTACACACCCCTAATATTCAGCCAGCTTTTCAGAAAAAAGCACATATTTCGCACTTCCCGACCAGCCCGAGCCAGCTCGCCGGGGCGCGCACCTTTGGAAATTCGATGGGTCAGCCGGGTGCGCGCCTCGCCGAGCAGACGAGTCAAATGGGCTGCGAGTGTCAAGTCCCTTCTTCCAAGGACTTCCCTCGAACTAAAGTCCCTAGAATATCGCACCCAAACACAAACCTGTAGACGGGTCGCCGGAACTGTTAAAGCGTTTGTCTCCCCATATCTTTACCACCACGATAACGGCAAGAATGCACGCTTGCATCACGGCATGGATGACTTTCTGCATCGGAGGCGTGCGAGGGCCTGTCGCGTCAGCTGTTCCCCTCGTTCTCTGCGTCCGAGCTGCAACGCACGCTAGGTCGATCTCGGAAGTTTAGGTTTCTTATCTGGCCAATGCGTTTTCACAGTTACTACAATACATGTGCTACAATAATTGCTACAATACATGTACATGTGCTACAATAATAGTATATACGCCGAAATTGAAGCTCGCTGTTATAAATTTTGCCCAAGAAAACGGGCAGCGTGCCGCTGCAAAGTACCTACTTCAAGGGGACGTACTTCAACATGACGACCAGCGCGATCGGTACGAGAGAAAACAGAAGAGTGCGCACTTGCTAACGAAAGTTTCCTGCCTCGAAGGAGGCCTTTTAAATTATGTGTGGATGCTTAGTTCTTCCAGTACCGCCATGTCGTGGGACCTAGTTTTCCCCAGCCTTGTCAAAAGAGCTTCCAGAAAATGAGGCGTTCGAACGCACTCAGCAGAATCGAAAATCATGCGCTTCGGGAGGGCGGTGGCAGTGGCCGTGACGATGATTCCCAATCCGACTTCGCAATCAGTGATTTTCGCTAGATCATGCATGACCGGATCTGACTGGTTAAAGTACGCGCTATTTCTTTCAAAATTAACAACTTTGTTTGTACTCCAATTCATTTCTTCTTTTGTTTTAAATGTATAGACTGCGCACGTTAAGACTGACACATATTTCGTATGCGCTCGCATAATGCCCGCATAATTTGCGCACCCCCTACTTGGGGCCCCAAAATCACAAAATAAAGTACACAAATTATGCGAGTAAATACGGTAGCATTCCCGGCCAGACCAGCTCTCAGGCAATTTTGCAGCAGACCTTTTGTGTTTCATAAAGCAACGTTGCCAAGAAGCTCTGTAAAAAATATGCTTTTAGAAATTACTTTCATAAAACTACAGCTAATAAAAATATACTCAGGTGTTTAGAATCTACAGAAAAAGCTGAATAAGCACTAAATTTCATTTCATACACCCAACTAATGAAAAAAAAAATTTTTACCAAAATCTATTTTCGTCGAAAAAACGTGTGTGTGTCTTCCTGGGACACATGTGAACGGACAGGACGGCGCAACTGGCTGCCGCAAAAGCACGGGTCAAAGCTTTGTTCGCTATCAGATTCTTTGGACATGAACGCCAAAACGCTTCTAGCCTTTTTCACGTCTTTACTGCCTTCAATCTACCGCTGTGTTAGCCGCATGCCCTGGAGCTCAAGGAACACTATCGTGTTGCAACAACCAGGGTTTTGTGCGCAGAGGTTGTGGCAAACAATAGTTCTCTATTTTCAATCTGCGTGCGCTGCCTGCGCACGTGCCTTCAAAACCAAGTCGTTTTATGCTATGATCGCGTCTGCCGCGGTTTTGTCCGCAAAGTTTGTGAAAAGTAGACTCGCTTTCACTGGCCGAGCCTTGGACGCGTGCAGTTCTTACAGTTACGTAGAAGCCATACATGATCGTGTCAAGAACGACCACGGTTTTATCCACAGTGGTGTAGCAACTACAACCGCACACACCGTAAAAGACCGTGCGTGCGCTGTCGCAAGCGTACTTCCGAAGCTTCAAATATGCTGTTTTCAGCCTTCGTTCGACAGTTTCGGTACCTGCCCCGATTAGGAAGTGTTAGGAACATTTTAAGTTGGCCCAATGGGCACAGCAGAATTTGCCTGGGTATCTGCCACGGTTTTGCATCATTGACATTTTAGTATAAATTTAGATGAATGCCTCCTAAATTACTTTATAGTAAAATGTGATGGATTTGCAAAAAGCTCGAAGCACATTGACCTGAATTCTTGTCAATGCGGCTAGATCACGCAAAGAAATTTCGATTTCTGGGAGATTTTCATGACAACTGTACAAACGGAAGAAATGGTTGAAATGCGGGAGTCTCCCAGCTAATCCGGGAGACTTGGAGGGTATGAATTTCCAAGTGTGCTCCACCCCATCCTTTTTCTTCTAATTACTTCAATCTCGTGGTTCGGCCTCGTGGTCACTACCTCTCCTAAGTAGATGTACTCTTTTACAACTTCATGTACACTGCTAAGTATCTACCAGTGGTCCCATAAACTTGTGTTAATAAAGAAAATAACAGAATCTAACAAAGAACGCAAAAGCATTTATGTAATACTTATACGAAAATTTGACGTAAGGAGGTTCAAATAGAGAGGACATGTTTTATGCTTGAAAATAGGGAACTAATAAAGATTTACTCAAGTTAATTACATTACATAAATGCCATAGCTAATTAATGTAGCCTAGTACACTGCGATGTTCTTTGCTGGAGGTGACACCAGCTCCAACTAGTAAAAATAAAATGAGTTCAATACCAAAGACAATACGTGTGTGCAAAATGCAACATGCAGCTTGAAGAAGAAAACACCTTGGTATATGTAAAATTCCGTAGCATAAAGATCCATACCTTTTTCTGAGATTCTATAATCTTTCTTATGACTGCATTCTGCTCCATCAAACTCTCCTTCTCCTCCTAAATGAGCAAGAAGAGAAAAGACAAAACCAGTATAATATTTCCATAACTAGAAAATAGATTTGATGTCTGATAACCGACAATATTTCAATAACTAGGAACGAGATTTGAAGTGTGATAACCGACGATTTTTCCGCAATGGGAGCATGTATGAAAGCTCTCGTAAATTTCTTCCTAATATACCGTATTTTCGCGCGTATAACCCGCACCAAAAACCCAAAAATTTCAGTGGCAAAGTGGAGGTGCGAATAATACACGGGGTTTTTCCTATAGTGCTGCTTCACAGCAATGCGTGTTGTGCTGTGAAGCCCCTTAACAGTGTAGCAAAGGCTATGGAGGCGGTTTACGCAAATTCGTGTTGCTCCGCAAGTAGCACGGCAGCTTGCAGCTGATTTTGGTTTCACTTGCTCGCATCGTTGAAGCGTTTAGAAAAACATTTGGGGAGAGACAATTCGATTGTTAAGTGTAAAATCTCACTGTCACACCACAAGTATATTGTCACGGGGTCGTGACGTGGCCGAAGACAGGAGACTTCTTGTTGGAATTTAACTGTTTATTTGGGCGAACCTGTGCCCGGTAAACAGAAAGTCCAATTACAGCAGCAGTCTCGCACAGATAGCAGTCTCAGACTGATAGCGGCGAACGGAGCGTCGGCCTTCGATCAACAACTGACAAGCGGCGAAGCGCGTCGGCATTTATACTCCCGCCGTCGAATGTTCTAGCGCTATCGCTGCCGGTGGCGTAGCTTCCAGAACAATCTGTACCGTTCGCACAGTGGGCGTGATCTTATCGAAATGATCTACTACAGTCCGGAACCTTCTAGAAAACTGCAGGCGCGGTTTGCGCTGAGAATCGTGTGGTATTTCGGCACGATAACAAAAACTTGGTAAATGGAACGTGGCATTGCCCCCCTCTGAAAAAAGGCATCGTCCCGATGCTTTAACTAAAGATGAAAGTACAATAATAATGCAAGAAAGTATAATGAATAAATTCCGATACAACAATATACAAAAAAACACTGGTTCAGTTTGTTAACGCGCATGAAACGGCTTGAGGCGCGCGACATGTACGACTTCAGGTCGCGATCGGCGTCGTTGAGAGTTCGTGATGCCGTCGGGGACAACCTCGTAATCAAGTGGGCCGAGACGTCGAACCACCCTGTAAGGTCCGAAGTACCGTCGCAGAAGCTTTTCACTTAGTCCACGTCGGCGTATCGGCGTCCACACCCAAACACGTTCACCGGGCTGGTATTCCACGAAGCGTCGTCGAAGGTTGTAACGGTGGCTGTCGGTCGTCTGTTGATTTTTGATACGGAGACGCGCAAGTTGTCGGGCTTCTTCGGCGCGATGAAGGTACTCGCTCACATCGAGGTTTCCTTCGTCGGTGACGTTGGGTAACATGGCATCGAGCGTCGTTGCCGGGCTCCTTCCGTAGACCAATTTGTATGGAGATATCTGCGTCGTCTCCTGCACCGCCGTGTTGTATGCGAAGGTCACATACGGAAGAATGGCATCCCACGTCTTGTGTTCGACATCGACGTACATTGACAGCATGTCGGCGATCGTCTTGTTAAGCCGCTCGGTGAGGCCGTTGGTCTGTGGGTGGTACGCTGTCGTCCGGCGGTGGTTTGTTTGGCTGTATGCCAAGATCGCTTGAGTTAAGTCGGCAGTGAATGCCGTTCCTCTGTCGGTGATAAGGACCTCCGGGGCGCCGTGACGTAGGACGATATTTTCGACGAAGAACTTAGCTACCTCGGATGCACTGCCTTTTGGCAGGGCTTTTGTCTCGGCGTAGCGGGTGAGGTAGTCGGTAGCTACCACGATCCACTTGTTTCCGAAAGCCGACGTCGGGAACGGCCCCAATAGGTCCATACCAATCTGCTGGAAAGGTCGGCAAGGTGGATCAATTGGCTGCAGAAGTCCCGCTGGCCTTGTCGGCGGTGTCTTGCGTCGCTGACAGTCCCGGCATGTCCTCACATAACGAGTGACGTCGGTTGTAAGACGCGGCCAGTAGTACCTTTCTTGTATCCTCGCGAGCGTGCAAGAAACACCGAGGTGCCCTGCCGTCGGATCGTCGTGTAGGGCCTGCAGGAGTTCTGGTCGCAGAGCTGAAGGCACCACAAGGAGGTAGTTAGCTCGAAGCGGTGAAAAGTTTTTCTTTTGTAGAAGACCGTTTCGTAGGAAGAACGACGCAAGTGCGCGCTTGAATACCTTCGGGACTTCGGCGGTCCTGCCTTCGAGGTATTCTATTAGGGCCTTAAGTTCCGGGTCAGCCCGCTGTCGTTCAGCGAAGTCGTCTGTAGTTATCGTTCCCAAGAGGTAGTCGTCATCCGGGTCGTCAGGTAGCGGTTGGTCGACAGGCGCACGAGAGAGACAGTCGGCGTCGGAGTGTTTTTTGCCGGACTTGTAAATGACAGTAATGTCATATTCTTGAAGTCTCAGGCTCCATCGTGCGAGGCGACCTGAAGGGTCCTTCAAAGTGGCTAGCCAACACAAGGCGTGGTGGTCGCTCACAACTTTGAAGGGCCTGCCGTAGAGGTATGGGCGAAATTTCGACGTAGCCCAGATGATGGCAAGGCACTCCTTTTCTGTTGTGGAATAATTTGCTTCTGCTTTGGATAGCGATCGGCTGGCGTAACTAATAACCCTTTCAAGTCCGTCAGCCCTCTGCACAAGAACGGCGCCAAGACCTATGCTGCTTGCGTCAGTATGTATTTCTGTCTCGGCGAATTCGTCGAAATGGGCAAGTAACGGAGGCGTCTGGAGGCGATGTTTAAGCTCCTGGAAAGCGTGTTCCTGTGGCGTTTCCCACTTGAACTCCACGTCGGCCTTGGTAAGGTTAGTGAGAGGATCGGCGATGCGGGCGAAGTTTTTCACGAACCGCCTATAATAGGCGCACAGGCCCAGAAATCGGCGCACGGCTTTCTTGTCAGTGGGCGGCGGGAATTCGGCGATGGCGGCTGTTTTCTGTGGATCAGGACGAACTCCAGACTTGCTGATAACGTGCCCCAGAAACAAGAGCTCTTCATACGCAAATCTGCACTTTTCTGGCTTCAGTGTGAGTCCGGAAGTCTTGATGGCTTGAAGTACAGCTTCAAGGCGCCGAAGATGCTCGTCGAAACTCGAGGAAAACACGAAGACGTCGTCCAAGTACACAAGGCAAGTCTGCCACTTCAATCCTGCCAGTACTGTATCCATAACTCGTTGAAAAGTTGCAGGCGCTGAGCAAAGGCCGAAGGGCATCACCTTAAACTCGAAGAGGCCGTCCGGTGTTATAAACGCCGTCTTCTCTCGGTCTCTTTCATCGACTTCGATTTGCCAATAGCCAGTCTTGAGGTCCATTGATGAAAAGTACTTGGCGTTATGGAGCCGATCAAGTGCGTCGTCTATTCGTGGGAGAGGATACACGTCCTTTCTTGTGATTTTGTTCAGGCGGCGATAATCGACGCAGAAACGTAGGGTCCCATCCTTTTTCTTCACTAACACCACGGGGGATGCCCATGGGCTCTTGGACGGCTGGATAATATCATCCCGCAGCATTTCATCAACTTGTCTCTTGATGGCCTCACGTTCTCGCGTCGAAACCCTGTACGGACTCTGACGGAGTGGTCTGGCATTTTCTTCGGTTATGATGCGATGTTTCGTGATTGGGGTCTGCCGAATTTTCGATGACGACGAAAAGCAATCTTCGTATTGCAGGAGCAGGGCCTTGAGCTGTTCTTGCTTATCGTTCGGAAGTCTGGGATTGACGTCGAAAGCTATGGGAGGGGCTTGGTTCCTCTGAGCAGGTTCCGCAGAATCGGCGAGGGCGAAAGCACTGGTGGCTTCGACAATTTCTTCGATGTATGCGACCGTTGTTCCTTTGTTCACATGTTTGTACCCATTGCTGAAATTTGTGAGCATAACCGTTGCTCTGCCTCCTCGCAACTCTGCAATTCCTCTTGCGACGCAAATATTTCGGGTGACCAACAGATGCTGACTGCCTTCAACGACGCCTTCGAAGTCAGGTGATTCAGGAGCGCCGACAGAAATAATGACGCTTGAGCGAGGCGGAATGGTGACTTGTTCTTCCAGCACATTCAAGGCATGGTGTCCAGACGGCGTGCGCGGCGGTAGTGCTTCTTCTGTGGATAACGTTATCGACTTTGTTTTTAGGTTGATGACAGCACCATGGAGGCATAAGAAGTCCATGCCAAGGATGACATCTCTCGAGCAACGCTGTAGGACTACGAAGTCTGTAGGATAAATACGGCCGTTAATGGTGACTCTCGCTGTGCAGATTCCTGCAGGCGTTACGAGATGACCTCCGGCTGTGCGGATTTCAGGGCCTTTCCAAGCTGTCCTAACTTTCTTTAACTTCGCGGCGAACGACCCACTGATGACAGAATAGTCGGCTCCAGTATCGACGAGAGCGGTCACACTGTGGCCGTCGATAAGAACGTCGAAGTCGCTAATTCGCCGTCTCGCATTACAGTTAGGGCGTGGCGTCGGGTCACGGCTGCGTCGGCTTGTTCCGCTGCTTCCATGTTGCATCGTCAGGCCACCTTCGGTAAGTGAGCTTTCGCCGTCAGGGCTTTGCCTGGTTGGCGTTGTGTTCGGAAAGCTCCGTCGCGGCGTCGTCGTCGGAGGAGGATCTTCGGTAGTTCGTCGCACAGCAACCGCACCTCCACCGGTTGCTGCCCTTAGTTTCCCGGATACGGGCTAGGAGACCGGCCCCGCGTTGGGCCAGAGTACTGTCGGTGGTGCGGTGACGTGCGGCGGCTGGGCGACGGCGAACGCGAAGGGCTTCGTGGTGTCCACCGAGTTCCTGTCAGGTAGTCGGCGATGTCACGTGGTCGTTCTCCTGGCTGTGGGCGCGGTGCATTGACGGCGAAGCCACGCAATCCCATCTGTCGGTACTGGCAACGGCGGTATGTGTGTCCGGCCTCGCCGCAGTGGTAGCAGAGCGGGCGATGGTCAGGGGTGCGCCAGACGTCAGTCTTCCTCGGTGCACTGCGCTGGGCCGTTGGCGAATGGTATGACGTCGGTGGGGGTGGTGGCGGTGGTGGCGTCTGTCGACGGAAGTGGGATGGGGCGGCGTTTTGGCGTGGACGGGGCGGAGCGTTGTGGCGCAGTGCAGCGGCGTAGCTCATAGCTTCCGGCTCGGGCAGCGGTGCGTGGGGAATTTCAAGCGATTGCCGAACTTCTTCTCGCACAATGTCGGCGATCGAATCCACTTGAGGCTGCGCCGAAGGCAACAGCTTGCGCAGCTCTTCCCGCACGATCGCTCGGATCGTTTCACGCAGGTCTCCGGAGTTACTGGCTTGAGCAGCAGCGCAGTCTGCAGTCAGGCGACGATTATACTGTCTGGTGCGCATGTCCAGAGTCTTTTCAATAGTGGTCGCTTCGGCTAGAAATTCTTGGACGGTTTTCGGTGGGTTTCTCATCAGCCCCGCGAAGAGCTCCTGTTTGACCCCTCGCATGAGGAAACGAACTTTTTTCTCCTCAGGCATGTCTGGGTCAGCGTGACGGAATAGTCGGGTCATTTCTTCTGTGAAAATGGCGACATTTTCATTTGGTAGCTGAACCCGGGTCTCTAATAAAGCAGCGGCCCTCTCTTTTCGAGCGACGCTCGCGAACGTTTGCAGGAATGCGCCGCAGAAAACATCCCACGTTCGGAGCGTGGACTCCCGATTTTCGAGCCAGGTCCTTGCCGTGTCTTCTAAATAGAAGAACACACGACGCAGCTTTTCGTCATGGTCCCAGTGGTTGCGGGCGGCCACACGGTCGTATGTCTCTAGCCAGGACTCCGGGTCTTCGAACGATGACCCATGGAAAATTGGTGGTTCCCTGGGTTGATGCATGACCATCGTGGGCTGGGACGCTGCGGTTGTCATTGTCGCTGCAGTCGCGGTCATGGCCTTGGTCTTCCGCGGCTTGTCGTGTAGAAGACTGTACTCCGGTGGTAGCCCTTGCTGTCGGCGGCTTGTTCGCTGCTCCTGGTTGGCGTCGGTGTCTTCTCCGCGACGTGGGCTGGGTTCACGGCTTGACGGGGGCGTCCGGTACATGAACGAAGCAGCACCTCCACCAAATGTCACGGGGTCGTGACGTGGCCGAAGACAGGAGACTTCTTGTTGGAATTTAACTGTTTATTTGGGCGAACCTGTGCCCGGTAAACAGAAAGTCCAATTACAGCAGCAGTCTCGCACAGATAGCGGTCTCAGACTGATAGCGGCGAACGGAGCGTCGGCCTTCGATCAACAACTGACAAGCGGCGAAGCGCGTCGGCATTTATACTCCCGCTGTCGAATGTTCTAGCGCTATCGCTGCCGGTGGCGTAGCTTCCAGAACAATCTGTACCGTTCGCACAGTGGGCGTGATCTTATCGAAATGATCTACTACAGTCCGGAACCTTCTAGAAAACTGCAGGCGCGGTTTGCGCTGAGAATCGTGTGGTATTTCGGGACGATAACAAAAACTTGGTAAATGGAACGTGGCAATATTTTCTGGACGTTCGCGGCCGCTCAGTGACCCTCCACATGTACCTACGCCACGGACGCCATGTTTACTTTTGGAAAGGGCTTGCCGAAAAGGTGGTGCTAAGAAAGTTCCATAATAAATAAAGCAGTATTTATTTCAGCAAGGCAAATGAGATGTTATAGTGCCTATAGAGATATTATCAGTAAATAAATGTACTACTTTTTAACGCGGTAGCAGGCATGAATTTCGGTACTGTTGTTTCCAGGGTGCTGTTACAGTGTACTAGAAGGGGTAGTGCTGTCAAGTTGTCGCCGAGTGTGAGCGCTCTTTACCTCGCTGATACCGCTAGTTCTCCACATCTCGACCCGTTCGCCAAGCCTAAGTCGATCTGTTCTGCCACCATGAGTAGCATACGGCGGCAGGCCTTCACGGCACAGCAAAAGCTTAAAATCATCGCCATCGCCGAGGAATTTGGAAATCGCGAAGCGAGAAGACGGCACGATGTGGACGAGTCCTGCCTGCGACTGTGGAGAAAGAAGAAAGAAAGCCTACAAGCTGCGCACCGCGACCGTAGGTCATTTCCTGGCCCCAAGACCGGTGCCTACCCTGTGCTGGAGGCGGAGCTAGTAAAGTTCATCGAAGATGAGAGAAGCAGGGGTCCCGCCGTATCGACCGAGATGGCCCAAGTGGAAGCGCGGCGACTTTCGAGGGAGCTAGGCCTTCCTCACAGGTTCCGTGCGAGCCGCGCTTGGCTGCACCGGTTTATGAAGCGGCAAGGGCTCTCAATCAGACAGCGGATTACAATATGTCAACGCTTGCCGGCTTCTTATGAGGAGAAGCTGCTCAAGTACCAGAGATATTCAATTGGCCTGCAAAAGCAGCACAATTACATTTTCTCGCAAATCGGCAATGCGGATGAAACACCTGTTTATTTTGAAATGCCGTTGGACACAATGATTGAGAAGACGGGCAGCAGTTCGGTGAACGTGCTGATTGGTGGGAACACGAAACTGCGCATCACAGTCTTGCTTTGTGCCCTCGCCGACGGCACGCAACTGCGACCGTACATCCTCTTGAAAAGGAAAACTCTACCAAAGGTTCATTTGCCTGCCGATGTGGTGGTGCGCGCACACGAGAACACGTGGTTGAACATTGACTTGTTCGTAGACTGGATCAAGATGGTATGGGAGAGGAGGCCCGGTGCGATGCTCGCAAAGAGGTCCATGCTCGCTCTTGACTCGTTCCGCGGCCACAAAACTGAGGAAGTGAAGGACCGCCTTTCACACAACGGCACCGACTTAGTTGTTATACCCGGTGGAATGACGTCAATGTTGCAGCCTCTAGATGTGTCGCTTAACAAGCCCTTCAAAGCGCATGTCAAGTGCTATTACGCCGAGTGGATGGCCGCAGGCTGCTACGACTTGACGCCGACAGGACGAGTCCGAAGGCCTGATATTGCCCTATTCTGCAAGTGGATTGTCGAGGCAAGGAAGGCCATTCCGGGTGAGATAGGGCGAAAAAGTTTCAAGAAATGCTGCATCACAAACAACATGGATGGAACCGAAGATGACCTTGTGCATAACAGTGAGGACTGCGGCTCAAGTGATAGCTCTAGCGAGAGCAGCGACAGTGAGTGAATTGTGACTGGCCTTGCAGACAGCGTATTCTGCTTGCTAAATAAAGCTTTTTCTGTCTACATATGTGCTATGTTGCTTGAGCAGTAGCTTTTGTACAGCCTTTCCTGTATATCAAATGTGCGGGCAATACACGAGGATTTTTTTTTTCTTTCTCGGTGAGCTGAAAGTGGGGGTGCGGATTATATGCAGGGGCGGGTTATACGCGCAAAAATACGGTACTGAGCTTGCCAGACCTTAGCTTTCTTTTTTTTTTTGCATTCGCTAATGAATGATACCAACAATTCCAGCATGCAGAAATCGCCAACCTCAAAAACTTTGAGCATCACATGCAATGAAAGACTTCACATCTTGTTTATTTTTTAACAAATGACAGTAATAAAAATAAAAGAAAACAAAAATAAAACACAACAAAATAGGAATGAATAAGAATGTATATAAAGCTATTGGAAGGTACTCGCACGCTATACTAAGCATGCAGAAACAATGTATCAAATAAGCAAAATGCAACTTGTTCATGAATGCATGCAGGTTAACATGAATAAGTGTTGAATGTAACTGCTGCACAATATTTAATTGAAACATGTTTTGTTCCACAGAACATTTTGCAAGTAATTATGGAATACTAAGGGCATGAAGGAAAATTTTGATTTTTTGTCTACATAAACAGAGTCATACTTGTTCGTGCAGTATGCGTACTCAATATATTGAAAAAATCTTCTTTTATACCCCACGACTACAAAGCATCTCTCAAACAATTCAGACACTGTTAAAATTTTTCTTGCACATGTAACACAACAGTTGTTTAACAAGGTGTAATGTAAGAGCTGGATGTATTCCACTGTTGTCATTTAAATGTTGTAACTACATTTAAATTTTACTGTTCATTTTATAATGACACTCTTAGCAGAAATGAACATGTCATCAAGAGACTTCACACATAAGTTAGGGTATTATTACAGGGAGAAATAAGAGAAACAAAAATAGACTACTTTATGGAAAAACAGTGCGTATGGCGGGATGGTAGAAAAACACAAGGCAACCATCTTGTTGTTTGTGCTGTTTTGCCATAACACAGGCAGACCAACTAGAAGCTACAGTACAACTGTGAAAAAAAAAAAAAAAGACATGGAAACATATCTTGGCCTAACTTTAGCACAGGGTGTCTTTCCTTCTGGTGCCAGTGTCTTTTTTGTGGTGTAGTACTGAAGAAACAAAGCGCTTAAGGCCATGACACGTGCTTGCGAAAGGACATAAGTCCTTCCCCCTCACCATTGTTCCTCTGTGTAACTTTCAGTGCACTCACTTGTAAGAAAAGAGTGAGAAAGCACTTAAAGTGTAGACAAATCTCGTTAATTTCATTCGCACTTGATGGATCCTAAAAGCATTTGTGGTGGTCTATTCATGGGGAAATAAACTCCATTAATGAAGTTGATGTCATTCATGGTGAAGCCACTCGAATATTACTTGGCAAAGTGTTGCAGGGCCCCTTTATCTATACCGTTGAACGTACAGCTAGACAAAACTTGAGCGCTAGCAATTAATGTCATTCGTGACTTCACACAAAAAATTAAACCTAAACACTGCTTTCAATGTGATGGCATAACTGAAAGCGTACTTAAGTTAATTTAGATACCATCCAAACCACCGTTTGCAATCCACAAACATTTACCGATAATAGAGCTCGATTCTTTAATAAATGTAGGCGAGAAGCTTTTCTATAACAGCGAGTCGCCTGAAGAAATAAAAGTGGATAGAAATGATAGAAAGCTACAGAAAAAAGCATCAACCAGTGAAGCATCAAACACCTGTTGAATTCTTACTTGTAGCAGCTGCGCATACTGTGGGTCGTCAGCCGGATGGCTATTGAGACCATTGTCGAGGCTGCCAGATGCAGAAGCTGGAGAAGCTTCACGCCCTCCAGTTTCTAACAGGCGTTCATTCAAGTGGCGCTGCCGCAGGTCGAGGGCATTGAACTGTGGAAAGAGGAGAGGCCATTGACATTCAAGTAAAACACTCCAAAAGTGTATTGATTTGGCCTGGGTGATTCAGCGTCCCATAAATGAAACAGCACGCACATAATGAGAACAACGGCAAACACTGCAAGACATGCCATGTTTTTGTCTTTGTTCTGTGTATTCTGTTTTCTGTTTGCAAACACATTTCTTGACGAACAAGGCAAACATATTTGGTTTATTTTGATGTCTTGCCCAACAGGAATTGTAAAAAAAAAAGGAGATTAAATGAAAACAACTTTTTGTAAAACAAACGGTGAATTACTGCATGTTGATGGCTTTGCAGTAATCACAGTGGAAGAAAAGTAATGAAAGAATTTGGATTTTTTTTTTCAATGATGTCTTGACCTTTCCTGTGCCATAATCTGCTATTTTGACAATTTGAAGACCACTAAGAGCTTCCCATACTGGATTTAATCAATGTTAATTATTAAGCAATTACTTGATTACGTATAGCCTTGCCACAGACAACGAAACATATCTTTTTGCATATTTAAGGCTTTGCATTTCATAGGCACATTTCTAGTAAAGGCCAACACAGTACATAGCCTGCTTTTGTTTTGTGTGTGTGAGAATTCACCATGATGCAATTAAGTTCATGCTACATTCTGCTGACACGTCAAGACATTAAGCAATACAATCAATCAATGTCAAAGCAATATCCACACTGTTAGTACCCTAATGGGTAGATGACCAAAGGAGCAGGGACCTCTATTATTCAGTTCGTATTAATTAATCTACAACTTCTACTGATAACCCCACATCACAATGCTTTATCAATTCCACAGTTGCTCGAATGCATATTCACTAAGTGGTATATTGCATTTTTTCCAACTTAATGGTTTGCTTTCTAGAAACCATAAATTCAAGTGTGTTACAATCCACTAGGGAGCAACCCTGCCTTAAAATGACATTCAATGATTGCAATTATGACCAGAAAAGGTTCAACGCATTCAAGACTACGTTATTCTTTTGCTCTTACTTTTAAATAATTAACCGCTTGAATAAAATATAGAATGAAAGCGAGAAAGCACTCAATTAAGCTCTGCCAATTTCACCGTCCCTATTAAAGGGGCCCTGAAACACTTTTTCAAGTAATCATATAATAAATTCACTAAAAAAGCCTCGCGAGTTCAATGCTGCAAGAATTTTAAGAATCCGTACAGTACGAGCAAAGTTACAAAGATTCGCCGCACGTTTCAATCATTGTCTCTTCTCTCGTCGTGACGAAAGCACTGGAAGCAAGGCAGGGAGAGATGGCAGGGGCAAAGAAAACAAGTTACACGCGCCTCGTGACCGTGAGCCCTTTTTTCTCTATTTTTTTTTAATTCAGACACGTAGCTTTTTCAGTGTGATCACGTGCGCAGGTGTGGCCAAGTCAAGGCCTCCTGCGGCGATCCCTGTAACGACCGAGCACGCCATGTTCAAATCAGCCAACGGCTGATAAAAGGCCTTCTACAAGTGATTTTTGAGCGTTTTCTGTCATTTGTTAAAAGGAGAGAAAGCAACTTTTCACTGACGTTGATAATTTATTGCGAACTCCAGGCCGCATGCTGCGCTATGATATTCCGCTCACATGTTCTCGGGAGCCTCTAGTACCGATTAGCAGTGTTTTCTGACCATGCTCAAAAGTGTTGCAGGGCCCCTTTCATATACAGATACTTTTGCCCTGCAGTGGGCGTAGTCAGGCTGATGATGATGATGATGATGCAAGACTTCTCACATCCTGTTAATAAGGAATTGCGGATTCAACTTGAATGAAGTTGTTAAAAGGGCCATAACATGGTCACTGAACACTTTGCAGTTTTCAGTAAAACATGGAAGTATAGGGTGTGGGGTTTCGGGCTGCAGGTGGCCCAGAACCCCTCAGAAAAGAAAGCAAGACTGACCGAGAACCATGTTTACTGCTCTGAGCCTCGGCCGCAACTGCCTCCTGCCCGCGGCTGCTAACCGCATGCCATAGGTGCACCATCGATTATCATTCTCTTCTTCTATGAGAGCTCCTGGCCACCGAGCACTCCCATACTGCCCCCTCATCTTGGGAAAAGTGGGGGAAGAAGACGTGGGCTACCTCGCACCGGTAGCCCATGCAAGTGTCCTGGCTACCCTTGGCCAAGGTGGACCGCACATGGCAAACATGACTACACACCAGCCCTAGACATCCACAACTGCTTGTGGAACCTCTTGGACTGCCGGACGTCGTAACCACCTACTTATGCAGGGGTACAGCTGTGCTGCCGCTGTTGCATGTCACCACTGTCACAGGAGTCTCGCCGAGTCATGTTTTTTCGTTGTAGCTGCCCGGACCATTCTCATATGGGTGGCAGCCATTCCTTCACATAGTAGTCATTGGCTGCCGATAACCCCAGCAGCCATGAAGTTCTGACATCCCTGCCAAAGCTCTGACTGCATGTGCCTCCGAAGCTCACTTCACGGCCTTTGCCGATATGGTACCAGGCAAAAATTTCCAACGGATATGGTGCTTTGCATAGTCCTAGCATTGGCTTCCAGATTGCTTGAGTTGTTCTGGTCTCTCCCCCTTACTCCTTTAGATTTTTTTTCTGACTTCTCGGCTGTGTTGTCCGAAGTTTCTGCAATAGGTTTCTCGTCCACGGCATCTGCGGTGCCGTTAACGTCATCCACGAACTTTGCACCATCAGGGTCCACACACTCCATCTCTTCCCACACAGCATCTCGGCCCATCCTCCACACGATGCTCCGCGCCCTCTCCACTCTCTACTATGACTTCACCCTTCGCACCTCTGGCTGCTGCCTCCCAGCCTCCAGTACCACTGCTGTCCGGGCAACATTTCCCTCCTGTATTCTTCTTGTCTCCTCCCTTCACAACAACCTGGACTATCAGACCTTCACCATGACTCTTCCAGGCTTTGGTTTCGTCGCAGTACTTGTGCTTCCACGCCTCCACCTCGTCATACTGCAGTTTGTCTGAGGTACCGTCCCTGCATATCTTTTTCTTCCTCTTCTTCCTTGACCTCTCCGTTCTTTGTCTTTCATCCACCAAGGGCGTCTTTCGCGCCGTCAGCTTTCTCTCACCCACCTTTCATCGGTCACAGCAGCAATCTTCTTTAAAACGAACAGACTGTGCGCATGCTCCACGACATGTACTACGTCGCACTCTCCTTCGCCTTCCTGGAAGTCTGTGGCCGCTTTCTAGGTGATCTTTGCTTGGTCTCCTTTCTGAGGGTTTTCGTACCAGCCGCAGCCAAAACCCCACAAGGGTTTCATAAGGTTTTATTCATAACATTTTATGCCTTTAGATCCGTGAAAAATAAACCGTGAAAGAGTATTTCAGTGCAAAATAAGCCTTAGAAATCGCGTAATACAAACCCTATATATCGCAGGCGACCAAAATTTCGACAAAGTGTGCACGACGACATGTGCTGCATGGAACGGAGCCGCCATGTTATAAGGTCTTTGCTGCTGCAAGTCGTTCAAATTCACTGCCAAGCTGCTGAAAGCTGCAATAGCTCGACTACAAGTGCAGCTGACAACAGAACAAAATCATTCAATGGAATGTAGGCGCTCATACAGTAAGCAGCTGGTTAAATCCAAACTTGCAACTCTGTCAGTGCTGCCCGATTCTTGGGCTGTTTGTGAGTTTATAAAAATATCCAACTACAAAGTGCTAAATTTAGCTAGTGTTTTTGTGAATGCGTAAGGATTAACCCACAAAACACAGATTATGATTGAAAGTTGGGAGTCACAGCCCCTTTAAGACTCTCGAACAGTTTTAGAAGGTAAATACAGCTGCTAGGTTTCATACCCTTCCTTTGCGATCGTCAGTATTAGCATGTTCAATGTTCAGTTGATCCAGCATCTGATGTAGGGTCACTAACTGTTGCTGAGCCATCTAGATGTTAGGCAGGAAGGGAAAAAAAGCATGCATCTCAGTGAACAGGCCACACAGCTTAGTGGGTTTCATAAACTACTGAACAGGCATATTCACTAGACACAAAACACTTTCTGCAGACTTAGGCACATGCTGCTGACAAGAAATACTACATAGAAATGTGAACAATGGAGCAATTTGCCTTGAATGCATCCGAAGCTAGATGGAAACAAAGTGTATGTTGACAGGTCAGCCAAGTGATTGACTGAAGAGATACAGCAGACTTTTTCAACTTCATTTTGATCATATGGGTTTCCTACGATGCATTTACACCTTAGGGCCCACAAGGAGTTTACAACCAGCTGTAATCCAAATGCCCTTAGCGTAACTGAGGCCACGGGCTCATGCTCAGCAATACGATTCCGAATACTCAGCTACTGTGGATGTCACTGCTAATCTAGCCACTCACATGTCTTGGGCATGCATTTGATTTATGCTGGAATGATATACTAAGAAACTTGCTCCTTCTCTAAATTACTACTTCATATCAATTGCCCTCACTACACTGATTAATGAGCTCAGGTGCTCCGATTGCATTCTCTGCAACTTTGCAAAACCAACCCAAACCATTTATTCACCCACAAATTATTTAAATGTATGCTATTCATAAACTCTCGCTCAATTTTTATTGTCAAATGTATGGTATGTATTGACATATTTGTGCTTGAATATTCACAGTTCCATGTAGTGCAGCAGTATAGTTAGCCACAAAATGAATAATTAGTGATGTTTTTAGGCATATGAAACACACAAAGTGTGGTTGCAAGGGACACTAAGCCACACCTGGTCCAAAAGGGACTGCATTGAGTCGGACTTGTCCGCCAAGTCGCTATAAAGCCTTTGCAAACGACACAGTTCTTCTAGAGCACGCTGCATCGACAGGAACAAAAGCACAAAAGTAAGGAAACACATATACACAAAAGGGATTTTACACAATGTCATCTCAGCTGGCATCAAATAGTGAACACAATGAAACTTGCAATTTCAATAACACGATTTTCAACCATGGTATACAACTCTGCTACCTTCATATTGGCTACTCCGCCTCATACATAACTCAAAATGAGAACATAATGTAATGATACAGCTCATATCTATTCACTCAAACGAAACAGGACACCAAAATTTTGCTTAAAATAAACAATGCTGTAGATATGAGCGCCATCTAAACACTGAAAAACAGTAGGAATAAACAGCAGGACCAGCTATTTTCTGGCCAATAACAAAAGCTCATTAGGTTATCTTCGAAAATTCTCAATGTACCCTCACCCTAGCATATTAGCACTGTTGACCACAGCTCATTGCGGTCAACAGATGACCTTTTGTTTTTTATTCACACAATCTAAATATAAAAATTACAGCATTGCTACAGTGCACCCAAGTAATTTGATGAAGTATTGTAACATTTAAGAGCACTACAGAGCAGTTTGAACCAGAGGGTACCTTTTATCATGGTAATAAGTACATTCTATCCTATGCACAATGAAACATCAAGAAGATGAGTTTCTAATGTTATCCTAGCACAACAGCAGGTGCTCTATAAAAGGAACCTGCTTGGATATCTTTTGGGAAAATACAGGAAAGTTATAATTGAGAACAGAATGAAGCTAATAAGTTGATATGAATGTGACCAGCTTTTCATAAGCCATCATGAATAGTCAACAAAGCAGTGAAATAGTAATTAGTGATCTTTAACATCTCACAACGATTCCAGGTTTATGGGAGACACTTTAGTGCTGGACTCTAGGTTAAATTTTGATTACTTGGGGTTATTGTATGTGCATTTAATGCCAACTATGTGAGTGCATTTGCTTTTTTCCTTGCACCGAAATTCTGCAGCCATATCAGGGAACTACATATGTGCCCATGTGCTCAGGATCAGAATGCCACAAACCATGGTACGTTTACAGCGGGAAACATTGCAACTAAAGCTGTGCCTCAACATCCAGAAAATTTCCTACAAATGATGAACTTGTCATTTTCGGCACGTCTCTATGTAGGCTTTTAACTGAGATTGTGACAATATAAATCAGATAGAATTACCTTCAATATAAGGGGAACAGATAATTTGAGTTGTTTAGTGCCACAAAAAATAAGAGCGTGTTTAGTTTCAAAGAAAGTTGGGCATACATGCATGAACGCCCATGATGGGAAATGAAAAAGACAAACACTACTTTATCTCCTTCCACCACTGTACCGTGTCTGCATATATAACTTTTATCTCAAACGAATCCCGTCACAACTAGCTTACCTTACTTCCATTACAAGTAAAATGTGCCATGGCAAAAAAGAAGGAAGTCAAACATTTACGATACTCACAGGATCTTCAGACTTCTCAAGGTTTTTCATCAGGCTTTTCACCTGCCGCATGCAATCATCCAGGTGTTTCAATCGGCTGGTCAAGGCACTTGTGTCATGCTGAAAAGCATGAATTAAAAACAAACAAAAAAACAGAAGTAGAGTTACAAGCTCACACAACAGAATTTTTGTGTGTGTATGCAAAACCATATGCAGAATTTTCAACTCCAAAACTTTCCGTACCAATAGATTCAAGGTAATGGGTCTTATTGATAGGTAAGCAAAGACAACTCATGCAAGGTAAGTTTCCCCCACAAATAAGCATGACACCATTGTTTTTTGTGTATCTATAAACAGTGCATTTGCTTTGACTGCAATATTTACAGTACATTATTGCTATCGCACTTTTTGTCAGAGTTGCGGTAATGCATACGTGTATATCAAGCACTTGCACATGTAAGGTTTCGATTATATAGATGTGTCCTCTTGAAAGCCAGCAAACAGTCCCTTCAAAAAAGTAAAGAAACAACAAAAAAGCAGCTGGCCAACAAATTTGGTGTGTCAGACAAAACCCAAATATGCAGAATCTGTGAGTGACCAATTTCTATGGTACCTTTTCCTATAGCACAACGGAAAGTTCACCGATCAGAGTGTCGTATCATGAAATGGTAATGTAGAAAACGTCGTGAAATACTTGTAACCAAATTTTTCAATCTGCGGTGACTGTAAAGTCGTATACAAAAAACACATGCTGCAAACAGTGGGAGGTGAGTGCGAAAGTGATTTGTATTTGTGCACGGTGGTTCGCTGTGCATGCATGCACTCCACACTCATTTGCTCGACATGCTTCGCTGTTGCCCCAAAGGTCCCACTGCATATAAACGTGCAACTCCTTTTACCTCGTAAGCAGCGCAAAATAGAGCAGAGATTAATAATAATGTATGAACTCTAATTTTGAGCGATAATTATGCTGTGCATGAAAGCATCACACTACGTACAGCGAAGTGAACGACTACATAATCACACTTCCAGACTCTTTCGTAAGGCTGCGTGACATACCGCTTTTTTTTTTTTTTACTTTCAAATGACATTTCAAATTCTGAATTCTACTCAGATTGTGAAAAACATGCTTTGATCTTTCACTATAGTTGATAGTCTTTTATTTCGAGCAGAATCTAGTGACATGTTTTGGCCAGTTGTTGGTCCCTTGAAAGTGGCCCATGATGCCTTTTTAAGTTACTATTGAACAACCTTAGTAGTTAACTTTATTGTTTCGTAAACCTCCCACTGCAATTTTTTTTTTTCTTAAAATAATTCAAGTATTAGCAGAGTTACTGGACAAAACTAGCCCTTTGTTTCTCTTTTTGTGGCCACGAGTGCACAAAAAGGAGAGGATGGCAAGAGGGCAAATGCCGGTTTAAATGTTCCCACATACCAATCCCTCGAGTAATTTTATTTTTCTACGCGTATGAATCACTATTTCTAGTTCAAATGTGTGCCGCACATGCTTTAGCTGGTACACCGTGGGCAGCCCCAGCAGCTACATAATGCCGCTGTGGTCTCCAAAATTGATTGCTGGCACACCCACTTGTTTTGCCATACTGTTCGGTTAATAACGGCATTGTTGAGAACACAGCAAGCGATTTGTGGGTGTTGTTAGCACAAAATACTTAACTCTCTGCTGCATGCAATAATACTTGGCACATATGTTCACAAGAGCTCAACAGCATTTTTCGACAACATTAAAGAAATTTTGCTAAGTAACCTTAAATATTAGCCAACGAGGCCACAAGGCAGCCATTAATTAACATGGACACTAAAAATTAAGTTCGTTCTAGGGTGCCTCAATGTTACTGTCAACTATAGCAGCGCTATGTAAGAAGAGATGTAGAAGCCACAACTGCCTCTGGCTGAACAGCCAAGGACACTGCAATAAATAAGACATGGAAAATTACTTCAATAAGAACAGCTTAGCTTTTGAGTGAAATTAAATGGCTAGCGTACTGTGCAAGCACAAAATACATAAGAAGAATAGAAGACATGCTTGCATAGTAGACTACCCATTCAATAATATGAAACAACTAGCCTGTAAGGGGTCTTATTTCAAGAAAAACTGGACACCGAATTTCCTTACGCACATCTTACGTGACAGTTTGGCAAATTACCGGTGAATTTAAAAATGAATTAATAGAGTATGTTTCATCTTCCATGGTTAGGTGGAGCACAATAATGAACATGCATCCATAATTTCAATGATGCTCTGAAGATGCACTATTTTTCCTGTGCTGCGTAGCACCTTAGTTTCACTTTTTATAGTGAACTGACATCCTACAGCTTTTTTTTCCACGACACAATGAGACCCAAAACCCAATAAATGGCATCAAATTCATTAGTAAACTACAAAAGCCACAAAACGTCGAAATAGGAAAAAGCAGAGCAGTAGAAACAGAGACAAAGAGCAGAGACGTGGCACTAACAACTGGCATTTAATTCTAAAGAAACTTTTGTCCCAAGTCCATACAATGCATGCGCAGATATCAAACCGAAAAACCAAAACATCCAGCAAGCTAATATTAGCAAATCACCTTTGTGATAGAAACAAACCTTCTTTTCTGGTGAGATAAACTGAAGTTGCGCTAACACATTTGTCAAGACCCAGTTTCCAGATATGAAATGCCTCAATAATATCCTGTTCACGCTGCATCTTAGCCTTGCCTGAAATTTTCACCTAATCAAAGAGGGGTGTACAACCACACGACTTGCAGTGCAATGGCATATTACCACCAGTGCTCGAGGGTGGAAGATTTTCACGCTCCCTTAGCCAAACGTTTACACATCGACCAGATTGTCCAACGTAAAACCTGTCGCAACTTAACGGAATGCCAAACACCACACATGTGTTACACATGCAGTATTTCTTCACATGTTTCATGTCACACATACTGCTTATCGTGCCAAACTGCGCAACCCTCTTGCAAGTCGTGTGTTTGTACGCCTCTTTGATAAGGTGACAGTTTTAGGTAAGGCTAAGACGCAGTGTGAAAGCAGTGTTAACAGGAGATTATCGAGGCATTCCATATCTGGAAACTGGGTCTTGACAAGTGTGTTAGCGCAGCTTCAGTTTATCTCACCAGAAAAGAATATTTGTTTCTAGCACAGAGGTGATTTGCTTAGATTAGCTAGCTTGGTATTTTGGTTTTTTATCTGCACATGTGTTGTTCGGACTTGAGAGGAAAGTTTTCCCCGAAATAAACACCACTTGTTAGTGCCACGTCTCGGCTTTCTTCCTCGTGCTTTGCTTTTTCCGATTTATACGTTGTGTGGCTTTTGTAGTTTACTAAGTATGTACTGACTTGCCAAACAAGCAACTCTCCTGAATACCGATTTCACTTTTAATAACAATTGAAAAAAAAAAAGAGAGAGAGATTCCATGGCATCTGTAATGAACACCTTCACCAGGAATAGAAATGGAAGCTATGACTTACAGCCCGATTAGTGTTCTTACTGGCAGATGATGCACTGCCAACTGAAGCAGTGCTTGGGGACGCCCTGTCTGCCCTTGCATTTCGTCGGGCCTGATCAGGGTCGGTGTTGCGTCGTTGCATATTTAGTAGAAGTTGTTGAGCATCACCCCTGCATAGAAAACTGAAACATTGTACACCCATGTGCTCAAAAAACAGCTTTGATAACATGATAACTGCATGTTTGCATGCAGTGGCCGATGACGAGCTGAAAAACATGAGCCAAGAGTAATTCAACTTCTGGTTAGAGACACTTAATTTTTAAAAATCTACTTGCGTAGGCATGAAACTTGTAGGTTGGCAACATCGTGATGCCTGGTTTACCTTGGCATTCCACACATGACACAAATCTCTTTAGCACACTTCTGTGTCTTCCACTCTACCTTTCTGGTGACAGAGCCCCACATAAGCTAGAAAGATCACTCTTCTTGTCACAAAACTTAAGTTATTATCGTTAAAGGCCACACACTTTTGCTAATGGTAAGAATTTAATCTTGCATGTTCCTGACAGGCTTCTAACCTGCAGCAGACTACAAGATTATGAGTTTGTTTTTCCACAACCAAAGATTGCTGTATGGAGTTCCTAAAATAGTAAGGCATGAAATGACTTGTACTTCTTTTTTTTTTCAGGAGTAATCACAGTTAGCAGCTCCCATTCGTCAGTCATAACACATCATTAAGCTAACGAAAACACTTATGTTCTTTGTATACAGTAAATGCTTACACTTTCGGTCGTGATTCTGTTCTAAATGCACCACTGAAGCATGTGTTTATTGCTGTAGCGCAACTAGCTCGCAACATGTACGGTACAAGCATAATGGGCGGGATTCAATGTGTTTTGAATGACAGGTGACAGTTGCGAAGGCACTGGCGTGTGAATTCACCGGCCCAAGTTCAAATTCAGAGATTCGAAAGAAGAATTAGCTTCCAGCATTGAACTTTTCAGATGGCATGGCTTTATGCAAGCATTACGTATCTGCTGACACGAAGCAATTACTTGATACAAGACACAATATAACTGTCTACGCGCACTGAAAGGTCAATACGACCTCACTACATTCAGAGCACTGAGGCATAGACATTGCGATCGTGGCACACGTGGGCTACAAGCGCAAAGTGAGCTGTCGACCTCATTGCTAAACATCGACTGCAGTTGACGCTTAAAGATTTCACTCAGTGCAAGCGAGATCGCTTGGAATTGGTCTTACATGCATGTTATGGGTGCCGGTCACAAGGCTCACACTCTTCACTAGTGCCTGAGCCAACAGGGTAAAATATAACTTCGTAACATAACAGTGGACTAAATAATACCTAGACAGGCTCACCGCATATCGTCGGATATGAAAAGATGTAAATGCCGCATAAACTGTGCTGGACGTTGACCGAAGAGCTACGTACCAACTGGAACCCGGTTAGGTGCGGCGCAGATATCGCTGAGAAGGCGGCGCCGTCACTTTCACGTGAAGAAAAGCAATAACGCAAGTACTGAAGACGGATTCCAAACGTGTCCGCGAGTTCATGCGCCAAAACACACAGGACACGCCGGCATATCGCAGGGTCCAGCGGACAGGCAGCGATGCTCAGGCAAAATCCGGATCATGTTTCTTCAGAGCGTACAAATTTAGCCACAGCATGCATAACACTTAGTTTCGCATACTTTTGTTTGGCAGTTGTGAGTTTTAGTAACAAAAACAAGTTACGTAATGTTTATTAAAGCTTTATATGTCAGAAAAGAGTTTAAGTTTAGATTTTTACAAGTGCATTCTTTAAGACAAAGCAAAAAAAAAACCATTTGTTTCGGTTTCGATTAAGCGTTTTACCGCGCGCTTTCAGGCTGGTGCTGGCAGCAATATTAAAATAATGCTCAGAGTTACAGGGAGGGGGGGGTCCAAAGTTTATTATTATTATTATTATTATTATTATTATTATTATTATTATATTGTTATTATTATTATTATTTTTATTTTTATTATTAATATTATTAATATTATCACTATGATTATTATTATTAGTAGTAGTAGTAGTAGTAGTAGTAGTAGTAGTAGTAGTAGTACTGTCTTCGAGTTATCCGAATTTTTTGAGAGACAAGAATAAATACAATTCTTATTGAAGTTTGAAGTGACCTTGAAGGGCTGCTTCGCATTATATATATATATATATATATATATATATATATATATATATATATATATATATATATATATATATATATATATATATATATATATATATATATATATATATATATATATACTACTTTTCCGTGCTCGTGCCACGATTGCCACCATGCTCTGGTTTCATTTTCTTATCTGTCTTTTAGCTTGCTCATGGGCAAAAAACGAAAATGGGCGAGGGCCTGCGCCTAGCGCCCACAAGCCAACCTCATACGACAGAGTTCTCCACTAATAATTATGATGTTGCCAGAATAGACAGAACGGACACATGTACAGAACCACACACCACGGTTTCTGTGTGTCCGTTGTGTCTTTTCGCGCTACATTATGATTATTAGCAAGCACCAACTAGCCCAAGAACAAGTCCTTCTGCAGAAAAAATTGCAGAACGAAATGCAGAACATAGAATTTATGAACAGATAGTAGGTTTCTTGGAAGAGCATGAAGTACTCGTGGATGTGCAACATGGTTTTAGGCGCAGATTTTCTACGTGTACTCAATTAGTTGAAACCGTGCCTGATTTCGCTCAATCGGTTAATGAAGGACAACAAACAGACGCTACACCAAACAGACGCTACAAACCAAACATTAATGCGAAGCAAGTGATCAGCGTGAGTGAGAAATTATTCCGTCTTCTTTCTCTACAAACGAGTTCATAAACACAGGTGACAGCGTCATAAACCCAAAGTCCACGGCCATTGGCTGGCTGATACGAACATCGTGTCGTGAGTTGCATAGTTATCGTGGCTGCCGTGGGATGCCGCAACGTACGCGCATGTTCTAAGGCACGTTCGCTTTGAAGAAAACAAACTGCCCATGACAATGCACATCATCATCATCATCATCATCATCATCATCATCATGTGGGCTGACGAATGGGCTTTTACTTCTTGTCCCCCTTGCCATTCCTCGTGCGTAACTTTCAGTGCACTCACAGGTACAAAAGGAGAGTGTTTGAAGCATGTGACCAATCCCCGACTCTTTTTTTTTTTTCGTAGCAGTCAATTCGTGAGGCAATCATCATCATAAGCCTGACTACGTCCACTGCAGGACAAAGGCCTCTCCCATGTTCCGCCAGTTAACCCGGTCCTGTGCTTGCTGCTGCCAATTTATACCCGCAAACTTCTTAATCTCATCTACCCACCTAACCTTCCGTCTCCCCCTAACCCGCTTGCCTTCTCTGGGAATCCAGTTAGTTACCCTTAATGACCAGCGGCTTGCGACCTTCGGCGTCACCGTAGCTCTGGCCGACTGGGCTCGCCCTACGTCACCTCCTGCCGCCGACGGCTTTCGACGACAGTGAAGCTCTGACTTACTGGACCTGCTCTATACGCCATCTACAGACGCCGACAACATCTCTCGCAAGTGTACCCCGTCCTCGGACTCCAGTGACCGTGTTTCCATCTTTCCTGTCTCTCCTATCCCCTCAGTTTGTTGTTGCTTCTTCTTCCTCTTTCCTATACCTTTACTTCTACCCTTTTTATCCCTCCTCACCCCCATCCCTTGTGAGCCCTGTGGCGGTGTCGCTCACTGAAGCAGACAATAACGGGGCTCACTTTTCTCTTCTTTTCTCTTTATTAAGAACCACTCATTATTCTGTCTACGCGCTACGTGCCCGGCCCATGTCCATTTCCTCTTCTTGATTTCAACTACGATATCCTTAATTCCCGTTTGTTCCCTAATCCGCTCTGCCCTCTTTTTGTCTCTTAAGGTTACACCTACAATTTTTCTTTCCATTGCTCGCTGCGTCGTCCTCAATTTAAGCTGAACCCTCTTTGTAAGTCTGCTGGTTTCTGCTCCGTAGCTAAGTATACCGGCAAGATACAGCTGTTATATACCTTCCTCTTGAGGGATAGTGGCAATCTACCTGTCATAATTTGAGAGTGCTTGTTGAATGTGCTGCACCCCATTCTTATTCTTCTAGTTACTTCAATTTTGTGGTTCGGCTCTGCGCTTATTACCTGCCCTAAGTAGAGTCTTTTACAACTTGAAGTTTACTATTACCTATCTCGAAGCACTGCTCCCTTCCGAGGTTGTTGTACATTACTTTCGTTTTCTGCAGATTAATTTTAAGACCCACCTTTCTGCTCTCCTTGTCTAACTCCGTAATCATGAGTTGCAATTCGTCCCTTGAGTTACTCAGCAATGCAATGCCATCGGCGAAGCGCAGGTTACTAAGGTACTCTCCATTAACTCTTACGCCTAACTGTTCCCATTCTAGGCATATGAAAATTTCCTGTAAGCACGCGGTAAATAGCATTGTGGAGATTGTATCCCCCTGCCTTACACCCATGTTGATTAGTATTCTGTTGCTTTCTTTATGAAGCACTATGGTAGCAGTTGATCCCCTGTAGATTTTTTCCAGGATGTTTATATATGCTTCGCCGACGCCCTGATTCCGCATTGTCAGCATGACTGCTGATATTTCTACTGAATCGAATGCCTTCTCGTACTCTATGAAAGCTATGTATAGTGGTTGGCTATATTCTGAGCAATTCTCTATTACCTGATTGATTGTATTAATGTGGTCGATTGCTGGGAAGCCTGTTTGCTACGCTGCACTACGGGAAGTGAGAATGGGGAAGAAAGATGGGAAAGAAAGCGAAGAGCGAAATAGACGCGCGAAAAAAAATTGTTAGCTGGGGTGCTACAGCCTACACAATAGGCCACTACCACGCAAAAAGTTCAATAAGTATAACGTGCATATTCTTTCACGGTGCCGTCCTTCGCGGAGCTTCGCCAGCGGCGAAAGCACCACTCCGCTCGCTTGACCGCAGGTATCGGCTGGGTGCGAAAGGTGTATACGGGGCTACCTTGTATGCACTAGCCATTTCATGCACGAAGCCGTGCTACGAAAAGTCAGGTTCTTTGTAATTAGTAGTACAGACGGCAGACTATACATAAAGTACCCCTGAGTGTGTCGGTGCGTTACCAAACGTTTAATAAATGCACGGATCCTCGCTCGGTGCGTAGAAGGAACTGAAGAAGGTAATCGAGAAATCCAAATACGACATAAAATTGCCAAACAAACAAGAAAAGGCAAAACTTAAACGCGCCTGAAACAGTGAAGCCGGACGATTTTGAAGCCTAATGTGGTCGTTTTTCAGCATGTTTCTTAGTTGCTTCTCAGCGGTAAGAGGTACGAGTTGAACCACAGAGACTCACGGACACAACACGGATCTCCAAACTCTAGGACAGAAACTCGCGCTGAAACCAAGCGGTCGCTCCTCCCTCATACCTGAAGGCACGCCTTCGTTTGCGTATGGCTCCCATTGCTTCAGGGTGTTCTCGTAGCTGCCGTAGACCTCCCCGTTCTGTGGTATTCTCTCGTTGTACGTACCATTGAAGCACTCCATACAGTCGCTTCAGTGAAGCTGAAACGTACGGCCACGGATTTTATTGCTCGCTTAACCACGAAAGTTTATTAAGGCTGTCTTCAGTTATGGTCCTAAATTATGGTTACATCTTTCTAGAATTGTTCATGGTGTTTGCCACAGACTGGTGCGCCCCTCTGTTGTCTTCTTCATTTTTAGTAGAGCAGCGCTGAGTAGTGAGATTTGTCCAATATTTGTGGCACACGCAGCTGTTCATGATGACATATTTCCGTACACAGCTTTTACGGCCCGCTTATAAAAACTTCACTGTTAGATATACATGAGGAACCATCCGACAATCTGCATGGCCCCAGCCAATGACTCACTCGCTGTCTTACAGGACAACCTGGTAGCCTTTCTCCCGGATCCCAACAAACCTAAAAACGCACCTTTCTCAGCGAGGACACCCATTCACTTATCCGTTTTATTGCTGCAACTTTGATGCCGAGTCGTGTTACCAACTTCAGCAACATTTATAGGGCAGAGCAATATTACCCGTTTACGCTTTGAATAGGGCCCTGACACGTACGAGGGGTGCACAAAAGTTCGTATTATCAGAACATTAAAAAAAAACTGCAGCACTAACCGGAAAAGTCCACCTACCTCAGTTGTCAGGTGACTATGACTCATGCAGCCTCGATCCTTAGGCTATAAATTTCAGTGACATTCAGTCCTCCCTTTCCCTAACAAAAGAATTTATTTATCTATCTATCTCTTGCCCACCATATTAACATGACCTCGAACTAAGTGACTTCTTCGCCTTTCTTTGAATGAAGAGTACACGATTCGCTCGCTGGATTTCGTGCCGACCGGTTGTGCCCTCGCGATCTCCGACGACAGTGCAGCTCTGGCCGACTGGGCTGGCCCTACGCCATCTCCTGACGCCGACAAGAGCTCTCGCCGAGTGGTGCTCCGTCCTCGGACTCTTGCGACCGTTTCCATCTTTCCTACCTCCTCTTTACTTCCGTCGCTCGCTGTCCCTGCGCCTCGCTCTCTCCTTCCTCTTTCTCTATATACCTTTTAATCCTATTCTTTTAATCTCTTCTTACC